CTGAACTGCACACGGCTCGCACACACCCACAAGCCACCCGGGGCCGGGGAACGCTGACAGCAATTGGGGATGGTGGGGGTGGGGGCGCATGTCTAGGGGCCGATCCCCCTCCAGCCAGAGAAGGCGCCTGAGGCCGAGCTGTTTGGCCAAGGCTGGGATGCAAAAGACTCAGCAGTCTGGAGCCTCTGGGGGCCCCCGCGCCCCAGTCAGAACTGCTCCTTGCTCAGCTCACACAGGGCCAGGCAGGTCACTCTGCACCCCGACTGCGACCCCAGGGAGTGAGGGTCCTAATGCCCACTGGCAAGTCAGAGGCGGAGCTCACAGAGGTCAGCGGCAGCGGGAGGCCAGGGCACATGTCTGTGCCTGGCTCCCAAACCCGGGCTCTTCCCAGCATGCAGTGCTGCCTTCCAGCTGTGGGCCCCCCAGAGACAGAGCCCACCGCCCCCCATGGACCTCTCCCACCTGGGGCCCCAGTAAACCTTCACATGTTGGGACTTCAGGCTCTTTTCAAATGCAAGTACCTCTGAGGAGGGAGGCACAGAGGGCTGAGCCCCTCAGTGAACCCCACTCTGAAAATGATCAGCGTGGGGGGCTCAGAAGCCAGCTCCCCACATGCAGGTGGAGAAACAGAAGTGTGGAGAGGGACAGTGGTATGCAGAGTCCCTGTGCCTCTGTGGCCTGCAGCTCCCTCCCAGGAGGTGTCCCTCTGCAGAGAGGACAGCGGACCATCCCCCACTCTGTCTCACTCCTCAGCTACAGGGAAGCACTTGCTTGAGGTCATTGGCCAGCAGGGGGCAGGGCCCCAGCTTCCCACGTTTACAGGGAGCAGACCTGTGACAGGCGAGAGCCGGTGCACTGCAGCCTGACCAAGGTCAGGGTCCTTATTGGACACTATTGGGAAAGGCTGTGAACACCCACGCACAGACCCATGGGAGCAGTCGGCGAGGGCCATCAGCACCGCAGGGCAGAAGCCTGTCCCCGGACTCCCCGTGTGGCCAGAGGGTCAGCGAGGTGAAGCACTGGCCCGATGGCCCCTCCCTGGGCAGCAGAGCCTGGACATGAAGCCTGACCATATGACAAGACACATGTCCACTGTGCATTTCCTGACACATCATAGGCCTACCCACCCGCTGGCCCCAGGGTCCACAGGCTCACACTGCCCTTTGGACTTGGAAGAAAACACCCCATAGGACTGAGAGGTTGTGGGTGGGTCTGGCGGATATACACAGGTCTCCTCTGTACTGGCCATTTGGCCACCTGCCAGGCCTTGTCCCCACCAGACCCTGACTCTGGGGCCAGCACACAGTGCCCATGGCCACCTTGGCCAGGGAACAGGCCATCAAGGATGGAGAGGAGTAGTGAGGAGGGAGGCAGGAAGGACCAATGGTGAGAAGTACCTGGGTTGCAGGTGTGGGTTCCCGGCTTCTGGAATCTGTCGTCCCCACTTGGTGAGCCTCTCTCTGCAGAAGCAAAACCGAGAGCAGCTCAGCTCCCAGGCACTGGCAGCCCCAGCAGGGGTGGGGGTGCTGGTGGGTAGCAGAGAGGCAGAGGCCCTGAACTAGCCTTCCCAGCTGCTGGAACCCCCTCAGTACAGCCTGGCTGAGGGGGACACGGGCCAGCACCTCGCCTCTGATTTGGGAGGGGTGTGTGGTTGGGGTGAGGAGTGCGTCCTCTTACATATTCTCCCAACAGCTCTCTTGAGGTATAACTGACATGCAATAGACTCCCTGTATCGAGGGTATCCAGTTTAGTAGGTTTGGGCCCCCCTGAAACTCACCACAATCGAGATCAAGAGCCTGTCTATTAAAAGCTGAATATTTCATTTGTGGTGCCTCATGTTAGAGACAGGGAAACTGAGGCTCCGGCTAAGGGATTTGCTCAAAGCTGTGCTTGGCTGGTAAGCAACAAGGCCAGGACCGAGACCTGTGTCAGCTGGGCGTATACAGACAAGGCTGCCCCTCTCTGGGAAGGTGCAGGGAGGGGGATCCCTGGGGCCGCAGCTGTGATTCCTGGGGCCTGAGACATGGAGACAGGATCCGGGGCCAGGATTCGCCAGCTCTTCAAGTGAGCCCTGGTCTGCCACCTTCCAGACACACCTGGAGCCCAGAGGGTGGGCACCAGAGTGGGGGAGGGGCAGCGCCTGGAGACAGACAGACCATAGGCCTGTCTTGCTCTGCTTCAGTGATTCCACCACGCTGGGCACTTTGCCCATCACAACACATGACAGGCTGTATTCTAACTGCCCCCACCCCCCCGCTGTGAGTTCCACGGGCCAGGGACCATCTAGCAGACAGTGCCCGGCATGCAGCAGGCACTGAGAATGGCACTGCCTTTTCCGCTGTCCAGAGGTCAGTTCCTCACCTGTAAAGAGAGAGGGTTAAAATCCTCCCGAGTCTGGAATTCTGTGCCTGCTCCTTCAGAAACTAGCGAGCCCTGCTGCCTGCCAGGCTGTGCGCATGTGTGGGCACGGAGGCCCTCCGCCCTGGGTCTGAGCAGTGTGCAAGAACCCAAGTGTGCATCGAGCATCTGGGAGTGAGTATCCAAGAGTGAACCTGTATGAGTGTGCACGCACGCGTGTGCATGTGTGCACGCCGAGATTAGGCGGGCAGGTGGCCTGGGAAAATGATGCAATCTGACACTGGCCTTGCTCCTGCCCTCCCAGCCTCTGGGGAAGTTCCGCCCCCAGCCAGCAAGGTTCCTGCAGCAGAAGCTAAATGAAGCTGAGGCCTCAGTTGGGGCGGGGGGAGTGATAGGCAGGGAGGACAAGAGCAATCGGCCACAGTCCAGTGAGCAAGTACCACTCCCAGGAAAGCACAGCGGCTGGGTCCTCCGGCCTGGGTTCAGGCTATTTCAGCTCTTCCTCTGCAAAACTGGAGAGAGCCGCTCATCCCCCACAGGGCTTCGAGGATTCAGGGACATGCTGGGGAAGGAGCCCGGGCCTGCAGAACTCTCCTGCCACTGGTGTGATGGCCTTGGGCAAGCCCCTCACCGACCAAACACACAACCTGAAAAGCCTTCTGGTCTGACACTGGGCCACCTGCCGGCAGGAGGTGTCTGGCAGGCGCTGGCTGGACTCAGCCTCCCGGGGTCCCAGCCTTGCCCTGCCCCACCCTTCAGGAAGGGCCCAAGGCAGGTTTCCTGGGCTCCTAGGGCCAGCCCAGCCATCCTTTACCAGAATGCCGTGCCCAAAGGCAGGGACCACCCTCCATGGCCCCAGCCAGAGCCATCCCGCCAGCGTCCAGAGGAAGGGCCAGGCCTGCCTGGCCCCTCGCTCAACGCCGAGAAAACCCATGAGTCCCAGAATGTTAAAGCAGGGACGGTGACAAGAGCAGATACTATGTTCATTGCCATGCGCAGGAAATCTCGTGTGTGATTTCACAGTGGAGAGACCATTATTACCACCTGAGGCTCAGAAAAACTAAGCGACCTGCCCAGGTAACGAGCTAGTGAATGGCCGTGCTGGGCTGACCGCAGCTGACCGAGGACTGCTTGTGCTGTGCTGCTCTGTGTCCTATGCACAGGGGCCTCTAGGAGACCATGGACCTCCCCTCACTTTACACAGCTTCCAGAAAACAAAACTCACAACGAATCGCCACCAATTAGCATTCTGTCCGCACGCCAGGGTGGTAGCCTGGTGAACGTCCTTCCAAAACCCTTCTCTGCCACTCGAACCCAGCTGAGCTGATTCATTACTTTGAAAGCTGAGCTCCACCCAGGCCACAGGAATTCTCCTGGACTTTGGGATTTCCTCATTCTAGGATTGCAGCTCCTATCTCTCTGCTGCCCGGGTTACTGTCTGATAGAGTGAGGCTGCAATTCCACGCTTTGACCAAGAGGTAGCGCTGCCAGGATTCAGCCTGAACATTTGCCAGACAGACCCCACTCATTTCATCTGCCCGGTCTTGGTGAGTCGGGGAGGCTTTTCCCCAAACAACAGGTAAGGAAGCTGAGGGCTGGAGGCTCATCTTAGGCTCCATACAGAACCAGCTCCCCATGGTGATTCCTGGGGCCTGAGAATCCATCAGGAACGTTGGGCTGTCTTGGAGCTGCCAGCACCTGGAAAAGCTTCCTGCACCCAGAGCTGAGGGTCATTTGGGAGTCTGCCTTGGAATGGGAAGACTGAGTCTCCGGTTTCTTGAAAACGCCCTGGGGTAGGCGAAGGGGAGACTAAGTAGACTTGCCAGGCCCTGGTGACAGACACCCCACCCCTCTTCGAAGAGCACTTGGCCATGGGAGAGAGAGTGCATTCATTCACTGGTGTACTCTGTTACTAACACTGAACTGCACTTGGGGTCCTGGCCTACCCCGAGTCTGGGGAGGGTGCCTGCCCTAAGGAGGGATGGAGCCAAAGGCCTGGAAGACCCCCTTTCCCAAACTATTACAGTAGAAGCCCCAGTGCCTGCAGGCAAGCCTCTCACTTCTGGGGCTGTGCACCCCCATGGAAGGCCCTGGCGATTCGGGCAGCGCCCAGGGCCCAGGGGAAAGCGCTTGCACAGCAGCTCAGTCTGGGCCTGGCCCGTCCTCTCCCCCCATGGAGGCCCCCACTGGAATCCTGGGCCCGGAGAAAAGGGTTACACCATCAGAGCTGACCGAGTCCAGGGCGGGCAGGCGGGCTGCGGACCAGGGCACATGTGAGCCCTCTGGAGCTGTGCGCTGAGTGGGGAGCCTCTCGTCTCCCCTGGGCACTCAGCAAGGATGCGCCCCCCCCCCCCCGGGTGCTGAGCAGAGCCAGAACTGCTTCTCAGTAGAGCACACAGGTGGCCCCATCTGGGACAGCCCCGTCCCATGCGCCCCTGCCCTGGCTGAGAGGGCCAGGGAGTTTTTAAGGGAGATCCTCCAGGTCCTAACATCGCCCAAGTTCCCATTCCTCTGTGGCAGCTTCAGCCCCTGCCACCAGAACCTAAGGGAGGAGGGCAGGGAACCCGACCCCTGTTCCCGCCCACAGCAGGGCACCCCCCCAACACCCCCCCCCCCGACACAGTGAGTGCGTGGAGCCAGGCGCTGCCCGCAGCGTCTGCAGAGACCTGCCACTGAGTGGCAGCTCTGACAGATGGGGAGCCTGAGGCTCGGGGAGCAGAGAGGCTGACCCAAAGCCTTCGGAACCTGCCCTCTCCTGACACAGGGCGTGGGCTGGGGCAGAGAGATCAAAGCCGCGTGCCGATTTGATCCATCCCCGGATAAAGGGCAGGTTTGTTCCTGCCCAAATGTGCGGCCAGACGGCCAGGCTCCGGAGGAGACGCCTCACTCTCCGAGAGGAATAGTGAGCGGGGCGGGGGTGGGGATGGGGGGTCACGGGACCTGCTCAGGGAGAGCCCAGACGAGACGGGAGAGGACTTTCCCCCGCTTCACCATGACCCTCCCTTCCTGCAGGGCGCAGCCGCCCAAGGGGCCCAAGGCGACAGCCGCCCGCACGGCCGACGGTTTCCTGCGGAGCGGCCCCTCCCACAGCCAGGAGCCCAGCGCCCAGAGCCCAGTGCCAGCAGGAAACCCGGCACCTCGGCCCGGCCAGGCTGGCGACGCCGCCTGGACAGCGATCGCAAACGCCTTCTAGGAGGAAGACGGGGACAGACGCCCCCTGCTGGTGAGGGAGCCCAGTCACACCCCAGGCACTGGCCGGGCAGCCCAGGTAGGAAACTGCGGCTGGGGCGGCGCGAGGGGCCGCTGCGCGCAGGCCCCGGGAAATAAGGGGCAGAGGTGGGAGCGGTGCTCTGGCTTCTCCCCGAGAAAAAGAGGGAGGTGGGCAGAGCCGGGACGAGAGCACCTGGGACCCTCACAGCCTCTGACTCGCCAAGTCTCCATTTGAGGACTTCGCATCATAGAAGCAGCTGGATCAGAGAAGGGAAATTCGGAAAGGACCTCGCCCGTGAAGGGGGCACAGAACCGGACCTGCCCCCACAGACTCGGGACTCGCGCCCCAGTGCCATCCCCGCGGCCGAGGAACCCAGGAATCTGGCCGCTGCGTTTGAGCCACATAAACCCGGGCTTCGGCCCCTCCCCTCCCGTCCAGGTCGGAGCCCGGGTCCCCTCCGCTTCCTCGGCGTGATGGGGAGAGGGTGAGCTAGGCTAGGGATCGTGATGGGGTCTCCTTACCGGGGTCCAGGCGGTGGTGGCGGAGCAGGGCCGACTGCAGAGCGTATCCTAGGTTATAAGCCCAGGGCCAGGGCCAGGGCGGGGGACCCGAGGCACGTGGGGGAAACGCGCGGGTCAGGCCCCGCCCCGGAGCCCGCCCCCTCCGAGGAGCCGCCCAGTGTTCCGGACACCGGCGGGTGGGCAAAGCAGCCTCCTTTCCCTCCCTCTTTGACCCTCCCCCTTTCCGTCCTCCCCGATGCGGGCCGTTGCGTCCCCCACCCCTGCCTGTCTCTAGGTGCCTGCACACCCTCAGAGGGCGCACCCGGCGCGGTTCTTCCCGCCGGGGTTCTGGGAGCAGGTGGCCGATCAGAACATCGCGGGGGCTGGAACCCACGCAACTGGCAGCCTGAGCATAGCGGTTCATTTAGAGACGTGCCCCCGGGCCGGCCTGTGGGGAGCGTATCAGTGCTTCGAGGTGGGAGTGGGGGTAAAAGTCCCTTAGGTGGACTTTCAGGCCCACATTTGGGTGCTGGCCTTTCTGCAGACCTTATGCTGCTCCCTCCCCCCCCCCAGGGGGCCGCTTCCCATTGTAGGATGAGGAAGAAGTGGAGACACCGGTAGCAAGTCTGGGTTTCCTCCCGGCCCGGATGGAGTCCTGGCTGTCTCCCCAGAGCCAGGCACCTGACTGGACTCCCAGGGGTGCCCAGGAGATAGAGACTGAAGACTGGCTGACCGCTCACCCATTGTGCAGCGGGGAAAGTTCAGGTTCACAGAGGTGAAGCTTGTCCTTGCAAAAAGAAACGGAGCTGTGAGCCGGGGCTGGCCTAAAGAGATTCCGGACTTGTTTCCCAGCCGGGTGTACTGACCCCAATGCCTCCATCACTGCAACCGCAGGTCCTGGCCAGTCCAAGGCCGTGCCATAGTTAAAACTGTCCCTGACCCCACAGCAGCTTCTTCCCAAGTCCTCTGAGCCACCTTCGGAGGTGGCAGCCTGAGGCCACCCTGCTGGGTTTGCCATTGAGCTATCTTGGAAAAAACGGAGGGGGTCAGGTGACATGAAGGAGGCAGCCTGGTCCTGGGCACTTTCCTGCAACCAAGAAGCAGCCAGAGATCCCAGACCCTCAGCAGGGAGGGGCCAAGAAGTTGCTGCTATCATCCCCACTTCGCAGGTGAGAACCTGCGGCACAGAGAGGGTGTATTTTCCCCAAGACTGCACAGCATTGCAAGTGGCAGGACAGGCCCAAACCCTCTGCTCCGGTTTAGGCTCAAAGAGAGTTGGAAGAGCCAGGGTCTCAGTCCCCCTGGCCATGGGCTGTGGGGACATTGACTCCTCGCAGTTCTGCAAAATGGCTCCAGCCCAGGGCACTGTCCCTTCCTGACATACAGGCGCTGATGACGTGGGGGGCGGTGAGATCACAGCGCTGTGGAGAGGAAAACAGGGACCCGACTGCCAGCAGGGGCCCTGCCCACTGGGCCCCAGGGTGGATTTTGCCCAGAGGCAGGGATCCAGGTCAGAGGAGACGGGCCTGCTCCTGGGTGAGCCCATTCTCACCTTTCCTTCCATCTGTGCCATGCACACCTTGCCCCAGCCCCCACCCTGCTGAGTGGATCCTCGGTCCAGGGCTGGGGCATGACTGGAGGGGACCCCCACTTGGGGGACCCACCACAGCCTTGCCTTTCACTCACATCCAGGTTGGGGCTCTTCAAGGAGCCTGCATGCCTCCCGGGTAAGTGGCCATGGGTGCCACCTCTAAAGGCCTGCCCAGGTGGAGAAACTGAGGCCACGGGGCCCGAGATGTGCATATCTTCTAAATACGCCCACGTCTGCCTTGCTCCCCCTCCTCCACACTGGCCTGCCCTGTCCTCACTCCGACCCTGAGACAGCCTCCTGACACTCCCCATTCACCCCCGTCCCCCTCCAACCCTTTCTCCACCCAGCGGCCAGAGAGTTCTTGAACACGAGCATCAGCACAAGTCGCTGCTTCTTAAAACCCTTGGAGGGTCATTCCCCAGCCCCACTGGTTCCCAGTTGTTCCAGCAACATTAGCTGAAGACTTTCCTTTTCCCATCTAGTTACGTGGGTGCCTCTGTTGAAAATTAATTGACCGTGTAAGTGTGGGCCTATTTCCAGGTTCCCTCTTCTGTTCCGTGGGTCGATTGATTCGGCCTCATGCCGGTGCCGTCTGGGTGACCATGGCTTTACCACGCGTCTTAAGGTCAGTGTCCGTCTCCCATTTTCGTTCTGTTCCCAGCTGTTTTGGCTACTCCAGGTCCTTTGCACTTCCAAACAAGCGGTAGAACCAGCTTGTCAATTTATGGTGAAGTTGTAGGTTTTTCACAGATGCTTCTCCTCAGGTAAAGAAGTTCCTTTTTATTCTTCGTTTGTTGAGAGTTTTTATCATGAGTAGGGACTGAAATTTATCAAATGCCTTTTCTGCATCTATTGAGATGACATTATGGTGTTCTTTATTTTATAATGTGGTGAATCACATTGATTTTGGGGTGTTGAACCAATCTCACGTTACTGGAATAATTATATCTCAATAAAGGTGATTAAAAAATTTTTAAGGCAAAAATGAGATGGGGGACTTTGAGTGAAAAACACATAAAGGACATAATCAATCACAATGTGCAGAACTTATCTGGATATTGATTTTTTAAGCATAAAAGAAATACCATCTTTATGACCAATTAGAAGCTTGAAAACTGATAGACATTTGATGATAACAAGACACTACTGTTGATTATTTTAAGGCATGATAATGGCATCATGGATATGTGTTTTAAAAGGGTTTTCCAAGTTTGGAGATGTATCCTGAAGTATTAATGAATCAACAGGATTTTCGAAAACAGTTGGCTGCCCCCCCATCACCCACAGGGTCACGCCCAGGGCCTGCTGTCCCTCCCCTGCCCGAACCCAGCTGCACCAGCCGCTCCAGCCGAACCGGCCGCCTGGGGTGTCTTCCACCTGCTGAGCTCTTGGTCCTTCCACCTGCTGAGCACATACTGTTTCTTGGGGACGGCCCCTCCGGCCCTCTCCCCTCTTCCACCAGCTTGGTCCCTTGTCATCTCCTCTCTCCCGTGCTGGTAGGAGAGGGCAGATGCCTCAGGTTCCCATGTGACAGCCACCATCTCCTCTCACCGGTGCCTCTGCAGGAAACCCCTCACCTGTCATCCTGCCTGGGCTCACGCCCTCTTCCAATCCGTCCTCCACACTGCAGCCAAGGGTGGTTTTCTCAGGGTTGGAGCTGACTTTTGTGGCTACTGGTCTGAACTGCTGAAGGGCCCACTGGGGGGAGGTGATCTTCTTAAGTCCCCCAGCGACCTGCAGACGCTGCCTGTGCAGCTAACGGGGGACCTGGCCCCTCCTGTCCTGTCTCCCACCTGCCTCTCAAGGGCTCTGCACCTGCAGGTTGTGGAGGGGCCTGGTGTGTGGGGACCCCAAGCACCCTGTCCTGCAGCCAACCCGTGGCTGGCACCAGAAGCCGCTTTGCTACTGCCCACGCCGGGGAACCAGTTCCAGGGACAGAGAGTGTCCTCCAGGCTGGACCCCAGGTTGCCAGTCCCCACCCAGAAGGAACAGAGTCCAGTTGTCTGGTTCTTGGAAAAGCTTCATCACAGAGTTTAATCAGTGACCTGCTGGGTTGTTTTCTACCCTAGATGGTTCAGGACAGCCTCGGACGTCAGGTGGCCCCCGGGGGCTGGGCAGCTGGACAGGGCCCTGGCCAATGACGACAGCAGCTGGGAGAGTAGAAGTGAAAACACCCCTCGGGTCTGGCTGCTACACGGGTGCCAGTCCCTGTGGAAGTGGGAGGGGCGGACGGGGTGGGGGAGCGTCAGACTGGGAGTCACAGCGTGGTTCCTGGCCAGGCCTGCCGTGGCCTCTCTGTGTGACTGAGCAACCACTCCTGGGCTGGCCTCCTCTGTCTGTCGTAGGAGAGAGTGGGGGAGGAGGGAGGCTGGAGGGACCAGCTTGCCTTTGGCGGTGCCTCAGGTCTTAAATGGCTGTGGTCACTCCTCTTCATCCTGCTCCTGGCCCTCTTCCTCCTCCCTCCTCAGAAAGTGCAGACCCGGCAGCCTGGAGGCCAGAGGGCCTGGGGCCTCGGAGTCAGCTGGGCTGGGTAGAGTCCTTCTTTTCCCCTCCAGGCTGTGTGAGCTTGGCCAAGAGGCTCACCCTCTCTGAAACCCCATGCCCGCCACATCTGTGAAACAGGCATGCTATTTTTTTTTTGCCTCTGGAACTGCTGGGGCCCCAGTATTAAGTAAATTAGTCAGGTTCATAAGGCACTGGACGTTTAATGAGGAAACAACTCAGAGAGCTCTCCTTGTCAACAACCGGATGGGAGAACGGGGACACTAACGGGCAGGTGACAGTGTCATGCTGAGCAAAGGGAGCAGGGAGAAAGGATCTCTCCCCCTCCACACCACGTGCCAGAGAGACAGCCTCTGTCCGGGATGCGAACAACAGGGTGGTGGGTGCCCGCAGCGGGGGCGCAGTGAGTCCGGGAAGGAGGGCGGGGCCGGTGCGTGGGGGGAGGAGCGCGCTGGGACTTGCAGCCCGGCCCACCCGCTGGACAGGTGCCAGTGCGAACCTAGATGTTCTTATATTGTCCATCCCCATCTCGCGCCTCAAAGCCAAAGCCCTTGCAGTGGCCCAAAGGCCCACAGGACCTGCGCCAACCCACTGATCTTTCGGATCACACCTCCCTCATCCTCTCCACCCCCGACCCGCGCACCGCCCCCTCCAGCCTCTCCCGCCCCCTCAGCCACCAGGCGCCACCCTGCCCGAGCGCCCCATCTGCTGTTCCCTCTCCCACTCCCCTCCGGGGGTCTGCACAGCTGGCTCCCCCACTCTCCTGGGGCCTCTGCTGAAATGCCGCCTTCTCGTGAGGCCCACCCCGACTGGCCTTTTACAAACTGCCCTTACCCCTGCCCCCACCTGCCCAGCCTGGTTTTTGCCCCTCGCAGCGCTCACAGGCACAGACGTTACGCTTCTTTTCCTTCCTGTTCGTGAACCCGTCGCTGCTGGGCTGTGAGTCACGTGCGCGGGGTTTTATGACCACTGCCTGGCAGGCACATAGGTAGGACCGAATGAATCTTTGGTGTTTGTGTAAACGGCTGAATGAACTTATTCACTAAAAATAACTGAGGCCCTGGCCGGTGTGGCCCAGGGTGTGGGCCTGCAGACTGAAAGGTCGCCGGTTCGTTCCAGGCAGGGCACAGGCCCCGGGTAGCAGGTTCAGTTCCCGGTGGGTCAGGGCACGTGAGAGAGGCAACAGATCGATGTTTCTCTCCTTCTCTTTCTCCCTCCCTTCCCCTCTCTTTAGAATTAATAAAAAAATAAAATAATGTAGAAATTATTCGTAATTAAAAATTACTTTTTGCTGCCATGTATTGCTTTAGGTGTGACGCAGTTCGTTCTCATGTAATCCTCCCCACAACCCTATGGGGGCGCTATTGTTGTATTCATATTTCTGGATGAGAAAACAGCCCAGAGAGGCGCCTGGACCACTCTACCTAGAGGGAGCCAGGCTGCTGGTCTCCTCGTCCAGGGCTCCTGGACCAGGGGGTGGTGGTTCCCTCCCAGCTACAGCCCCTCCTTATCAAAGCAAAGGACTGGATGAAGAAATCGAGCTGGTTGAAAACAAGCGTTTTAATGATGTACATGCGCACGCCCCGCCCGGGATGACAGTGTAGGTGTGTGCTGGCGGCAGCTGCTGCCATCCCCAGGGTCTGCCCCTCCCCGGGGTGTCTTGTGACAGCTGTGTCCCAGCCCACCTGCAGGCTTCATCCCAGTCCTGCCTGTGCGCTTTGCCACCTAAGGTAGCCTTTGTCACCTGCCTGCAGGGCTCCGCCCCTACAGGGAGCAGGGAGGGTAGGTGCAGCTCCAGTCCTAGTGGTTCTGGGGTCAAGGCTGCGCGCAGGGTCGTGTTTACTGAGAGTCCCAGTGACGCATGGAGGCGGGAGAAGATGACGTGCCCTTGCCACAGTAGACGGGGTACGCAAGGGCCACCCTGTCCCACCAGGGGTCCCACCAGGGGCCCCGCCTGGGCGGTGAGGGGTTACTTGGGTGCCCTCCCACCTCCCATCCCCGCAGGTCATCCGCCCCAAAGCTGCAGCCAATAGCCCCGCCCCTCAGTAGGGGTACGGGGACACGGAAATGAGCAAGACGTAGATGCTTTGGTGGCGTGGTGCCGCTGCACGCACGGTGAGCCGGTACAGGCCGGCGCGGGTGAGCGCACGGCGGGTGTAGACCGCGCCGAGGCCTGCGCGCAGCTGACGCAGTGCGAACGGGCTTCGTGGGTCCGGCTCCAGCACGCTGAGCTCGGTGCGGTTGGCGGGGACGCCGGCCTCGGAGAACGCAGCCAGGCGGGCCACATCGTGCTGGGCGCGCACGCCCAGGGGCAGCGGCAGCAGCCTGTACTGCAGAGTGGAGGGGCCGGCGCTGCAGTCCTGCGAGCAGCGCCTGAAGCACGTCCTGCGGGAGGGGCAGACGCACATCCCTGGGTTGCCTTGTAGCGCTGCCCGGCCCCAGAGACGGGTCGGTACCCCAACCTCCGCAGTTCTCCCGTGGGCCACCATCCCCTAGCCACCAAAATGCCTTCTCTACAAGCACCACTGTCTGCCCAGTTCAGAGACCAGCAAACTGAGGCCCAGGGAAGCCAGAGATGTACCCTTTCACATCAGAACAGATGCCCCAGGGGGCTTGGCTAGCCCGCCCCCAACCCCAGCCCAGCAAGCACAGGACACCCGTAAACCTTGGAGCCCTCCAGGTCTGTCCAGGGCCCCAGAGCTGAGTCACCTGATCTGGATGGGGGCGGGGTAAAGGGGAGATGCAAAGACTCCTGCTTAGCCTTGCAAGGTCACCCACCCCACTCCACCCCCACCTGAAAGCCTCGCCGCCCAGGACACTCCCTAGCGGCTGCAGCTGGGGCTCCTGCCAGCCAAGATCCCTGAGTCTGGGCATCTTTGAAAGTGTCTGCAGCCCCAGCGAGCATCGTGGTTATAAATGTGTTTTGTGTTTGCGGGTCTGTGCATGTCTGAGTCCTGGGGCTCTGTTTCTGGGTGGCATTTCTGTGTCCGGGGTTCTATGTGCATGTTTGTGTGTCCCCATGTGTGCACGTCTTCCAGCCCCACCCCGCAGTCCTGTCCCAGCTCCCCCTCCCCTGGCCCGCAGGCTGGCGCCCTGATGCATCGAGAGTGCCCAGACAAGTTTGCACTGGATCGGCTGCAGGCAGGTGTGCTTTGTGAGGGCACACTGCCCGGTGGGCACAGAGGCCCGGCCCTGGAGCTCAGGCTGGTGGACCCCACGGGCCCTAGGAGGGCCCCTTCCTGAGACACAGCCTGGAGGAGGGGTCTCGGCCCTAGAGGAGCGAGAGGGCAACCTGCCCAGCTCTTTGCAGATGACACGCCCTCTCCCCCATCCCCAATTCCGTTCCCCACCCTCCCCCACCCCACCCCTGGGCCCTCAGCCAACTCAGCCCTTACCCTGGGCTGGAGCCCTGCCGGTAGGTGGCAGGGCAGGGCGTGTCCACACACTGGTAGCTGCCTCTGGTGTTGAAGCACATTTGGCCAGGCCCACACTGGACGCCGTCCTCCTCACACTCATTGATGTCTGCAGGGGGGCAGCGAAGGAGAGAAGTGGGCATGAGAAGGAGGAGCAAAGGGGGAGGGCAGAGAGCGCAGGGACGGGGTCAGTGGGACGGGAATGCCTGTGGGGGATCAGAGTGGGGCAGCCCCTGTCCACTTGTTCCCCGGCCAGCCTGACCCGTGACAGCCCTGCTGACGGGCCCCTAGCAGCCCCCATCTTCCCATCTCCCCACGCATGGTGAGGCGGGCAGGGGGCCTCTGAGCTTAGAGCTGGGCTGGGAGACGAGGGCCACCCTCAGACCCACAGTGCCCACTGCCCCTGGGCAGAGTGTCCCCGTCCTCGTCTGCCCCGGTGGATGCCCCACCGTTTTCAGAGGACACTCACTGACCCCTGGGTTAGAGAGAGGGAAGGAGACGGGCAAGGCAGGGGGATCCCCAAAGTCTAGCAGGGGGGCAGCATGGCCAGCCCCACCCAGCATGGTCGGGAAAGGGCGCTGACTTGGAGTGAGGGGACTTCACTGTCACCACGGGCAGCAGCTGCGGTGCTGTGAGTGCTGGCCCTGTGCCCACCTTCCACATATCTCAGCCGGGCAGTTAGGGGAGCCCTGTGTTAGCCCCATTTCACCAGGAGGCCGAGGCTCAGAGAAGTGAAGTGACTTGCCCAGGGACACCCAGCTGAGCTGGGAGGGACCCCTGGAGGCTGCTTTCTGATCGTGCCCATGCAGTCCCTTAGCTCCTGCTCTGAGTGTGGGACCTGGCCTGGCTGTGGGCACCTGGGGCGGTCTCTTAACTCCTCTGAGCTCGGCTGGGCTCCCTGCCCCTCCCCCACATGGGGTGGAGGAGAAGGGGCTGGAGAGCGGAAGGCGCACAAAGCCCTGCCCGGGCCCCTCTGGCTCTGGGCAAGGCTCACCCTGGCAGTTCTTCCCGCTGGGGAGGAGGCGGTAGCCGGCAGGGCACAGGCACCGGTAGCTGCCCTTGGTGTTCTGGCAGGCGTGCTGGCACAGGCTCCTCACCTGGCACTCGTCCCGGTCTGGCCGGGCATCCATGGTGGGGTGATGGCGGGGGGGGGGGGGGGCAGACACATGCTGAGTCACAGACACCCAGAGGCCACACTCCTGCCCCCTGGGCTCCAGGCAGGCCAGGGAGTCCCTGAATTAGGTGGCCCTCCTCTTCTGCCTGCCCTAGATTCGGGGGTAGCAAGGCCCAGGGCCTGTGGGGGCTCAGCAAGAGTGGTGGGTTCCATCCTGTCCTCCTGGTGTTCACCAAGGCCGTGGGGGGCACCGCTCCCAGCCCAGAGCCCACTGTGCAGGCAGGAGCACAGGAGCACACCCACCGCCAAGGCAACTCCCCTTCTCCTCTCTGCAGCCGGGGTGCTGACCGCAGGGCCCCACCCGTCCCTGTTCACGTTCTCATGTCAGCCTGGAACATACACCTTTGCTCCTGAGAACCTCCCCCCACGCCGCTTCGCCTCTGTGCATTCAGAGGCGCGGTTCTCCGTGTGGGCTCCTGGGTACTCGGGTGGGTGCCTGGGGCACCGGGCAAGGCATACTGAACTTAAACGGTTTGGAAAACACTCGACCTCCCGCTTGGCAGCCCCTCGCCCCCTGGCACAGCCAGGGCTCTGAGACACCTTGTAGCAAAGAAGCAACGCCCACCCTGCCTGCCTGTGGGCCCTGAGTTTCCAAACAGATGGGGCGCGCTGCCCACCCTGCCCCCTCTCCAACGTCAGGGCCTCCCATTCTGCCGGCTGCGGAGGGTGAAGAGGTTGCAGGTCCAAAAGAAGACAGGGTTTCGGAGGCAGGGTCCTGGGTTTGGATGGAGCTTTGCCTCGCATCTCCTGGTCCCCAAGACAACACGGCGGGTGGCCCCAGCGGGATGGCTGGAGCTTGGCCTTACCTGTGCAGATGCCGTTCTGCCGGATGAAGCCAGGGGGGCACCAGGCCCGGCCAGCGCTGCTCAGGGCTCCGGGGCCCGGCCGGAGGGAGACCCAGGCGTGGTAGGAGCCACTGGAGATGGGGGCACGGGGCCGCAGCCAGGACACCGAGGGGCCCAAGTGGCTGATGGTGGTCATGTTTTGTGCGCTCTGCTCCAGCCAGGTGCAGGCCTTGCCATCCGGGAGGAGGGTGTGGCCCGGCGGGCACAGACAGCGGTAGCCACCCTGGAGGTTGCGGCACTGGTAGGCACAAGCCTGGGGCAGCTGCAGACACTCGTTGAGGTCTGGAAGGAGCGGGGCCAGGCAGGTGCTGAGGGAGGCTCGGGGTTTGCGGCCACAGCCTCCGGCCTCCCCTAGCCCGGCCGCCCGATGGCTGCACGCACGCAGGCCTGCCTCCCAGCTTCCCTAGAGGAGGGGCCGCCCAGCCGCCTCTTCTGCTCCAGCCCTCACTGCCCAGAGAGGCCTCAACCTCCCCCAGCAATGAGCTGCTCCCGGATTCCCACCTGCTGCTCTCCACCCTCCCCCTCATGGGTTCCCCAGGAGGGTGACCTTGCCGAGTAGGGGGGAGGTTCAGGGATCTAGTGGGCAGAGCGGGAATGCAGGCACGTGGTGGGCACACTGGCAGCAATGGCCAAGTTTGGGTAGTCATAGAAGACCACCCTTGTCCTGAACACTTCCTTCCTGTGAGCCAGGGTCCCAACCAGGGGCAGACTGGACCCATACCCAGGCAGGGCAGGCCGGGGCCCTGGACCCGGTACCCCCTGGGGCAGCTGCAGCGGTGCCCGCCTGGCGTGTTCTCACAGATCTGATTGTAGTGGCACTCATCCGACTGCTCCAGACACTCGTCCACGTCTGCGGAGGCAGGGGTGGGACAGGGGCGGGGCTAGCCTCGAGCCCCGCCCCCAAGGGACACACCTCCCCTCTCCACATCTGGGCCCCATCCCACCCCATCTTCAACTTCAGGGCCTCCCAATTCTGCCAGCTGTGGAGGGTAAAAGAGCCATGGGCCCAAAAGAAGACCGGGGCTTTGGAGGCAGAGTCCTGGGTTTGGACCGAGCTCCGCCACGTCTCCTAGTCTTTGAGCAAGTAACACCCTGAGCCTCAGCTTCCTCATCTGTAAGGAAGGGCTGGGACCAGACCTCTTCACAGGCCATGGTGATGAAATTGGATTGCGCACGTGCAGGGCCTGGGAGGCTGGCCCGGGGTTAATGGGAGAAAGAAGGGAGGGCAAAGGGAAGGCAGGAGGCAGGGGAGCCCGACCCCCTGAATAGTCAGGGCCCCCCAAGGGCCCCGACGCCTCTTCTCAGGTCAAGCCCCGCCATGCTCTTCCATTCCACTGTTGGCCTCTCTTGTGGGGGCCAGGAGGACCCCAGAGGTCACCGATCCGGGGCGGCACCCAGGTTTCACAGGCTGCGGGAGGAGCGGTTGCGGAGGGTTCGGAGGCTGTCTCCAGGCTGCACCAGGAGCCAGGGGGCAGCAGGGGAAGTGGCAGCAGAGGTGGCACGTGTTTGCCACCGCCGCCCCGTCCGCCTTCACTGGACAGATGCAAGCCTGAGGCCCAGAAGGAAGACCGCTATTGGGTCCCCAGCCGCCAGCAGCCGCCCAGGTCTGGCCTCAGAGCCCAGCTCCGGCCCCTCCCTGGCCCCCCTGTGCTCCTTCTGCCACCTTCTGCCAAGAGGGTGCCAGTTTTCCCAAAGGCCCAGCATCCCAGCGACAGCACACAACGGGCCCTCTGCTGAGTCCTGGACGACCCCGCCCTGTGTCCTCATCACCTTCACAGCCGGTCCCTTCGGCAGCCGCCCGGAAGCCAGGCCTGCAGTCGGGGACGCAGCGGTGGGAGCCGATCAGGTCCACGCAGCGCTGCCCCTCTGGGCAAAGGCCAGTGTCCCACGCACACTCGTCCACATCTGGGGGCGGACAGGGACGGGGCTATGTGAACGGAGGTTCCCAGGCCCCCTCACCACCCCTCCCTCTGGCCCTGCCCCTCATCCTGGTGCCCCCACAAACACAGAGCCCACCGCAGCTGACCCGAGGGTGGCATCTGACATGAGCATTCAGACAATGCCTGGTGGGCACCCAGCGGCGACGTGACATGCCAGGTCCCAGTGGTGGGAGTGGAGGGATGCGGTGGGTGGGGGATCAGTGTCCAGACAGTGTCCTCGGGTCAGATTTGTGGTCTAGCAACTTCCTTGAGGTGACAAGTAGAGCGAGCAGGGGAGAGAGGTGTAGGCTTCCCTCGTTCCCCAAGTGACCAGAAGTGACTGCTGTGTCCAGACTCAGTGGGTATGAGTGTTGTGAGTACATAGTGGCCTTGTGCCTGTTCGGGGGGGATCCCTGCCACCCCAGGTACTTGAGTCTTTCCCATCTGTGGCTCTTGTAACAGGAAGTTCCAGGGGAACAGGGCATTGGAGCCCCAGGCTGGCACCCGGAGCCCTTGGGGACAGGCCATTCTCTGAGTGGCCCCAGCCCCTCTGTGGGGCCACACACCTCTGCAGTCCCTGTCGTCCCCAGCCAGGGTGAAGCCCGCCGGGCAGGGGCAGGAGAAGCAGCTGGGCATGTGGCGGCAGGAGTGGGGGCAGGGGCTGGGGCTGCACAAGAGCTTGGAGGGCTTGTCCTTGACTGGGGGTAGGGACAGCCGGGGGGATGGCTTGTCCCTCCCAGGCTGAGAGCCCCCCCCTTTCATGCCAGGGTGGAGACAGGGTGCTTACCCATGCAGAACTCTCCCTGGGGGTCCAGCTCAAAGCCCTCCGGGCAGCCAGCTTCATTCTCTTCTGCAAGGCAAGGAGGACAGACCCTTAGGACATAGGATGCAAGGGACAGAGAGCAGCACTAGTTGTAGCCCGGGCTGACTGTTCCCTCCCACCAGCCTGGCCAGGCCAAGGCCCACTTGGCCCAGTGCTCAGCCTGTGTCCTGAGCCCATGAGCCCATTCCCAGCCTAGGTCCTGTCCTGAGGGGCTCACAGTGGGCTGGCCAGACTGTAGCTTTCCGGCCCAGAAATTGTTAAGTACGAAGCGGGAGATTCACACACTCAACACTGTGCCCGACAGTGCGGAGGAAGGGCCAGGGTAGGTGAGCACCTGACAGGGCAGTGAGCCCAAGGCAGTGCGGAGACAGCCTGTGTTCTGGAGATGGGACAAAGGCCACACTGCCTAATGGTCACAGGAACAGCACCCTTGATAAAGCAGTCACTGGGTGCCAGGTGGGGGTTCAGAGACAGCACCTCTGCTCCTGATACCCTGCAAGGCAGGCGGTGTCATGCCCATTTCACAGGTGGGCACACGGAGGCTCGGAGAGGGCTCTGCCCCCAGGGTCTCACGGCCTAGTGTGGGGAACTCCATCCTGCAGAGCTCTCCCAGCCACTGCGGATGAGAATAAGTTGTTCCAGACACAATCTGTTGTTCTGACGGGAAAGGGGGGTGGCAATTCCCTCTAGTGGGGAATGCCCTGAGCCCTTCTCCAAAATGGCTTTTATTGGGATTGGTACGTGCAGGGTATACGGCCCATGTGCATAGCTCGTCAATCAGCGTCCAAAGGCTTAGTTATCAAAACAGATATTATTTATAGAGGACAATTAAAGAAACACAGAGATCTGCCTCAGATCAGGGTCTGCTAGACAGGCTGATGCCAGAAGATTGTTAAGCCGTATTTCAGGAGATAAGGAGTTCACTCCTTATGCTTTAAATATCTGGCTTATACCAACAGGGCTATAGCAAAGCAAAGCAAGCTTCGAAGGACACAATGTATATACTTCAGGCCTGATTTCCCAGGGAACCCAGTGTTAGTATCGGGTGGTGCCTGCCACCAGCATTCCCAGCTTTCTGGTCCAGATTTACAGACAGGACTTTGCTTGCACCGGGTTAGTCTCCAAAACCACACAAAGTGGTCCCCAACAGCCTAGAAGTGGGGTGGCTGGGTTGGAACCAGGGTCTGCCTGACCTCACAGCTATGCTCTTACCACTGTCTCATATTCAAGGTTAAAAACATGTTAGGACCTCAAATCAGGGTAACAGGTACATTTTCAGCCTCCCCTGGGTCTCCGGGGGCTCCAAGGGTGGCCCCCAGCCCCCTAGGTGAGGTCTCAGGCACCCTCGAGAAGAGGGTGGGGTACAACTCAAGTCTGCAGCATCAGCCTGGGGGGATGGTTTGCACCTTTCCTTGGGGCCTAGGTGAAAGTTCTGGAGGGTTTGCATAGGAATGGCCCAAAGAGCTGTGTCCCCTTTGGGGTGTGAATGGATGGATGGGAACAAGGAGGTGAGCTGTCTCTGTCCTGAGTCCCTGGTCCATGTCAGTGGGCACAGGGGGTGGGCTGTCACCTGGGCCTCAGCCAGGTGCATTTGGGGCCATGCACACCTTTTAGCTGGGGCAGCGGGGGGTGCAGGGACAGGATGGGGCCCTCACCAGCTTGCAGGGCAGTGGTGAGCTGGAAGCGCAGGGCCTCAGCCTCGGGGTCGAAGGCCGAGCTGACGGCTGAGGCCCGCAGGTGCTGCACCAGCTGGGGCTGGGGGCCCCGGGCTGCGTCGTACTGGATGCTGTGGTTGCAGCGCAGGGACAGCGGCCTGCTGTCCTGCAGGAAGTGCTGCGTGGAGCCCACGAACAGCCGGCCGGGCCCTGTCTGCACGTACAGCTCCTGGAAGTCCTGCAGGAGGGAGAGGGTGCGGGAGAGCATCTGGAATCTCAACCTCCAGGCAGCCTGGGACCTGGGACCCTCAGCCCCACCCGCTGGAGGCTCGGGGAGGAAAGCTGGTGGGCCTCTCAGGGTTCCTCCAACCGGCTGGGCAGCCCCTGGCAGGTCTCCAGCACTCTTGTTTATGGAATGGAGAATGGGCTCGGAGGCCAAGAGGCCGGGTCTGGAGCACCTTCCTGCCAGCTCCTGCAGGCAGGACGTCCCGTTGCCTCTCACCCACCTCGTCTGTGCACCTTGGGCTCGCCCCACACCTGAACGCGAAGGTCTGCGCCAGCTAGGCTCTCGGGGACGCCGCCATTGACCGCCACGTCGAGGAGGAGGAGGCCATCGGGATCCAGGCCCCGGGCCACCTGGGTCATCCTGAGCAGCTCCCCTGCAATCCATCCCCGCTCAGCCTGGAGTCACCACGGGGGCGAGGCCCCGGGCTCAGGCCCAAGTCCCACCTGGCCCACCTGCGGGGAGCCCCCACTCACCTGTGGAAAACTCCAAGTGCGACTCCTGTCGGAAGCTGCCTCCTGTCAGAGATTGGCCGTTCAGGGCAGCTCCGGTCTCTCCGGCCAATGCCCAGTAGATGGGGGCAATGGTGACCACGAGGGCCCGCATCAGAGTTCCTGGGCGGGGTGGGGCGCGGAGGCCCGGTGAGGGCCAGGTGCTAAGGACAGCCACTCGTCTGCTCAAGGTCCCTAACACCCCCAGGGGAGCTCAGCCCCGATTACCTGGACCAGTTATTGGGTCAGAACCAAGGGCAATGGCCAATAGCTACTTCTTGGAGGAGTTGTGGAATTAACAAAACATATTTATACACAGAAGTGCATGGAACCTGTTGATATTGAACTCAGCTCCACAAACACTGAGAGCTACGAGGTCACCCAGAGACGGGGACCACACCGACTGTCACCACCAAGCTGAAAATCAGTCACGTCCAAGGGACCAAGCTGAAAATCAGTCACGTCCACCACCTCGCAGACACCTCGCAGAACAGCTCGGGAGCGGAAGGATTGTCTAAACCACTGACTTGGAAAAAAGAGCTAAAATTTTCCCTGGATATGGATTTTTGGACCTTTACATGATGCCCAGCTCTCCTCTTGGGACGGGGGTGAGGGTGAGGGGTCACCCTCAGACTAGGGAAGGAGAAGGGCCACTTGCTTGGGGTCCTGAAAGTCGAGCTTCTCGGCTCAACTGCGGGCTCTGGAACGACTTTCCCAGAAGCCCGCTGGGCCCTGTGCGTGGGAGCCGAACCTTCTCAACCTCTCTGAGCCCCTGTTTCCACTAGACACAGCCTGGCCCCCCTGGCTCGGGGCAGAGGTTTCTCCACAGCTCCTGCTCCTGCAGCTGGAAGGGGCAGTCACGTCTGGGCAGCGTCTTGCCTCATTCACGCTCTGCTGACCGCCAGCTCCAAGTGCCCCCCAGCCCCGTCTCACACTGTTCGTACAGGTCTGTCCTCAAGAGCAGCCTTGGAGGAGCCGCTTCTAGCCAAGTCCCCATCTCCCAGCACGGCCCTCTCCCTGCTCTGGACCCCCATGAGGGTGTCCTGGGAAGGGTGAGGTGTCAGGGTCTGCAGCATCCTTCTAGAACATTCTGTATGTTTAGGATACACTATTTTATGAACCTGTCTGCAAGTGGGCATTTTCTGGTTCCCTGGACCTTCTGGCTAATTTTACTCTCCGCGTCTCTCCCTTCCTCCCCTGCCCTGCCCGAATGCCACCTTTGCTTTCTCTCAGCACTTGCTTTAACAGTGGAAAACAACTTCATCCAGCAGCCCATGGTTTCAAGTTCATGAGCTGACCTGCATCCACCCAGCCCGATCATTTCACATGCTCTTGGCCTGCTTTTCTACTCAGTCCTTTTGTTTTATTTGGGGGTGTAGGGCAGGGAGGAAGTGGCTGCCCCCAGGTCTGCTTTGGCTTGGACCCAGCCCTCAGAGGCGGCCGGCTGTGCCCCGGGAATCGGGCCCGGGGCAGCCTTGGGGCCCACGCTCTGCCTGCTCCCAGCTCTAGCTCAGCTGGCGGGCCCCACTCACCCACAGTCGCAGGGATGTGGTCAATGCTGCTCCGGAAGGTGGTGAGCCCGGAGCGTGCCTCCTGCAGCACAGTGGTGTTGAGGGTGGCCTCGCCGAATTCCTGGCCATTGATCACCCCCGTCATGCTGCCCTGGGCCCCCCGGGGCTCCCCTGGGGGGAAGGAAGAGGACGACAGTGATATTACCTGCCGCCGTGACACAGTGTAAGCAGATACTGTTACCCATTTCCCAAAGGAGTACTCTGAGGCTCAGAGAGGTGGAGTGACTAGCCCAAGGGCGCCCAGCTCGTGGGTGATGGTGCCAGCTTCTAATTCTGGCTCCGCCATCGCCTTCCTGGAAACTTGGGTTAGTCAGGCCCTCAAGTCACCCTTGAATTGGCTTATCTGTCAAATGACAAGGTGGGACCAAAGATGCCTCCCAAATCTGCTGGGGTCTAAGGCATCAGGAGGACACGATGGCGGGGCCTGGTGTACTGAAGGAGTCAGGGCCAAGGGGCAGGGCACCACCTGACGGTCCCCCATTCTAACAGTGGCCCTGGCTCCGGCCGCCCCGCGACCTGACTGGCTAGGGCGGGCTGGGTTCGGAGGAGCCGCCAACCTGTCTGCCAGCAGATGCTTTTCGGCACTAATTGGGCAGATGGCATGGGCACACGGGGCTGCTTCCTCTGGCTAATGGGCCAGCTGTCTCATTTGGACAGATGGCATTCCAGGGGGTGAGAGACAGAAGCTGGCCTGCCTCTTCCCTCCCCAGCTCTCAGGGGAAATTAGCAACAAATTGCCCATGATCTGTCAGAAAAATAACATAATGCAGAACTGCCAGGATCCTAAATGGGCCCATTCCGGGGGAGGTTCATGTTGGATTCCAGGAAGCAGTGCCACAGCCTGAAGCCCGTCGCTGCGGTCTGATGAGATGTGCCGTGCATCTGGGATGTCTCGGGGCAGTAGCTGCTGCTCTGGACTTTATGGGAGGGACAGGAAAAGGCCGCGAACCCGCCCTTGGCCTTGTAATAAGGGGAGGAGGAAGGAACTGGACCTGCAGACAAAGGCAGCTGCAGGCGCCTGGCCACTTTCAAAGGGGAGAGGGAACCGGTGGCCAGGAATGACAAGCCGCCCTGACTTGCTCACACAGGGCGACTTGGCAGCCTACTGTTTCCGAGGCCAGGATGGGCTCCGAGATGGGAGGGAAAGGAGGGAAAAAGGACCATAGTTACAGGGCCTCAAAACCTTTGCCCACCTTTCAACCAGCAATGCCCCTTGAAGAAATTGATCTGAAATATTCGGGCTAGCACCCAAGGGGTGCATCTCCGTGCAGATTTCGGAGGGGAAGGTGGGGGAAAACAACCTGTTGCTTACTTACACAGCCAACAGCCATGAACTTCTAAAAAATGTTCCTGGGAAAACCATTACAGAAAATATAGCCCTGGCTGGTCTGGCTCAGTGGATTGAGTGGTGGCCTACGAGCAGAAGGGTCACCGGTTCAATTTCTGGTCAGGGCACGTGTCTGGGTTTCGGGCCAGGTCCCCAGGAGAGGCAACTGACCAATGTTTCTCTCCCTCTCTTTCTCCCTCCCTTCCCCTCTCTCTAAAAATAAATAAATAAAATCTTTTTAAAAAGATGTGGGCTGGGTTTATTGTCCTGGAGTGCTGCCTGGAATTCTGTGGAATAATTAACAACAGCAGGTTGTAACGACAACTGTATATTTTATCTTATTTGTACAAAAAGAAAAAATGTATCTTTTTACATTCAGAGAAAGAGGTACCCCAAATAATAACTGTCAAAGCTATTTCTGGTCATTGAATTATGAGAGATAATTGATAATCATTCTTCCTTCACAGGCTTTTCTAAACTACCTGGCCTTTCTATAATGAACACATATGAAATAAAAAGTAGCGGTTCCCATTAAAAAGGTAAGGAGGCCGTTACGGGTTGAGCTGTGTCCCCAGACCTCAGAGGGAACCCACTCTGCCGACACCTTGGTCTCGGGTGTCCAGCCTCCAGACCCGTGAGAAACAAGTCCCTGCCGTTTAAGCCCCCGGCCTGTGGTCCTTGGTCATGGCGGCCACGGGAAACTCAGGCAGCAGCCAAGTGGGCTGGGTTGGGGGCTTTTCGGCAGGCGGGGGTAAGAACTGGGACCAAGCTCTGAAACGAAGGTGCCCCATCTGCAGCAGCTGGTGTCAGAGGACCCTGGACTTTCAGAGCTGTGTGTGTTGGTGTTCCAACCCTGCCTGCAGAGGGGGCAGGCCAGTGGGCGGAAAGGGTCCTGCTTGGTTGGCGGTGGGTGTCAAGCAGCAGAGTGTTAGGTCCCAGTTCCAAGGACCCCTTAATCCTTGGAGAAGGGTTCTATGAAGAAGGGATCTGACCTTGTATGCGGCGATAGATTAGTGATGCCTGCCACGGACAGGGGCGGTGATACAAAGCCACTACAAACATGGAGTATTTACAGAAATACCAGAGGCACAGAAATAATATTCAGTGACTGCCTGTTTGTCAGGCTGGGTCACTGTATGGTGTAATAGCCATTAGTAGTAGAAACATACAAACAGCCGTTAGGCATCTGCAGTTCCTGAGACTGGGTAATAAATAAACGTCAGGGAACAGTTGGGTTAAAATTCCTAGCAAAATAAGGTAACTAACCAGGGCCCTCCAGAAGAGGCCCGCCAGCAGCAACACCCACCAATTAGGGACCTTCGCCGTTTTCAACTTAGCAACCTAGCTAATAGCTAACTGCCACATCTGCTTTTGTAAGCCCGCGCTTGCTTGCTCTGCCCTATAAAAACCCCGTAGCCTGTAAGCCACACGCGGCTTCCACGTTGTAGCTCTGAGAAGCTACGTGACTTCGGTCACAGTTGGGGGGGAAGCCCGCCCCTGCGCAGGTAAAACTTTTGGCCAATAAATAACATCTTGAGCTCTAAGTGCCTGGACGTCTGATTTCTCGCCCATCGAATACAACATATGGGTTCTCAGGATAGTCGTTTTCTCAGTTTTAGTTTGGTCTGTCTGACCCACAGGAGAAGGAGACCCGAGAGGGCAGGGGTCAGTAACACAGACAGTGGCAGTGGCTGCTGAGTACCCACCACGGCCAGGCAGAGCCCGGGACAGGCACTGACTCTCACACTTTTCACAGCAGCCACGGAGGCCCTCGTTGTACTCTGCCTACCTCACAGGCTGCGAAGGGTCCAAAGAGAGGACACGTATCTGTGCCCGGTGAGCTGGGAGAGCCCGAGCCCCCGTCCGCCAGGGGCTGCGGACACTGAGTATCTCAGAGCCTCAGTTTCCCTGACTGCACAGGGCAGTGAAGATAAGATGACCCACGAGGCTCTCCCAGCTGGTTCATTCAAAGTTTGTGTGTCTCAGCAAAGAGTCAGGGAGCTAGCAGGGCAGTGGGCCAGGTCCCCCCAAACAATACACAAATCCCCGCTTTGCAGGAGACGCCCCGTACCTTTCACAACCAGGAACGCCCGGGCCGTGACAGAGCCCAGGAGGTTGTGAGCGACGCACTCGTATGCTCCCGCGTCCCTCCTCTCTACTCGCCCCATCCACAGGCTCCCGTCTGGCAGGGCCCGGAGCCGCCGGCTGGCCTGCAGGGGCTGGCCCGCACGCAGCCACTGCACCGTGGGCACCGGCTCTCCAGTGGCCTGGCACCGCAGGGCTACATCCTCCCCAGACCTCGCCGTCACGTCCTGGGGCTCCACCTGGAACACGGGGGCACCTGTGGAAGGCCCAGGGCAGCTTTTAGAAACATTTTACTACATTCAGATATTCAAGTGGTACATATTCATTTCGGCAGAATAGAAAACATAGAGGAGGAAAGAATAACAGAGAGTCACATGGGACCCTCCAGCCAATCCCTGTGCTTCCCTCTAGGTGCTGCTTCCTAGTGAGAAAGAGACCCCAGTGCCCCTCCCTCCCTTTTTACTCCAGGATGACAATCCGAGATGGCCTCCTTGTCTCGAGGTCCTTAAGCACATCGGCAAAGACCCTTCTTCCAAACAAGAAAACATGCACAGGTCCCGCAGACTGAGACATGGCCCCATCTCTGGGAGCCATTTATCAGGTGACACAGCCAAGTGTCTCCTGCAGCTGACACTCGTGTTCCGTGTGACCTGGCAATGGCCCACCCCCTGAGACTGATGCCCTAAGAGAAACATCTGTGTCCATTCACCCAGAGACATGTGTACAGATGTCACCCCGGCACCGTCCCTCGCCGCCCCAAATGGGAATGCGTAAGTCAATTTTGGTTTAGCCACCGAGTGGAAAAGTGTACAGCAATGAAAATGAATGAGCTGATTCCACTGCCGCCTCCCTAGGCTCCGCCTCCCACGGAGCACACAGGAGAGGCCTCATTCTGTGTAAGTCAAGGTCAAAAATAACTCCCATCATACTGACTCAAGGGGTCAGCAAGCCAGCGGCCCCCCCAAAACGAGCACAAAACTTGACAAACTTGTCCAAACTAACTATTTGGGGGCTCTGGAAATCAACTAAAGACAAGCAACGAATTGAGATTCATTTATCTTGGAAAAGCACCCAGCATTTTGGGCAAGAACAGGGGGAGTGCATGGCCTTCCTGCCTGGGCCACTGTTCCCCCCACCCCCCACCAGCCCTGGCCGTCACAGCAGTTCTGTCAGGCCGGGGCTGGCCGGAGGACCCCCCACTTCACCGGTACAAAGGGCTGACTTGGTGGGCTGTAGGAATGGACTAGACCCGAGGACCCGGGGGGAAGGAGCTGGCTCCCTTGCTGGCCTGAGGTCCGTCCTGCTCAAAGACACCAGGGGGTCGCCAAAAACGAAATGAGGAGAACCTGGAAATGAGGGGGGCCTGGGAGACTTGAAAATTGTCCTTTTAAAAAAACTGTTTTTGTTGATCATACCTCAATAAACTGGTTTGAAAAATCAGGTCTTAACAAATATCAAAAGTATGAATAAAAACAATAGAAGAGATGGCATTTATTGATCACTTGTTTTGTGCCAGACATTGGGCTAAGCACCTGCACGGCATTGTTTCTTTAAGCCTCCCAGCTACTTGCGGTACCTGTCCCATCACGGCCCCTACAGCGAAGATAAGAAAGGCTCCGTGCTGCAGAGCCTTAAATGACTTGCCCGGGGTTACAGAGCAGGTGGCTGAGCCCATACCAACCCCACGTGGCGGACTGAGTGCAGGCCTGCCCTCTCCTTAACCACTAGGATGGAAGCCAGTGGGGCTCACTGCTGCCTCAGGGCCTTTGCACCTGCCCTTCCTCCTGCTTGGACAGCACCCCCCAGACTGTCAGGCCACTGCCTCCTTCTTGTCATTGGGATCTTAACTTAAATGCCACCCCTTCTGGCAGGCCCTTCCTGACCACCCTCCCCAAATCGCCTGGACTTAGAATTACTCCACAACCACTGAGAGGCATGGCAGAGCTTCATCTTTGCCTTCAATTTGCAGCAAGTCTGACCAGGGTGGGTCTGTGTGGAGTTTTCCCTGTTTGCGTTTTGCTCGGCTTCTCGAATGTGCAGGTTTATGTCTTTTGTGGGGTTTTGGCTCACGTTGAGGCTCACATGGTGCTTTGTAAATCCAAGAGTCTTCACTGTGGGCCAGAGGAGTGTTCTGAGTTTTGAATGAATGGTCCCCTGGGCCTGCCTGTTGGGTCCCTGGTGTTCAATAGCCCCTGACTCCCATTCCACCACCGGGGACGTTCCACAGGACTTCAGTGGTGTGTTCCGAGTATTTGTAAAAGAATTCCAAGTCCCCAGCCCCATCTCCCTGCCCACCCTTTTCACCAGACAGCCCGGGCCACCATAACCTCATCCCAGCTGCCTCCAAGCGCCCGCCTCCCATGGCCTCCACACAGGGCCCGGGGCGGGGAGGCCGAGACTCACTCTGCAGCACGAGGACCACCACTTTCGCCACGGCGCCCATCTCGTTCTCCGCCAGGCACTGGTACTGCCCCGCGTCATCCATCTGCAGGCGGGCACATAAGGGGGCATGCTGTTCAGGAGAGGAGGGGGAGGGGGCAGTGCAGGGCAGCTGGGCACAGGGTGGGGTGGTGAGTGGAGCAAGACCCTGGAACCGGGAAGCACCGAGAGCCTAAACCAGCCGGGGGCTCGGAACTGATGACGGGTGGATAAGCAGCAGGCTCTCTCCGGGCTTTGACGGGCCCGGCGCACTGCCCGCCTGCAGAGGGGAGGTGGTTGGTGGCAGCAGGAGGGAAGCTGTGTTCACAGACTACCTGCGACCACAGACGGTGACCAAACCCACTCCTGAATTCCTGGCATGGGTCAACTCACTGGTTTCTGACCATAAACCATGAGGTGGAAGCGATCGGCAGACCCACTGAATGGGTGGTGTCCCTGAGGCCCAGGGATGTTGGATCGCTAGCTGGAGGTCACCCTAGTCAGTGCGGGGGAATCTCCAGGTAACAGGCAGGCAAGTGCTTTGCGGAGTGTGGAGGATGGTGCCGACCTAAAGAAGCCTCCTGAGCAATTGGGGAAGGCCCAGGGTGGTCCCGGATGTCCCCACCCACGGTGCCAGGCCCCGCCTCGCCTCTGTCCTGCGGATGGCCAGCGAGCCATTCTGCAGCCGGAGCCGGGGACGGCTGCCCCGCAGCGGAAGGCCATCTTTGATCCAGAGGAGGTCAGGTGCTGGGTCCCCTCGGACCGCACAGTCCAGTCGGACACTGCCCCCAACAGGTTCCACCAGGTAGGAGAAGGCCTCCCCTTGCAGGACAGGAGCCTCTGTACAAAGCAACATCAGACAAGGGGTCAGAAGCTCCCATCTGGCTCAGCCTCCCATAATTCCCTCCCCAGACCCCAGGGCCTGGCCCAGCATGACTGTGCATGGTCCATGTGTCAGGGATGGCAGACGGCTCCCAGGTTGTGGGTCAAGTGAAAGAGACTGGCAGCGGCTGCCAGGAGCACTGTGCTGAGGAGGACTTGTAGCTGGGTAGGAATCATGCTGTGATTGATTAGTGATGTCTGAGAAGGTGCAGGATAGAAGGCAATGTGACGAGTGTCATATACCTGCTCCCAGGGACAGGTTACCCCAGCTGCAAAGCACCTGCTGGGGACTTCGGAATACAAGGACCACATGATCATTAGGACACCTCTGCTGTCCCCAGCAACACTGAGACGTCTCTGGTCCTCACTCACTCAAATCCTAAACCACCCTTGGACAGCTGTACCAGGTCCACCCTTCCAGGTGTGCTGAGGTTGAATCTTCCCACAGCAGCGGCTGCTACCTCTTGGTGCTCGCTGCCCTCCTCCACCCCATGCAACCCCTCCTGGAGAGGAGCTAATGGACTCATGGTGTCAGCAAGGGTCACTGTGCCACTCCTGGCTGAGCAGGGGACACAGGTAGGCTGGCAAGCATTGCGAATTTTTCCACCAGAGTGCCCAACCCCTTGCCTGCCTCCCACATTGGCACCGTCCAGCTGAGAGTGACCCTGTGGGTGGATCGGTCAGATCTCCACTCTACCTGAAGCCAGGTTGTCTGGGGAAATTAAAAACTGCTAGTGCCCAAGCCTCCACCTGGGAGGCTGGGCCGCTGAATTGGGGTGGGCCCCGGGCCTCAGTAGTTTATGAAGTGCCAAGGGGTTCTCTGCAAGGTCAGGGTGGAGAATTGCTGGTTCGGAAGTCAGGAGGTCAGCTTCATAGAGTTTCAGAAACAAACCCAATAGACTGAGCTTAGCACGTCTCGAGAGAAACACCACGCCACACGGCTCACGCCTTACCCTTCACATGGACGAAGCTGACCGCCTGCACACGGCCCACACTGTTCTCGGCCCAGCAGACATAGGTTCCTCTGTCCTCTCTGGTGACGGCCACCCTCTGCAGCGTGCTGCCCCCATCCTCTTCGGACACACCCTCTGTGACAGAGGAAAAGACAAACCTAAGCCATGAAATACCTACCTCGGGCCTGAGGACCTGGCAAGTGTTTAATAAAGACACAGAGGCCCTGACTGGCGTGGCTCAGTGGATTAAGCATCATCCAGCAAACCGAAAGGTCACCGGTTCGATTCCCAGTCAGGGCACAGGCCTCGGTTGTAGCCCAGGTCCCCGGCAGGGGGCATGCGGGAGGCAACTGATCAATGTGTTGCTAGCACATCAATGTTTGTCTCCCTCTCTTTCTCCCTCCCTAAAAATTAATAAATAAAATCTTTAAAAAACAAATAAAGACACAGAAAACAGGTGGCCCTTCTCCCTGGTGGATGCCTGACTCCGGGGAGGCGCAGGCCACATCAGAGGATGTGGTCGGAGAACCTGCCGTTTCTCATTTTCAGGCCCAAACCGTGCGCTGGGTGAGTGGTGAAGAGTAAGTGTCTGGGGCCCTGTTAACAGGGGCCTGAGGCGTTAAACCACCCGCCCTCAGGCCCCTGCTACCGGCGCTTTAAGATGAAGGTGCTGGGCTCAGGGAGACTGAGTCACTCTCCTCCCCGGGAAGTGGCAGGAGAAAGCCTTCTCACGGGTTCGGGAGGGCCTGGAAATACCACTCTGCAGCGACTTTTTGCATTTTAGCAATTCAGCAGACATTGAGCACGTACTGGACACAGCCTCAGGCCCCGTGCTTCCCTAAACTCCACCTGGGGCCCAGGCTGGGAGACAGAGCCCTCAGGGAGGGGGTTTGCGGAGGGCCCACAGCTCTGGGCTGCAGCACAGGCCCCTCCCCTGGTCCCCAGGTCTCCGGGTTTGAGTCTGTTTTGTAGTGGGCTTCTTGCCAGGTCTGATGTGTGATTGTCACACATGGCCAAGCATGGGCTGTCCCCCCGCCCCCCGCACAGGACCCAGTCTGGAGAGCCAGAGCCCACAGCACCAACGAACACCCTCTTCCTCTCCAAGAGCTTGGGGCTCCCCACTACTTGTCCTCCTCCGCCTCCCAGGGTCCTAGGTCCTGTCTATCTGCCCCGCTGCAGGCCCAAACCTGTAACTGGCTGGTCGTTGACAATCCAGCCAATGCGAGGGGTAGGGCTGCCTCGGGCCACACAGCGAAGCCACAGTCTGTCCCCGAGGCCCAGGCTTCGGTCCCCGGGCAGGGTGGTGAAGACGGGCAGCGCTAAAATGGTGAGGTGCACACGGCGGCGGGCGCGGCCCACAGGGTTCTCGGCTATGCAGGTATAGGTGCCAGCGTCCTGGGTCTGTGGACAAGGGGTGGGGTCAGCCTGAGGACTGCCTCCACCCCCCGAGTGCTCCTGGACCCCCGCTGCCCTGCAGGTTCCCACGGAGCATCCAGCCCAGAGAGGCTGAGTGAGTTGCCAAAGATCACACAGCCCGGCTTCACCTTTGCACCACTGCACCTCTCCAGAGCTCCCCATGGCTCTGCGGTGTATAAGCCGAGCCCTGACTGTGCCACCCTAATAGTTTCTGATAACCAGGCACCTTCTGAGTGCGGGGCCCTGGGCTCAGCACCTGCTCTGCAGCAGCAGCTCATCCATGCTCACTTCACCCCTGAGGAGGCTCCCACTTCTGGTGCCTTCTCCGAGAGAAGACCCACTGTGCATTCCAGCAGGCCGGCACACGCTCCACTGCACTACCCGGCCCCGCCCGAGGCACCCTGACCCCTCCGGGTGTGGCCACCCCGATCAGCTGCCACACATCCACCTGGAGAGCAGTCCCTTCTGCACTTACAGAATGATGGGGAAGGGGGTTGGGGAAGGGGGTTGACGTCCCCACCCGTGGCCCTGGCTAGTGGTCATGAGGTTGAGAACAGTGAGGTAGGTGCCGTCTGGGCCACAAAGCCACTGCCACACCCCTGCCCCAGCCCGTGCCCCCTCCCTCCCCGGGGCGGTCACGGAGGTCCAGGTAGATCTTGGTTCTTCTGCTCGGGAGCAGCATGTCCTGGGAACACTGGGCACACTCAGAGCCTCGGTCTCTTCGTCTGTCCTCGGGAACGACAACGCCTGTTTGCCAGGATCCTGGGACTCAGACCGCACGGTACTCCACACACCGCGTGCCACACGGGGGTGGCGCAGCAGACGGTGGCTGTGCCCTTGTCACTCTGATTCCCTCTGCGTCCAAGGCTGGAGCCTCACCTCTGAGTTCTTCACCAGCAGCTCCCCGGAGGGCTGGACGGTGAACTTGCCCTCTGCTGCAGACACAGGCAGGCCGTCCTTTTCCCACGTGATGTCAGGCTCGGGGCTGCCCCTGGCAGTGCAGGGCAAGAGGGCGTGGGAGCCTTCGATCGCGGACATGTCGGGGAGGCCAGCCTCGATCACAGGAGGGACTGTGGGGACAGGAAGGTCCACTCGGGGACTGGGGCGGGGCTGGGTGGGGGCTGCCTCTGCTCCTGGGGCCCTTGGCACACCCTCAGTCCCCTCCTTCACCCCCATCTGCTGCTGCCACAGACTCCCTGGTCTTAGACCACTGTTGGGGTCTGGACAACAGGGGACTCCTGAGTTTGGGGAAGAGCTGTGACAGGCTGACCTTGTTGTACACACTTGCACCTGTGTGTACACACACATTTGTATCCACACAATGACTAGAGCTTCCGGGCCGAGGCCTCCCTGACCAGCCTCCACGTGGGCACAGGGCCCCACCAGGCAGCTGCTGGGACCAGGGAGCCTGGCCGCCCTCCTCCTCTGGGGAGGGTCTGTGCGGGGGCAGAGTGTGGGTCACTGGCCGAACAGGTGTGGCGTCCAGCCCTCTGGTGACCAGCGGTGATGCTCCAGGTCACAGGGGAGAGGAGCCACATCCAGCCACCCACAGGGACAGCCGCCAAGACACGCCCCAGAGACCTGGGCTCAGAGCAGCTGTGGCCACGCCGGATGTGCCAGGAGGCCCTGCAGCCTCGGGGCCCATGACGCCTCCTTTATCTCGGGAGACACTGACTGGTCAAACTAAGGGAAGGACGTTTAATTATGTGTCTGCACAGGGGAGGGGACAGAAACAGCTTACTGCAGCAAAGCCGACAGAAGGAGGGATGATGAGTTTAGTGTCCCAGGCAGTGCTGGGAACACAGAGCGGGCCAGAGTTATCATCTGTGTATCTCTCTATTTTTAACACTCTTTTTTAAAAGTTGATTTGAGCGAGAAAGAAACATCCATTTGTTGTTCCACTTAGTTATGCGTCAAGTGACCGGGGAATCAGCCCTCAACCTTGGCGCATCGGGACGCCAGTGTAGCCAGCTGAGCGCCCGCCAGGGCCACAGCTGTGATCTGACGTCGGACCCGGGCACACGATCTTCTCCCACTTTCTAGGCCCACAAGCGGTTGGAATGGGGGGACACAGGACGTGCACACCTGGGCTCAGAGCCCAGCAGTGAAGGAGGGGCTCTCGGGAGCCTTGTAGCCCTGAGCTCGCCCTCCACCTTGGCGCTCCCTGGACCCACCTTGTACCACCAGCCGAGTTTTGCCCACGGCGCTGCCTGCACTGTTCTGGGCGATGCAAAAGTAGTTCCCGGCATCCTTTGGGCTGACATGGATAATCCACAGCTGTCCTCCAGGTAGGACCTGGTTGTGCCCTCCTGGATTGGGTGGGAGAAAACCAGGAGCTGGTGGCTTGGGCTGCAAGACCCCTAAGGAGGGGAGGAGGGGAGGAGGGCGGCTGGCTGCTCTGTCTGACGAGGGAGCAGGTGACTCACTGTGGTTACAGGGAGGTGGGGGGCAGAGTGAGCGCAGGCTGTCCCCTCCCCGACCCCCAGCCCAGCCGCCGAGTGCTTAGGTACGACTTGGGGCGCTGGGTGGTGAAAGGAGGCAGCAGGGCGGGCAGTGCAGAGGGATCAGGCCTGTCTGGACCTCCCACAGGTCTGCAGAGGCCCCCGGGGAGGGGGGGCCCACACCCCTTCTGCCCTCCTCCCTCTAGCCCAGGTCTCAGTGGAGACTCACCTGCAGGGATGCTGAGCCCCTCCTTCTGCCAGGTGATGCTTGGCCGGGGGACACCCAAGGCCTCGCAAGGCAGCAGCACCTGCTCCTCCGCCAGGGCCCGAACCACACTGGGCAATGGCTTCACCACGGGGGAGGCTGCAAAGGAAGGTGGCTGCAGAGGTCCCTGGGGACACCAGCACCCAGGGCCTCCAGCCCGGGGGGCCTCTGAGCACTGGAGAGGAAGGACTTGAGAAAGAACAGTAGGTTCTGGAAACTTCAGGATGAACACACAGGCGGGCTGATTTCCTCCCAGTGTCCCACAGAGGAGTGGGATCAGAGGCAGGTCCGGGTACCTGGAACCCATGCCCTCCTGGTCTCCCCAGCCCCACCTGCCTCCTGCTCTGTCTGCGCCTGCCCCCCTGCCCCCTGGCCACGGCTGTTGGAGCGGAAGGGCCTCAGGACCCTACCTTGCACGGTCAGGACCACGTGCTTGCGGGCCACGCCTGCGGCATTTTGGGCCGTGCAGGTGTAGCGGCCGGCGTGGATGGGGAGGGCCTGCCTGATCTCGAGGGCACCTGCAGGTAGAATGAGGCATGAAGGGTTGAGGGGGTGAGGTGACTGGAGACAAAAGTCCTCAGTGATGGGGCCAGCCTGCCGCACATGCCCCAACCTGGTGTCTCTGGTCCGAGCCACCCGGCCTGCCTCCCTGAGCAGTGGGGCGGTGGGCAGGGCAGCGGATGCTGGGCTCTAGGCCTGCCACTGCTCCGGCTCCAAGCGTGACTATGGGCAAGTCCCTTCCACTCTCGGCTTCCCCACATGTGCAGTGAGGAACAAGACAGGATGGTTTTGGGAACCTTCTGGCTGGGACGTTCCAGGATCTGCCACTGCCCCGCCTGGAGTCCCTGGCTCCCCCACAGTTCCCCAGGCCTCAAAAGCTGCCTCCTCCAGGAAGCCTCCCGGATTATTGCCTCTGCCGTCCTCCCTCCTTCAGCTGTGGGTTCTCAGAGAATACCTGTTTACCCTCCCAAGACCACAGGCTGCACCTGAGCAGTTGGACAAAGTGGTTTCTAAACCATCCTCCGTGGAGCCTGAGGGCCTGCTGGGGGGGCAAGTGGAGGGAGGACCACCGCAGCGCCCGCCCTGGTCCTAGGCCCACCTGGAGCCTCAGCTGTTTTGCAGGTCGGGCCTCCCCGTAACCACTTGTCAGAAGGGAGGTTTCCATCGCTTTGGACGGGGTTGAAAACCACAGAACTGGCCAGTAGCTCTCAGACTTTAGGATTTTACCGACTAACCAACGAATACATTTAATTTGAATCCGAACAAACTGGCCAACTTTTTTATTGTGATTAAGACATTTTAAAGGTCACCACTACCATCACCTTGATTTCATAAAAGAAAGGAACTTTCAACACCAAGTGTTAAGAACAGAACCCGTTTGGCACAAAGGACAGCCGGTGCCAAGCGACAGGGGGCCGGGTGGTGGCTCACAGGCCCCTCGTCCTGCTGCGTGGCCGTGAGGCAGCACGGCTCTGCCAACCAGCACCGGGGGGCCCTGGGGGACACAGAAGCCCAGAGGGGGCGAGGGGTCTCTCCCAAGTCCTGCAGCAGGGGAAAGGCAGAGCCAGGCCCCATTTTCACTTTGCTCCACCACACAGCTCAGCTCCCTGTGGTTCACCCTGTACTCACCCGAAGGGGAGACCCGATAGCCACTCCCCCGCACCCCCAGGGGGACGCCCGCCTTGCTCCAGGACACCGCTGGGGCTGGCGCGCCTGTGCTGTGGCACGTGAGGACCACAGGCGCCATCGTGGTCACAGTGAAGTCCGTCTGGTCGTCAGCAATGGTGGGGGGCACTGAAACAGGAGAGCAGGCGTGAGGCCCCCCCAAGGTCCACGGGGAACAGCACCCGGGCCCGGCCAGGTAGATGAAAATGGTAAACAGAGCCTGAGACCCTCGGTGACATCAGTGACGAGGGACCAGGAAGGGAGGTACGACAGAGAAAGAACTCGCGTGCACCCTCTCTGGAAATATTTTTGGCTGGGCATGGGGACGGTTACCAACTGCTTTCTGTAGAGACACCAGCCCGGCAGCTCAGGCAGCTGGGAGCTGGCGGCAACGCAGAGCAGGGGATGTGGCAATTAACCTGAGATCTGCCCGTGTCGGCTGGGTGAAGGGCGAAGTAAAGGGTGTTCCCGGCAGAGGGAACAGTGTGTGCGAAGGCCCAGAGGTAAGGAATGAAAAGCTAAACAGCAGACTGGATCCCAGAGAGGCTGGACATGGAGTGAGCTTAACCTGGGGTGGGAGAGGCGTCACTGGAGCCAGCCCACAGGGCACTTTGTGGCCCAGGGTGACACCTTGCATTCTACCCCGAGGGCAGTGGGCACTAGGGGGGAAGGATTTTAACCAGGTCAGATTTGGGTTTGGAACATTCTGGATTGGGAGAAGTCTCTCCTGTGAGCTCACACATGTCAGCGCTGCGCTGGAGTCGGGGCTATGTCAGTGTGGGTAGGGCGAGATCACGGAGGGCCTCCTGGAGGAGGGGGCCCGTGCAGCACAGGAAGGCTTCGAGCCCCCCAGCCAAGTCCCTGCAGGTGAGAGAGCACCGGGGGAGGAGGTGGCTGCCCTGCCCTGGCTTCCTCCTCTGCCTCCGCCCCCAACTCACCGTGGACGGTCACCTGGTACAGCCTGCGGGCCTCGCCCACCTCACTGCTCGCCACACACTCAAACAGGGCCGTGTCCTGGGGGCTGGGGGCTGTGAGGAGCAGGGCGTTGGAGGGCAGGAGCCTGGGACAGACAGACGGACAGAGAGACGACTGACCTGAGACCAGCCAGCGTTGGCCTCCCTGCCCCAGGAATCTAGGAAGTGGGGTGGGGGGAGTCTCACGACTATTTCTCTTTCCTGTATCTGGCCCCAGCTCTGACTCTATTAGTTTCTTCTAGAAGTTTCCACCCCTGAAAGGCCTGGTTTGGGGGTGATTTCCATTTCCACCCTGGTTTGTCTGGAACCCTGAACGTGTCCCGCGTCTACCATCTGCAATAACGTCTACCATCATGACCACATCCGGCTCCCCGGTCAGACCGCCAGGTCTAATGAATGCCTGCTGTGGCCACGGGCCCCACGGCACCTGACATGGCCACTGTGGGCCAGTTAACTGGCAAGCTCCCAGTGGCCACTCCAGGGCCAGCCACATTTGGGAAGTGGGGAGGGCCGGGGTCCAAGGCTCCGCCAGAGGGAACCTGGGTTGCCAAACATGTCTTCAAACAGCAACGGCCCTAGTTTTAAAGGCCACGCGCTTTCTGCTCGGCTGGGTGTCTCAGACGCCCCCACCCCCTACCCGACATCTGTGTGAAGACCCTCCTGGGCCCCCCGAGGCCAGCACCCCAGTTCCGGTGACAGCTTTGCTGAGCTCCTGCCTCGTTTCTGACCCAGGCCGCCCTCCGTGAGGTGGGCGTGCCCTTCCTCGCCCCAAGCACTCAGGACACTCCCAGGAGGACTACTCAGTACCGGTAGGTGCCCTGCTGCAGGCGGAAGTCCAGCTTCTGTCCATCCTTCCACCAGGCCACCAGGGGCTTGGGCGAGCCACTGGCCTCGCAGGGCAGTGAGGCGGGGGCGTAGGCCGTCAGGGTTAGGTCGGAGGGGCTGGGGGCGATGGCCGGAGCCTCTGGGGAGAGAGCAGTGGTCAGGAGGCAGCTGCTCACCACACACTCAGGATGGGGGCGGCCAGGGCTACTCTCCCCTTCAATCCCCCTACAGAAGCAGGGGAGAGGAGGCAGGAGAAAATCCCCTTGGGGACCTCGAGATGGGCTCTTGAAGTTCAGGTAAGGGGCCTCTGCTCGCCTCGGAGGCTGGTGCCCCTCTCACTACCTCTCTGAAAGGAGGCCTCCAGGGCTGTTGTGGCTCCCGCCAGCCCACAGAAGCCAGGGCCCAGCAATGCAGCCTCCCCCAAGGGGAGGGGATGGAGTGGGAAAAGCTCACCAGAGCGCCTGGCTCAGTGGTTCGGAACCCCATCCTTTCAAGTGGGTTACATTTTTCACATGTTTTATCTCTCACTCAATATAGCAGCATAGTAGTGAGTATATGCAATATATATGCATAAAAATAAATGTGCATCTTTTGAGGGTGATGCTAAAGAGCTTTTATTCATGGGCGTTGTTGTCATAAACATTTGGAGACCGTTGCTGTTGGTACCCGACAGCTGGAATGAGCCAGAAACTAAGCAGAGTGTGGCCCGGACCGGGGCAGGTGCTGAAGGCAAGAACACACCTTTCCCCGTCCACCTACCAAAGACCTGGAGGTCACGGCCTTGCCGGTCGGAGCCTGCAGCATTGGACGCCAGGCAGAGGTAGTGGCCGGCATCCTGGGGAAGGACTGGCTGGATCCTCAGGGAGCCCTCGGGCAGAACCTGCAACCTGGAACCGGAAGGAGGGGTTGCCGTGGAGACCAGCACACTGGCGAGACCCTCCCCTGTGCGGGATCTTCCCAGCAAGAGGGTGCTAACTCAGGAGTCCTGCATCTGTGGGGTTGAGGTCGGCGGGGCCACAGCCAGGGGCCCCAACATGGCATCAGAAAGGGCAAGAGAGGCGGCTTCAGGGCTCCTGTGTTCCCACCAGGGCCCAGCCTCGTCCCAAGAGTTGACAGACAGAGGCACCCCCACCTTTCTGAGAATGGCCCCTAGATCTAAGAACAGCCCCTTCCCAAGGGCCATGTCTGTTCTGTGTAACCCCACCCCTAGCCAGAGCTGATTGGACTGAAGAGGAACGTGTCACTCAGGCTGGGCCAATGGAATTCCCTGCCCTGGGAATTTGGAACAGGGGCTCTCAGATAGCTCTCCAGGCTCTGAAGGTTGTGTGAACTGAGGATTCTAACTTGGGGGCCAAGGGGAGTCACCTCTGCCATGCTGGCAGAGAAAGAAGGTATAGAAAATTGGTTTGAGAGAGGCATGAAGCCCCCCTGCTCCCCAGAGAAACAGAATAGCAGCCAAGAGTCAAACCAGACAGACAGACAGCCACCAGGGATTCCCAACACCCTGAACAAACACTCATGCCTATCGCTGGATTCTGAGAAGACCCATGTCCTGAACCACGGTTACCTTCTATTCCAACTGCCCACATAAGTTTCAGTTGATAATCTTCAAAGAGACACCCAAGACCCTCCCCTTTCAGCCCTCACCTGGGGCTCCTGAGATCCAGGGGGACCCCATCCTTCCGCCAGCTCATGAGGGGTTGGGGAGCCCCAACCGCCTGGCAGGGCAGCAGGGCCGTCTGGTTCACGGAGGCGTTCACTGCTGGGGGTCCCGGTTGGATGGTGGGCACCACTGCAGGAGGGGTGCAGAGGAGGCAGGTTCTGGGAGCCTGCAACTCTGAGGGGAGCGGGCAGGGGGGGAGGGGTGGGCCCACTCACTGTGGATCTCCACTTGGAACGCCACACTGGTGCTGCCCGCGGCGTTGTGGGCGGTGCAGCTATAGTCACCACTGTCGGCCATGCTCAGGGCCTGCAGCTGCAGGAACCTGCCCTGCTCTCGGAACTGTGTGTGGGCATCTTCCTGCAGAGCCCCCCAGGGTGGACAGACCCTCATCAGCGCTGGGCTGGGCACCAGCCGAGGATGGCCAAGGAACCCACAGGGCCCGACAGTAGCCCCTGCCCCATTGCAGGCTGGCCTGTATCCCCGACTCGATGCCCAGCTGAGGACCCTCCTGGGTCCTGCGGGAGGAAAGGGGCCCCTTGCCCCTGGAGCTCCCCCCACCAGGTTCACAGCAGCAAATACCCCCTTTCAGGGGCGAGCACAGAGAACCTGAGAAACCAGCCCCGAGTCATGTAGACCAAGTGTAGCTCAGGTCACAACAGGAAGCACACAGGCACACACCCACAGCCCCACGTGCAAATCTGAGCCTTGCCTCTGTGTCCCCATCCAGGACAGGGGGTGGCAGTGATAACGGGGCGGAGAACACCAGGAGCGCAGGCACGCACAGTGCTGGCACTGAGCAGCCCTCAGCCCCCCGACCCAGTCCGCTTGGGGTCTGGGGCCCGAGGGGCACAGGAGGAGGTGTCTCTGGGTCCCCAGCCTGTACCCACCTGCAGCAGGATGCCATCTCGGTGCCACTCAATCTCAGGGGCTGGATCAGCCTCCACAGAACATTCCAGAACCAGCTGTCCCGGGGCCAGGCCAACCACGAAGCGGGGACCTCGGGGTCCAATGACATTTGGAGGGGCTGGGGGCGCAGGGAAGAGATGAGTGATGGACCCACCACTGCAGGTCCCATCCTCCCTCCCTCTCCTGCCCACCCCCTGACGCCCTTACCTTGAACCCTGACCCGGAAGCTCTTCTCGACTTCACCGGCCTGGCTTTGGGCCAGGCAAGTATACAGCCCACCATCGCCCACCTGGGGATGGAGCAAGGTGAGCAGCTGCCTCTGGCCCCAACCTGCCCACCTCCCGACCTGGTTTCCTTCCTTCACAGTGAAGGACCCCCCTGAGTCTGCCTTCCCGCCTTTCCATGCAACCCATTCCCCGCTCTGGGATGTTTCTCCTCTATCTCCATCTCACCCTTGTTAGGGCTCAGCCTGCCTCCTCCAGGAAGCTCTCCCTGACTGCACCAGCCCTCCTCTGGTTATGCCATGTTTGCATCAGCCTTGGCTCTGACCTAGCTGGGAGCCCCTGAGGGGATGGCCCGAGTGGGTCAGTTCTACATCCTTACCCCACACAAAGCAGGAGCTTGGCCAGACCTTCCCAGGCGTTGCTGGGTTCCTCCCATCCCACCCCCGCACCAGACTCACGCCACAGATAATGAGGCAGCAGCACCTGCACAGCCTCCACCCGGAGCAGCTGCCCAGCCCCTTTGCTGTCCTCCTGGCTGCTCAGGGCCTGTCCGTTCTTATGCCAGGAGACGTTGGGCAAGGGGGTGCCCCGGGCATCACAGCGAAGCTCCAAGGGGGTGCCAAGGGGGAGCAACAGCTCTGCAGGCTGGCCTGCGTCCTCGATGTGGGGGGGATCTACAGAGCACCGCACCGTGGGTCAGTGGTGGGGGCTCAGAGCAGTGGGAGCTGGGGTGCACCCCTCCCCCACATCCAGATGCCGGCCGCAGAAAGAGCCGCAAACAGGCAGGTGGGGTTGGGTGGGCGGGCTCCTCAAAACCAGAGAACCTGCAGCCCACCTGCCTGGGACAAGGACACAGCGTGGAGAAGGAACAGTGACGCACATTTCTCTAATGTAAAACAACACTGGAAAAATCTTGTGCTGGACACCTGGGACTTGGCCTCTGCCCAGATTTCAGCGGCTACTGTCCCTGCTCTACATGGTTTGGGGGACAGGACTGAGGAGCCCAGCCCAGGGGAGTGACACATCCTGGCTGCCTGGTCCCCGATTGAGCCCACTCCAGGCCTCCCTCACCACCTTCTCCATCCCCCGTAGAGGCCCACCCCCCTGGCCCCGGGAAGCTCACTTGGGGGGCTGGTGACCCACCCATCACTGTCAGCTGGAAATGCCTCCTCGCTTCCCCTGCCTCGCTCACGGCCACGCAGGAATAGGTCCCCGAGTCCTCAGCTCTTGCTTGCTCCAGCTGCAGGCCGGGCCCCTGTTCGAGGCTCTGGGGCAGCAAGGGCTTCCCATCCTTCATCCACGATACCAGGGGCAGGGGGTGGCCTTGGGCTTCACAGGGGAGAACCACCGGGGAGCCACGGACCACCGCCACGTCATTCTGGAACTCTGTTGGCTCCAGGACTGGGGGCACTGTGCAGGGCAAAGAGTGGGCGCGGGTCATTTCATTCCATGCCAGGTGGCCCTCGGCCCTGGATCTTTGTTCCTGGACAATTCCTTCTCATCTCCAATCCTCAATGTAGACCTCGCCTCCTCCAGGAAGCCTTCCCTGATCCCCCGAGGCCAGGTGAAGTACCCACCCTGTGCTCACACAGCACCCTGTCCTTCCCCAGGTAGCACCAGTCACTTGAACTTGTGATTCTCTCCTTGCAGAGCTGTGTCCTGCACTGACCTCCTGGTGGCAGGGGCCACCCCTGCTCACTGCTGCACCCCAGTGCCTGCCAAGGCCCTGGAGCACCACAGTGTCCAACGCCTACTTGTGAGATGAACAAGTCAGACTGGGTCACTGTGTTGGGCCTTCATTCTTACACCCTAAGGCCAAAGGTCAGGCTGACTCCATGCCCCTGCTCCGTACCGTGCACCTGCAAGGTGAAGTTTCTGTCGGCCACGCCAGCTGGGCTTGCGGCCACACAGGTGAAGATGCCAGAATCTGTCAGCTGCACCTGGGAAATCCTGAGCCCCTCAAGAAAAGGGGCAGAGGGACAGGAGAGAGGCAGGGAAGGGCTTGGTGGGAAAGGTCCCGCCCCGCTCATCTGTCTCTCCGGCTAGCCAGCCCAAGGGCGGCTCTGAAACTCGAACTTGAGCAAGTCCAGCCTCTGCTTCAGCCCCTTTTCTGTGCCCCCTGGTGTCCTCAGAACAGAGCCCCAGCCTCCCTGCCCCCACCCCGCCGCCTCCTTCTCTGACCCACCTCACTGGGCTGCAGGCTTCCTGCTTCCCAGCCAAGAACAGCCCCCAACCCCACCCCGTCTTCTAGACCATTCCTCCTCATCTTCAGAACTTACCAGAGTTGTGCCCAGTGTCTGTTCCCCCACTTTCTCTCGAGCCCCTTTCATCTCGGCCACCCCATCCTGAGCTGCTCCCATCAACGTCCCCAGTGACCTTGCCAGGCAGGGCCCTAACGCTAATGGCAGGACTGCAGTCTGCACCCGCTCCCCGGGGGTAAACACTTAAGTGTTGCTGAATGCATGAAGGCTTTGCTTGTGCACCTTCTTCCAGGAAGCCTGCCCGAGTTTCCTCCACCGCAGGCCAGGCCGTCAGGTACAACCAGACGCCATCCCCCGGATCTGTGCCTCCCCCATTCATCTCTGGAGTTCCATTTGGGGGTGGGGTCCTCTCACTTTCCCTATCATAAAACTGTAGGTTTATATTATTTTTATTCTCAAAAGCACTCAGATGTGTCTTTGAGCCTGGAGCCACTTGAAAGCAGCCGGAGCTACCATGCCAGGGAACTGCCTCGTACGTCCTTTGTCTCAAATCTCCGGAATGTTAAAACCGGGCAAGACAGCCTCTGGAGTGGGCCCAGGGCGACTCGTACCCCAAAGAGTTGGGATGGAGAGCAAGAAAGCAGCGGTCACAACCACTGGGCCGGAAAGTAACAGCACCGGTTAGAACCGACGCCGCCGTGTTCCGGTTTTCTGCAACAACAGCAGCACCTCCCTCCAGCGGGGATGCCCGCCCCCTCCCCTCTCACAGATGCCTTTGTCTCCTAGTCCCGACAGCGTCGGGGCTCCTGGCTGTTCTCATTGATCTCAGCATGCCTGTGCCCCTCACGCTGAAAGCCTTTCATTTTCAGGTTTACAAGCCCTGGCTGCCGGAAGGTGAGCCTGCGGCCTGCCACACACTGGCCATCGGGCCAGCAGCTGCTCCCTTACCTGAGGACGCGGCCGGAGCCATGGAGCTGGGTGCGCTGGGAGAGTGGGAGGGGCAGGCCGTCCTTGAGCCAGCTCACGTGGATGGGTGGGGAGCCCCGGACAGGGCACGCCAGAGTCACCATCTCCCCAGCCCTGCCCACCAGGGGCCCCACGCCCTCTGTACCTTGCTCAATGATGGGAGGCACTGGGGGCGGGAAGAGAGGAAACAATGGGCAATGAGGGGTCTGGGGAGAGGAGGGGTCTTCTGCTAAGGAGGTTCTGGAAGGCAGCCCCAATGCCTAGACCTTTGGCATGTTCCCCCTGGGAAGAAGCGAAGGCCACATCTCCACCCCCGCCCTGCGGCTCCCGTCCTGTCTGATGTCCTGTGTCCCTGGTGCCCCCACTGCACCCCTGAGCCAAGGTGCTGGGTCTCTAGTCGAGGATGGGGTGGAGGTACAGTGAAGTTGCACCTGGCCTGGCTCACGGGGTGGGCGAGACTGAAGCCTGAACCAGGTCTCCTGAGTCACGTCCTCCAGATGCCCAGGGTGGGCCCCGTGACCGCTGGGTCGCTGCAGTCCCCAGACAGGGGGCCACCCACCTCTCCAAGCCCCTTGCTACTCACCCAGCACGTTCACGGCATGCAGACTGGCGTCCTCCCCGGCCGTGTTGTGGGCCACGCAGGTGTAGGCGCCCGAGTCTGAGGCCTTCAGGCCCTTCAGTACCAGGGAGTTGCTGTCCTGGTAGAACCTGGCGCAGGGAGGGAGAACCGAGAGCAGGAGTGTGAGGGTCAGAAGGTGCTGCTGCCTGGGGTGGGGGTGGGGACAGCACAGGGCACAGGCCAGGCCTTACCAGAGGTGGGGGCCCACGCCCCGGCCCAGCGGGCCACCATCCTTCAGCCAGGTCACCTCCGGTGGTGGCTGCCCATCAGCCTCACAGTCCAGGCGCACTTCCTGCCCCTCCAGGACGCTGTGCTCCTGCGTGGCACCTGAGCTCCGGATCCGGGGGGCCACTGCGGCAGGGGCTTCAGTAAGGCTCCAGGCAGCGGCAGGGGCTGGCTTGGGGGTGGGACACCAGGAAGGTGAGGGGCCAACACGTACCCAGCACAGCCACTATGAAGTCCTTGCGGGCCGTGGCCTGGGCGTTCTCGGCCACGCAGGTGTAGGTGCCAGCCTGGGCCGGTTGCAGGCGACTCATCTGGAGGCGGCCCCCACGGGAGACCACGCCGTGCACCACACTGCTCTCTGTGGGACAGAGGGGCAGGCCAGCCTGTCACCTGCAGCCCCACCACCCTAGGTGCTGCATCAGGGCCAGGCACAAAAGTCACATGACTTCCCAAGAAGGTGTCCAGCACCCATACTCACAGGGCTGGAAAGAACCCAGGAAACCTTGAATCACTCACCCCCTTCCTGGGTCCACAGGGAAACTGAGGCCCAGACAGAGGCAGGGCCTCCTCTCATCCGCACCAAGACCTTCCCCAGCCTGGTCTTTGATCTCACAGCCCTTCCCTATTTCCTTCCATTGGGACGTTTCTTCCCAAGGGACCCCACTCCCTTTAGTGTCTGGGGCAGTCCTCTCTCAGGCCCACTCCACTTCCCACCTTCCCTCCAGCTGCACCTCGCTCCCTCCCACTGATCCGGCCTTCCGATCAAGGTGAAGCAGCTGTTCACTGACCCTGACGCAGGCCAGCTAGGGGCTCCCCCTGAGCTCAGCTCAGGCTGCATGCTCACCCCCAGCCTCTAATGCCTGCCCCTTCCCTGTCCAGCCGAGCCTCAGCCCTGAAGCCTCCTCTAACCGGGCTGGCCCAGGCTGATCCACACTCGTCCACATCATCTGTCCAGCCAGCCCTTCAACACCATACTGATCAACTGCTACACATCCAACTGTGAACTTGGCAACCGAAGGTGAACAAGACAGTCCCCGTCCTCAAGCAGCCCCCAGTGCACCTGAGTCTCTGAACCAGGTGCAACCCTGTGTGGCCACCCCAGGGAAGCCCCTGATGGAGCCAGGAGCCAGCCAGCAGCACTAATGGAGGACTCGGCTGAGACTTGAGGGCGAGTGTGAATCGGCCGGGTGGAAGTGGAGGCAGGCCGGGGTGGCAGGGTGGGCGTTTCAGGGAGGGAGCAGCGAGCACTGACAGCTGGAGGCACGAGACACCAGGTACAGACCCGGGGAAGGAAAGCACATGCCGCCTAAACACATGTACATGAATGTTCTCCGCACACGGGTCATCACAGCTGACGGTGAACACCACCCAGGTGTCCACCAATCAGCACATGGACAAAGGGGATACAGCCACAAAATGGGACATTCAGCCATAAAAAAGAATGGAAAAAGAACTTAATTTTGACTTTAAAAATGGATGAAGAACTGACATGCTACAACATGAATGAACCTGGAAAGCAGGAAGCCGAGCGGAGGAAGCCAGCCACCCGAGGCCACACGCTGCGTGAGCCCGTTTACACGGCTGTGCGGGAGAGGCAGACCTACAGAGACGCCCGCTAGGCCTGGTGGGGGAGTTGCGGGGAATGCGGAGTGAAGGGTAGTGGGAATGGGGTTTCACTTGGGGGGATAAAAATGTTCTAAAATTAACTGCGGGGATGGTCTGTGAATATTCTAAAAATTATTCAGTTACACGCCTTCAATGGGAAACTTGTATAGTATGCAAATTATATCTCAATAAGGCTGTTATGGGGGCGTAAGAATGTCTGTGAGGAGCCAGGATCGGCTAGGTCTGTCCAGAGCGGGCAGCGCGAGGTGGGCTGGCCTCTGGCCCCGCAGGCTGTGGTGCAGAGGGCTACGGCCACAAAAGATCTTTGACAAACGACCCACACAGACCTGCACTTTGAGGTCCTGTCTGCCCTGCATGGAGCCTGCATTGGAGGCATGGGGTGGGCCCTGGAGACCTGGGTGGGGCGGCTGCCCTGGTCCTGGAGGGACAGTGGTGGCTGGAACCGGGAAGGGGGTGGGTGGAGAGCAGTGGGCGCCCCCAGGGGTGTCTACTCACCCACAAGAGCAGGGGGCTGCTGGCTGACTGTCAGGTGGGCAGAGAGAGGAAGAGAAAAGGTCAAGACCAAGGCCTGAACTGGGGTGACCAACAGCCAGGTCAGGACACAGTGGAGTTACTGGGAGAGGAGCGGGGAGGGGCCAACGCCAGGCCCAGGGCTGGGCCAGCTGGGTGCTCCAAGGCTGCATTTCCATCTTGGGAGCTGACTGTGGGCACAAACCCCAGGAGCCTTGGTACCCCCACCAGACCAGTTTCCGATGTTGGGATTTTCAGGCTGACAACTCCCTTCAGCTTCCTCTGTCACTTGGTGAAAGAAAGGAGTATTTAGCACTAAAAAGGTAGGAAGGACCCAATGCACTCACTCACCAATGGGCATTCTGTCCTTCAGCCAAGTGACGGTGGGGGCAGGGACGCCAGTCACATCACAGGTCAGGACCAGGGGGCTCCCAGCCACCTGGCTCACTGTCTCCGTCTTGGGGTTCTCAAACACTGGAGGCACTGCAGGAGAAAAGCCAGATTCCTGGAATCTTAAGACTCTGCCCTCCCTTCCTCCCACTCAGGCAGATCTGGGATGTTGGAGGAAGCCCTTCTCTATGGCTAGGAATTAACGTTGTATGATCTGCCATTGATGGAGCTGTGCATTGCTTTATTCACAAATAGAACCAGCAGCTGGATGTTTCAAAACATGTACAAAGCAGTGTTTAGGAGGGGTCCACTTAGGCCAAGGATAGTAAATACATGGCTTATGCGCCAGTTCTTAGCCTATGCCAGGACAGACATCACTAATCAATCCCAGCATTCTCAGACTCAGCCAGGAGGAAGTCATGCAGCCACTATCAGCGGAACAGAGATGGCTATGCTGAGGATGAAATGTCTTTGCCCTCAGAAACCAGACATTCTCTCGTGCCCACAGTTTATCAAGGCAGCCATCAGGAGAAGGGGCTGTGAGCTTTGATCAGCAAGCACTGTATCAAACATTTTTAACAAGGATAGTCAGTGTGGCTCAGGGTCTGATCCTTCCATTGCTGTCCCGGCGGGGAGGCTACTGCTTTGCCATTTGTGGCCAACAGCTGGTGTCCTCCCAACCTGTTCTCTCCATCTCGCACGCAGTCATTTGGGTAGAAACCACATTTCCCAGCCTCCCCTGCAGCTTGGCATGGCCAACTGCCTAAGTCCTCAACAAATGGGATACAAGCAGAGGGAAGAATCTTACTGCTCTTTTCTGCTCACTGGGGGCAGGGACAGGATGCAGCGTGTCCCAAATCCAACCACACGAACAGGGACAACACCCCAGGGGATAGGAGAGCAGTAAGACGGAAGGACCCCGAGTCCCCCAGTTTCCACACGGAGCCCTCACCTCTGGGTTTATGGGTGAGAGAGATGAGTTTCTCTCTCATTTAATCCACCGTAATTGGGGGTCTTTCTGTTACACGGCTAAGTTTATACCCTAACTGACATGACATCTGACGCCGAGAGAATGTGGCCGAGGCTCCACCCCGTGCTTACCTAGCCAGCTACGACACGCTCCCCTCACTCCCAGCTGGAACCACACTTAATCAGATGCCATCTGTATCCCACCCTTGGGCTGATGGGACAGGCCTCTCAGGGCTCAAGGTGGAGGAGACGTGGCCCTGGGCCGTCCCTGTGTCCGATCTCTGAGGGCTCCCATTGCAGTGCTCACGTGCCAGGCCGTGCCCAGCACCTATGGACACAGGGCCCGGGTGCCTAGTGGGCAGGTGCAAGCGTTTAGCTTCTTTCACGGAACATGCACCTGTCTCAGAGGGTCAGTCATTCCACTGAGTCCCCACAGCAAGTCCTGTTCCGATCTCGCTCCTTTCAATTCCAGATCTGCCCCCTCGACACCCAGCACCCCGCACCTCTGTCCGGCCACTGCCCCTCCCAACCTTGGCAGCCCCACGGGCTGCTGAGCATCCCAAAGCCACGCTCGCAGGCCGGTCCCCAGCTTACCCTGGACAGTGAGGACGAACGTCCGCATGGCCTCTCCAGCCACGTTGTTGACTTTACAGCTGTACAGACCTTTATCTGCCACCTGGGAGAGAGACGGCCCGTGGTGACGATGTGCCCAGGGCTGGGCTCACCCAGGTCCCAGCACCTTCCAGAGCAGGGACGCTCCCTACGTGCCAGTCCTGCTTGGCACTGGCCAAGCCTCTGGTCTTCCCTGAGCTTCAAGAGGCTGGAGGGCCCACAGCAGGCGAGTGCACGGACCCCAGACCCCACCCTCTCCAAGCCTGGAAGAAAGGGCCCCTCACTACGGGGATGGAGCCTAACCAGGCGGAGGCCCGGGTGCATTTTAGGAGCAGCAAATACCCCAAACACTGTGAGAGTCTAATCCACACAGGGGTGGCGGTGGGGAGAACTCACTCTCAGGGAGTCAGAACCAGACGGCCTGGGAAAGCTTCTAGATCCCAGGACACTGAGGCAGGTGGGGGGAAGGGACCCACCCAGGGGCGTTCTGTGGGTCAGTGTGGAGCCCTGTGCCCTTCCCACTCTCCAGCCCCTGAGGCTGCTGTTCACCTCCTCAGCTTGGGGTCTTGCAGGCCAAGGCAGCCCCCACCCCCTGCCCACCAGACAGGAGGTGACACTGTATGGCTGCCCATGGCTGCCCACACCACTGGGTCACTCACCTGGGTGTCCAGGATCTCCAGCCTCTGTCCACCCTGCAGAGTCTGGGTCCGCTGCGCCGGGACCAGGGGCCGTCCGTCCTTGTACCAGGTCACAGCTGGCTCAGGGAGTGAGTCTGTCTCACAGCTCAGAACAGCCTTGTCCCCTGCCTCCACCAGGAGCCTATCCTGGGGGCCTCTGGGAGCCTGCCTGAAGGTGGGGGGGACTGGGGGAGGGGACAAGCAGAGTAAGGGGCTGCGGCCCTCCCTGTGTCCTCCCAGCCCAGGCCACAGGGTAGCAGCCTATGGGCCCACGAGGGTCACATGGTAGACCCCACCCCAGGGGGTGGCACAGACCAGGGAGTCAGAGGAATGGACCTGCTGGGTGACCTGGGAAAAGTCCCCTGTCCCCTCTGGGCCTCAGCCTCCTGGACAGGGCAGTGCTCTGGCCCTCCGGGGCTGTTTCCTACGCAGGGCAGGCCCTTGCTGTGTTAGAACCCCCTGTGGGGGTCCCCACAGCCCCCGTCCCTCTGGCAAGCCAATGCTGAAGCCCCACCCCCCGCTGTGAGCCCACAGAACCCTGTTCATGGCATGGTAAGTAAACACACAAATGGATGAACCAGCCCCGGACTAGAAAGAACCCTCCCCTGCATGCTGGCTCAGGACATCTTGGAGCCCGGAAACAGGCTCCATGCCGAGAGCCTCTCGATCAATCAGGCTGGGGAAGGGTCCTCACACTGGGCGCCAGGCACGGGGCTAAGCGCTCAGGTACCACCATTTGGTCCTTATAGCAACTGCCACCTTCTGATGCCAGACCTGAGGCTCAGAGAGGGGGCATGACTTGCCCAAGGTCACAGAGCAAGCAAGCAAACCCAAGTGCATCCAACTCTATAGACCCTGCCCTCCACCACCATGCTGCCCGAGGGGTGTAGGGCTGAGAGCTGACTGTGCAGAGGGGTACGGGGTGGGGGGCAGACAGGACGCACCCAGCACCCGGAGCTGCACCAGCTTCTGGTCTCGGCCGGCGGCATTGAGGGCCTCACACGTGTACATCCCGGAGTCTGACAGCTGTGCCCGGGCCAGCTGCAGTGTGTGGGTGCCTGCCATGGGGGTGGGGGGAAGTCGGCCCCTCGCACCAGCAAATGCACTGGTCCCCAGGCCCACCCCCCCAATCCTAACTCCCTCCCAGACTCCCAGTCCCCCCGCCCAGAGCTGGACTCCAAGCCTCAGTTTACCCACCAGGCAGGAGGAAGACATCTTCTCCCAGAGAGAGGGCCTGGCTGTCCTTGTACCAAGTGACCTCGGGGCTCGGGTGAGCGTGCACATCACAGGGGAGGGAGACGCTGCTATTGAGGATGGCTGTGACCTGCTCTGAGCTCTGGCCTGCGATTCGTGGTGGGACTGTCCCCGTGGCCACCAGGGGAAAGAAAGACACTTGAGAAGGCACCGGGGCGGGGGAGCAGAGAGCTGCCAAGGGAGAGCTGGGGCCTGCACGGCTCCCGGCCCTTCACCGGGGCATCCTCCCACGATGCCGTGAGCAGCACCCACCTGCCCACGGGCTTGCAGACCAGACGGGAAGAGGTGTTTCCGAGGCCACTCGCTAGCTCACCAGTGGCCTGGCCAAAATGCCAGTTCAGGCCAGAGTCCTAGGCCTTTGGTGCTCAGTGCTGGCACCCCTCGGCTCCTGAGGCCACAGCTGCCCCACTCCCGGGGGCAGAGCTTGCAGCCTCCGGGGCATGTATGTCACAAGAATGCTGAGGTCCAGAGGGCCAGCTCTGGGCCGGTGACACTCCCCCACCTGCCTCAGGATCTCTCTGAGCGTCCCCATAGCTGTGAGATCAGGCTAACCTCCCAGCTCCGACACAAGGGGTCAGCCCCATGCCAGGTACAGAGTAAGGGCTTAATAATGGTGCTGTAAGGCCTCAGGAGGGCCATTCCCTGACCATCTCCAAAGTTGCTTAGAATCCTTGGGGGCTGGCCCTAGTGACTAGGCTCCCCAGTGTTCTCTGTACTGGGTGTGGGTGGTACCAGGCCTGGATCCCTGACCTCTGGGTGCAGCCCCAGGGCCTAGGACCCAGGAAGCACCAAGGTGGTGCCCCTTGGGGAGGGATGAGATGCTGTGTCTGCCTGCACATTATAACTCACAGAGCAGGGTTGGGGGTGGGGGTGGCATGCCGGTTCAGAGCCCCAGCCCCTCCTCGGCTGCGGAACCCTATGGGGCCGCCGGCTCAGCCTAGCTCACCTTGCACTCTGAGTGTGAAGAGCTTCTCCGCAGAGCCCGCTGGGTTCTCGGCCACACACATGTAGCTGGCGGCGTCGGCCACCTCTGCCGTGGAAACCTGTGGGCACAGGGACACGGAGCCAGGCAATGCCATGGGCCTGCCAGCTCTGGTCCCCCCTAAGCGAAGGACCAATGGGAGGGATCCCATTGGATCCTGCCAGGCATGGCGGGCACCCACAAGAGCCCCTCAGAAGGCCACCTTTGTCTACACGGGGCACCACTGATGGGCACGCACACCCCATGTACAGCCAGAGCTTCCTTTGACACTCAGGAGGGGAGTGTGAGGCTGAGGCTGGTGATTCCCTACAGCAAATGACATGGTGACAACAGTCTGCTCCAGCCCTGAGGAGGGCTGCTCTATGCCGCCTTGGGGCCCAGGGGTCCTGCTCAGCGGTGTCTGGCTACTGAGTGGCCCAGGCTGCTACCCGAGGTCTTAGGTGCTGGGCGTGGCTCTGTGTCAGGTGTCATTCCCCAGAAGGTGGCCCTGTGCCCCACCAAGCCCTAGGGGTAGCATTCGTGCACGCTCTTCTCAGACGTCACCAGAACTTCCACGTGCCGTGTGTGACCCTGGGCCTGCCAGCCAGGCCCACCGTGGTGGCTGAATTCCATAATTTGGCGGATGGAAGGAGATCCCCAGTGCCCTGTGTGCTCTCGGGCAAAGGACACGAGGACGACAGCTCCTGGGCTCCCGTGCAAGCAGTGCTGAGCCACAGCAGCTGCTGCCTGTAGCCCGAGTCGGGGGACATGCTGACCTGCAAGACCTGCCCGTCGTCCAGGACCTGCCGCCCTGGGCTCGGCGAGAAAGGCAGCCCGTTCTGGAGCCACGAGATGGTGGGCGCAGGATTGCCCAGGGCTGGGCACTGTAGGCTGACGGTGCTGCTGGCATTGACAGTCACTTCCTCCACCAGCTCCTCCGTGTCACCCAGGATCACAGGTGGGGCTGGGGTGGGGGACAGGAGGGTGAGGAGCAGGCAGCCCCAGGGACAGGTCCCTGGGGGGGAGGGGAAGGCATGGAGGCGAGAGCAGCACTTGGTGCCAGGCACTGGCTGGGGCTCCTTGTGCCCTATTCAAGCCCTGATGCAGCTAAGGAATCCAGAGCACAGAGAGGGCTGTGAATTGCTCAAGGTCACACAGCAACGGAGCAGCTCACTTGGGGCTGGAACCCAGTCTGGTTTCAGAGTCCAAGCTTATAACCCCTGCGTGTTAATCTCCAGATACTGCCAGACCAAACACACTCTCCACCATGACCCCCTTCAGTGGGGACCCCCATAGGGCCTGCAGACCTGAGACACCCCCACCCCCGACCCCAGGCTGGCCACTCACTCAGCACCGTCAGCTCGTAGTGCAGCCAGTCCTCGCCCACCTCATTGGAGGCCTTGCATGAGTACCTCCCAGCATCCTCTGCGCGTACCAGGGGGATCTGCAGGACCCGGCCTCCTGCAGGGATGGGGACAGGGGCCTGAGCAAAGGTGAGGAGACCTGTTCTATCTTCTAGAAGGGACCTGGGACACATCACCAGCCCCCCTCCTGCCTTACCTGTGAAGTGGAGGGAACCTGCCTGTCCTGCCCAGCTCATGGGGCCTGGGGGTCAAATAAAGCCCAGGAAGGCTGCTGTGTGCCAGGCCCGGCCGAGCATATTCCTGCTCTCAGACTCTGTATATACCCCCATCTCACAGATGGAAAAACTGAGGTTTCCCCAGGGTACCCAGCGGTGCCGCCTGAGCCCGGCTCCTCGCTGAGGACAGAGGGAAGGGCCAGCGAGCTGGGCAGGGGCCCTTAGGAGGCAAAGAGGCAGCAACCTCTGTGCTGGTTGAGGGTGGGGGCTCCTGGGTGGGGGGTTGTCACCTGGGACCTCTGGGCCCCAGAGCCAACTAGGACCAGCCAGACCCTGGCATTTGGGGGGGCTGCAACTGGTCTCTGGCAGGGGCCAGGCTAGGGTCACTCTGTGTTCACATTCTGGCCCAGGCCGTTGGGGCTGGTGACCAGGGTTGGAACCGGGGGCTCACTGCGTGCAGAGCCAGGGGACAGTGTCACGATTAGGGAGGCCATGGCCACAGTCAGGGTCACTTTTGTGCTTAGGATTGGGAGTCAGTGGCCAGGGTCAGAGGTCAAGGGTGGGGTTGGAGGTTTATGGCTAGGTCTGGGGGTCAGCTGCTGTGGCCGGGATTTGGTTGGTGACTGGGATTAATCTACAGTCAGAGTCAGAGCCAGGGACCAGCATGTGACTGAGCTCACTGTGTACCTAGGATTTGGGTCAGTGTCCAGGGCAGAGGGCAGGCTAAGGGTCAGTCCAGGGGTTTCTGACAGGAGCAAACAGCTTTCAGTAACTGTTCTCTGCCAGATCTCCGAGGGGCCACCTTCCTTTGCAAAAGCCGAAGTACAAACCCCAGAATGACCCTGCCTGTCGGCGTGTCCCTCTTACATGCGACCCACCTCATCTGTCCACCCCCACCCCCACCATGGGCTCCAGCCTGGCAGGACACGGGGCGAACCCTAAGCCGGAGACCGCCGAATCCCCAGTCTGACGCGGTACAGCGCGTGGTGCCTGGAACTCCTGCCAGTTCCGGTCAGGCCTGGGGCAGCCGCCCGGGGAAGCCAGGCGTTTCTGAGCCCTTCGCCAGAGCCTCTTCATTCAAAATCCTCCACACACACACACACACACACACACACACACACACACACACACACACACACACAAATAAAACTAAACTAAAACAAACGTGTTGTTTTAAAAAAGAAAATCAACTTAGATAAATATTTAAAGTTGTGAAAAAACAAGTCACATGAACCACGGCCTTGGACCCCAGGGTGCTTCTGAGCCCTGGAAGAGGTCCTTCCACTTTGGGGGGTCACGAGATGCTAACACGGAAGTGGCTCCCCCTCCCAGGAGGGCGACAGCTTTGGCCCATTATTTCTAGACACTGCAGAGCTTGATGCCCGTCTAGTCCGGGTTTACAAAGGGCAGCGAAGGTCCAGAGAGGCCCCAGGCCCTGCCCCAGGTCACACAGCAAACAGCACCCAGGAGAGCCCCGAGGACCTGTGGGAGGGCCACCGAGGGGACCCGCCCCAATGTGGGTGGGGCCTGGGTCCCTGCCTGCAAGCACCCCAACCTCTCCTTGCAGCCCGGCCTACCCTGCAGGACTGACACCCCATCTGCAGCTGAGAGGGGCCGGTCCTCCCGGTACCAGGTCAGCTCCGGGGGTGGCACCGCGCTGGTGTCGCAGTACAGGTACGCGGGGCTGCTCTCCACGGTCTCCCGGTATTCTGTCACCCCGCCCCGGGCCTCCTCTTCCCAGGAAGGGCTTTCAAAGGCTTCGATGGCATCGCCCGCCTTCAGGAACATGGGGGGCACTGGGGGGGTGGGGATGACAAAGCCGTTAAGACCCGTTAAGACACAAAGCTGAGGGATGAGCCAATCCCGTAGGTCAAGACATTTTAAAAATTCATTCATTCCTTCAACTAGTGTTTTGGTTTGTTTGTTTGTTTGTTTGTTTAACAATTTTATTTATTTATTTTTAGAGAGAGGGGAAGGGAGAGGGAAAGAGAGGGAGAGAAATATCAGTGTGTGATTGCCTCTAGCATGTTCCCTACTGGGGGCCCGGCCCACAACCCAGGCATGTGCCCTGACTGGGGATCGAAACCAGTAACCCTTTGGTTCACAGGCCAGTGCTTAAGCCATTGAGGCACACCAGCCAGGGCCCTTCAACTAGGTTTATTGAGCAATTGCTATGCTCAGCACCCGAATAAGGTTCCTGCCCTCTGACACGCACATCTAATGGACACAAAAAGGCTTCTCTCAATGGGGCGATATTTTTCAGGGGAGGAAGCTGGGTACTGAGCTTTAACCAGTGTGTTTATCGGAGCACATGGGTATAAAGTCACAGGCTCTCAGAACTCAGGGGTCACATCAAGGCGACCTGATTCAATCACCCCATTGTACAAAGGCAAGACTAAGGTCTGGGGGCAGGGGTGTCCCCAGGTCACAGAGTCAGTTCACGGGAGAGGCCAGGCCAGGGGTCTGGGGGCCAGATGTGCCAGGCAGTGGTGAGAAAGGGGGTGGGCAGCCCCCTGCCAGACCACTCCGGGGGCAACCACTCCCCACCCCCAGCCATGCCGCCCCCTGCCCCCTGGCCCGTGCCCCCACCAGGCCCCGCTGGCCCCCACACACCCTGGATGAGCACACTGAAGTCCTGGTCATCCTCGCCAGCCACGTTGGTGGCCACACAGAGATAGCGCCCGGAATCGGAGACCTGCGTGGGCTGGATCTGAAGGAGCCGCCCTTCACCCAGGATGCGGAGCCGCTCGCTGGGGGTCACGGGCTGGGGGAGGGCCAGAGAGGGAGCGGGTGTCACAGACGGAGGGGTACCCAGACGAGTGTTCTTAGATCTTAATAAAGTTTTAAAAATACAGCAAAATGATAGTTTCTAAACCAAATCTGTATAACTTAAAAACCGGGAGAGAATGAAACGGGTAAGCATAGGACTTCGAGACCCGTCCCCTGTGCAGAGCAGGGGACACTAAAGGGGGAGGCGGGCCAGGCCTGCTCTGGGGCCAGGGGCTCCGACTGCGTGCACTGGAAGGCTCCCAGCAGGCCCAGGGGGCTCCGGGGAGGGCACCCGAGGCTGCTCGGGGTTCTTGAGCTCACCCGTCCATCCTTGTACCAGCTGATGGCAGGCGGGGGCGAGGCCCAGCACTCACACTCCAGGGTCAAAGTGCTGTTGACCTTGGTCTTCACTTCCTTCACAGCAACCTCCCCCATGGAGTCATTTTTGGAGATGGAGGGGGGGACTGAAAATCATAAGGGGGTCTGAGCAGCAGGCCTGGGGCAGGGCACTGAGACGCTCACCCTGGTCCCAGGGCCAGGGGTGGGGGGGCGTCACTTAGAGAGGAGAGTGTCTGTCAGTGACTGTTATAGGGCAGGGCAGGCCTGGGGCAGGGGGATTCTGGGGGACCTCGGGGGTCTCAGGCCGAGGAGCCTCTGGCCACATCAGAGCAGAAAGAAGCCAGGACTGCAGAGGGTCTGGGCCGCTGGGTGGCCTAAGTCCTGCCTCACCGTCCCCTCCTCCCAGTGTCTGTGACCCTAACATAGAATGACACAGCTGGCCTGGCTGCCTGGTGACTATTGAAGGAGATGAACCCCACGACAGTGCGGCCCGGGAGCCGGGGTCCCAGGGTTCCCGCACGGCTGTGGGCCCACCCACCAGGCCAGAGCCCTGGAGGCCCCAACTCACTGAGGACTTCTACGTGGTAGTTCTTCACGGCCTCCCCCAGAGGGTTGGTGACCACGCAGGTGTACTGGCCTGAGTCCTCCTTCTGGGCATTCAGGATCTGCAGCCCGTGGGTGCCTGCTCTCAGGGAAGGGCCGGGTCACCCTCAGGCATGACACATGACTCTGGTTCACCAGTCCCTTCCTCCAACCCCCCGCTCCTCCCCACAGCGGGCTTCACCTGGGAGCAGCTGGATGTTGTCTGAGGCCTCAAAGGGCAACCCGTCCTTCATCCAGGTGATGGTGGGGGAGGGGAAGGCCAGCGCCTCACAGATCAGAGAAATGGGGTTGTTGATGGTCACGGTCACCTCCTCGTCCGCACTGTCCTCGCTCGCCCCCAGGATGGTGGGAACCACTGTGACAGGAAACCAGGAGGGTGCTCGTGAGCTCGCAGTCCTGACAATGGGCCCGAGCACGCTGGTGTCTAGCCGCTGTGCTGTTGCAATCTGCACTACCCAGAGGGAAACTGAGGCTCAGGGGAGCCCAGGCAGAGGCAGCCAGACTCGAGTTCCAGCCCGGGTGGCCCCGAGCGCCAGCTCTCCGCCACTAAGCAAGACCATGGGGGGAGCGGGGCAGCTTCTGCCTCTCTTTCCCCAGTAGCCTCTTCCCATCCAGAGAGTGCGAATTAAAGCAGAGCCTTCTTGATCCTGTCCGTTTCCAAACCACGGGACCCCACCCCCACCCCCGGCCCGGTGGAAGGTCGGGTGGGGCAGGGGAGTGGAGTTCCCTTCACCGCTGAGCAGAGCAGCTCTGCTCTCATTGGTCCTAAATTCCTCTCTCAGCTGCCGCAGGGCCCTCCCTGTTCCAGCAGCGACACTTGGAGAAGCAGACTGTTCGAAACCAGTCTCTGTCCTCTCGTTTTTAACCCGTTTCTCCAGCCTAACCAGACAGTCGGTGCTGCACGGCCCTCGGGAAATAGATGCTTCGAAGGAGTCACGTCATCTCTCTAAGCCACACGCCTTCCTCAGTGACATGGGGACAAGCACAGCATCCACTTCCTAGGGTGGTTGTAAAGTTTCCACCAATAAGGCCTGTCCAAATGCCTGGCCTATGATAAACCGTCAGGCAATAGACCCGCTATCATTACCGTTGTTGTTGAACTTGGAGAGGTGCAAACGAAAATAAAAACAGTAGGGCACTTTGTGGGAAGATGTCGGCCGGAGCTGGTCGGCTCGGTTCTCCCTCCCGCGGGCACCCCGTGTGGCCAGGACGGGTCCAGCACTCACCCAGGACGCTCAGCTGGAAATGTTTGGTCTTCTCCCCCACGGCGCTGGCTGCAATGCAGGCGTAGTGGCCGGCACTGGACAGGTTGGCCTGGACGACCTGCAGAAGGGCGCCATCTGGAGAAATGTAGTGGGTGTCTCCGCCAGCCAGGGGTCGGCCGTCTTTGAACCACGTGACCTTGGGCTGGGGGTGGCCTGCAGGCAGAGGAGAGAGGCAGGTAAGACATTTCAGCAGGATCTGACCGGGCTGGGGTAGAGGGCGGATCATGGGTTTTCCATCTCAGTCCAGAGGCCCGTGCAGCAGGGCAAGACACAGAAGCAGCCACCAGGGGTGGCCTGGGCCTTTTCCCAAGTGGTACGACTGCCTTTTCCTTTCCTAGGAGTCAGCAGAGGTGGCTTAGTACAGACAGAAGACAACTTTTTCCATCCGTCCACCTATCCATCCATCTACCCACCCACCCATCCATCAACCCATCCATCTTCCCCCACCCATCTTCCCCCACCCACCCACCTATCCATCCATTCATCCAAACATAAATACATACATCACCTGTCTATCCAGCCAGCACCCACCCACCTACCCCAACCCACAAGTGCTAACTGGAGCCCACTACACCAGGCACTGGGGGAACCATGGTGCCAAGGTAGCTCTGGGGTCCTCAGGGAGCCCAGAGCCCAGCGGGGGTCCACAGATATCACCAGGCCACTGTGGACCAGTGCGGTCAGTGCTGGGATGGAGAACGGAGGGGCGGGGACAGGCAGGCCAGCCCCCCAGCCCCCCCTTTCTGAAGCTGCCTTGTCGCCCTTCGCCCAGCCACCGGGTGTGGCCTTCCTTACCTGTGGCGTTGCACATCAGGTGGGCTGTGTGTCCCTCAGGGACCTTGATCGCCTCCTCCAGGTCCTCGTTCTCAATACTGGGAGGAACTGGGAGAGCAGGGAGACAGCTGGTTACCAACCAGGTTGGCTCACTCGGCTGGACCGACACCGAGCAGGACACCGAGAGCCCACGGCATCTCGCCTCAGGCCGCTGAGCCTTGGTTTCCCTTCCCCTCGTGCCACTTCTACAGGGCCACGCGCTTAACTCAGCTTCACTGCTGGCCGAGGGGAGCACCAGGGCTTCTGGGAGAAGGCCCCGATCAAGGTGGGCAGTGTGGGAGGCGTTAAAAATATTTTCTCCCTGCCACATGGGATTAGTTCCTGCTGTTTCAGAAAGTTCCATGGCAGCCTCAGAGCAGAGGTTGCTGATGAGGCAAAAAACAAAACAAAACAAAACAACAAGCTTTGGCCTGTCCTTCCTTCCTGGGCCGGGCCCCGGCTACAGCAAAAGCCCTTCGCCCTGCCCCCATCCCAGCCCCATGACCTCCAGGAAGGAGGGAAAGGACCCGAGTGCTGGGGACGTGGGGCTGGACGCACCCAGGACCTCCACGCTGAAGTTCTTCCGCACCTCCCCAGCCGTGTTGCTTGCCAGGCACGAGTAGAGGCCTCTGTCCTGCTCCTGTATCCGGGTCATCTTCAGCATCCAGCCGCCTGGGGAGTGGGGAGGGTGGACTCCAGGCACGGCCCCGAGCAGCCTCTGTCTCAAGCTGAGCCCGGGCTGGCCCCCAGGAGTAGGAGCGCTCCAGGCGTCATAATGAGAGTGTATGCATCTACCTCCCCCAGTGCTCCATTCCTCGGATGGGGAAACAGACCCAGGAGGGCGAACAGATGGGTGGAGCCCCTTAGACATTAAGACACACACCCGGGTAAGCCTGAGATGCTGTTTGAAGAAGAAGGACCTGTCACCTGGCTGGCCCCACTTCTGAGGACTGGCTGGGGCTAGAGGGACAGCACTGGGCCTGGCCCGGGTCGGACTGCCCTGCTGCTCTGACGGAGCCTGCAAGAAGGCACCTTCCTCTAAAGACCTGTTGGAGGTGAGCCAGCTCCTCCCGGAGGGGCGCAGGGAAGGCACAGACATGCAAGCGCTGCTGCTCCTGGACCCGCAGCAGACATCACTAGTCGATCACCACTCTCCCGTATCACCCGTATCATCACAACACATCAGGCCACCCCTGCCACATGCTTGGAAGTGGTACACTGGGGGACACTTATTTGCCACCCTAGCTTTACAATAATGGGAACATCCCTGTGGGGAAGAATTTATGGGTCACTGAGGGTGAACCTCAGGGGGCCTTGAAGTCCTTGCGAGATCTGGATGGGACACTGCCTGTTGGGCCTCAGTTTTCCCACTCGTGTGCCAGCGAGAACCGTCACACAGGAACTCTGTGAGGAGGAGGAACACTCAGAGTGAAGGTGCTCGGACCACGGTTTCCGGAAGTTTGTCACCGCTCTGTGGGGGGGCTACGTGAGTGCTGTGAGAACTGTCACTGAAGGGAACCCTGACTCTGTCACCAGTTGCTGTCTGTGCCCAGGAGCGGAGCGGAGCAGGAGGCCTGTTCCCAAACTTGTTCACATCTAATGTTTTCTCTGGAGCCACCACCCAGCCGGTGTTTGGGCACTGAGGGCTACAATGTTTGGGCCTACCTGGCAGGTCAGGGTCGGGTCATGGGCGTATGATGAACAGGGGCAGAAGCAGAGGACCAGACCTCCTCACCAGATACCCTCCTGGCTGGCTCCTCACCTGCCAGCAGGTAGGCGTCCTCCCCAGGGCTGACGGGCTCCTCCCCTCGGAACCAGCGGACCCCCGGGGGTGGCACGCCTGTGGCCTCACAGAGCAGCGTCAAGGGGCTGTGCAAGGCGGCGGTGACGTTGGTCAGCGGGTCCGAGTCTCCGACAATCTCTGGGGGCACTAGACACGGAGAAGCCACTCCACTCAGGGTGCAGACAGGACTGTGTGCCCCTTCCCCAACCCCCGACCGCCTCCCTGGGATCCCCACCCCCCGCCATCGGGAGAGGCCAAGGAGCAGAAGGGACGGGTCAGAGCCGCTCCCACCGAGAGGAGTGAGCAGCAGCCACAGGCCGGCGCCGTGGGCCTCCATTCCCCCAGCCCCTCCGAGGGAGGCCAGGAGGACGGACGTGGGTAAAGCGCTCGGCTCAGTGTGTGGGTGGAGCCAGGGCCAAGCAGGGGGCCTGGGATGAGACCAAGGCGACACAGACGCGTCCCCAGACCGCACGTCAGGGTCCCGTGGGCCTCTGCGGGTCTGACACGTGTGTTCCCGAAGGAGGCCACCCCTCTCGGGCCAGGGAGAGCGGGCGGGTGGCAGGGGGTCCCAGCCGCACTGGAGCAGGACGAGGGGGCCCTTCCTAAACCGACCCCTGCCCGTCTCTCCTATCTTCTCTCCTACCACTCCCGCTTGTGCCCTGAGGTGTACAGCAGGAGCTCCAGGAAAGACTGACATCTTGAGGCTAGCCACCCTGAACCTGTCACCCTCTGGGCCTCTGCTCCACATTTTGGCCCTCACACGGGCACCTGATGAACTCCCACTCTGCTCTTATGCTGCAGCTGGCAGGCCACCTCCTACAGAAGGCCACCCCGGCTTCCCAGGCATGACAGGGCCTGGGCCCCTCAATTCCCCCATTGCATATAAGCCACGAAGCAGGGAGACTGCTCATTTGCCCAGTGCCCAGAACAGAGCGGGGAACAGTGAGTACGGGAGAGCAGGGGGAGAGAAGGCAGGGTCAGCAGGGCTGTGTGAGGCCGGTCCCCGTTTGAGAGCAGCCTGGCCCCCCTGGGGGCCTGCCTCCCGGGAGAACAGGGCGTGAGACTGAACTGGCTGGGCCTTCTCCAGTCCGTGCCCCTGCCGCTCCCCTCCACACTCCCACCCCACCCCACCCTGGCCTGCCCCCCTCCGGCAGGCTGCCGGTCCTCACCCAGCACCGACAGCGCAAACCGCCTCTCGGCCCTCCCAGCCACGTTCTCGGCCACGCAGCTGTAGCGTCCGGTGTGGGCAGCCTGCGCCCGCTCCACGTGCAGGCGCTGACCCTGGTTCTGCAGCCGCAGGCCCAGCTCCGCCCCTACCGGCTGGCCATCCTGCTCCCAGGTCACCCTGGGCAGGGGTTTCCCTGTGACGTTGCACTCCAGAGTGGCCTCCCCGTCCTGGACCACGGAGACCTGTGTGTGGGGCCCCCGGGGGCCAGCGATCTGAGGGGGGACTGGGGTGGAGAGAAATCTGCTGTAGGCCACCCGGCCCCAGGCTGGCCCATGGTCCCCACTGCCACTTACTGGCCGTACAACCTTGGCCGGGCGGCCTCACCTCTCCGGGCCTCCACTTTCCATCCTTATAATGGGGTCACAATGGTACCTCCCCCGCCCTGGGAATCCTGGGGAGAGGCCTGCTGTGCAGAAAGCGAGCTCACGGCCCAGCCCCCAGTCCTGCGAGGGTCTCCTCCCTCGGAAGCGGGGGCTTCCTGGGGCCTAGATGGTCACTGGGGCTGGCGTTCTCTCGGAAACGCTGCTCTCAGCCTTGTTTCCCAGAATGGTTTCTGCAAGACTGAGATGTTGGGTCACTGCGGGACCAGCAGCTGGAGACAGGTCTCCATTACAGATCTCAGCTTCGGAGAAGCTCTACCCTTCTCTCAGTGTCCAGCTGTTCCCTGCTGTGTTTCTCCCGCTGGGCCGTGGGGCTGCGTGGGGCCGCCCCTCGAGGGCCCAGGTCAGGAGCTGCAGGAAGCTCCCTGGGAAGGGCCATCAATAAAATGCCGCTGGTCTAACAGAGGCCACAGACAGAATCCTCGTCCTCACCATTCCTGTCCTGGCGTGGATTCTGGGGGTGGGGTCCCCCCGCCCGGCTTCTCCTGCCTGGTTCAGGTCCCCCCAGCTTACCGTGCACCTCCAGCTGCAGGGTCCGGCTGCTGTTTCCTGCCACGTTGCTGCAGTCACAGGTGTACTCGCCCTCATGGCCTGGCTGGGCCAGGCCCAGGTACAGCAGCCGCCCCACCGCCGACGCCTGCTCGGGGCCTGACCCTGCCCCAGGGACCGGCTGGCCTGGATGCAGCAGGAAAAAAGCTGTGGGTTCCCGGTCCTTTCACTTGGAACATCTGTCCTCCCACTACCCTGGCTGACTCCTGCCCACCATTCAGGTGTCCACCTAGATGTCACCTCTGCCAGGAAGCCCTCCTTGAGCACCAGACCTGATCCTGGCACCCTGCTGACCTCTCCCAACCCCTGCTTCTTCCCATCACAGACTTATCTGCAGGCCTCTCTGTCTGAATCCAGCCCAACCCAGGTCCACCTGAGACGCCCTGCCTCGCTCCGCAGGGATCGTAGGGGCTCAGGGCTTAGCACACAGCAGGCCTCAGGGACGGCTACTGAATGGATGACCCTTCCATGGCCTGGGGGTGGAGACCAAGCCGTGGGTACACTGGGCAGCAAGAAGGACTTTACGAGTCTCCAGCGCTGCCCTAAACACCAACTCTCCTGGCCCCAAACCTGTTTGTACAAGAGCAGCCCCCCCAGGCTGGGGGCGGGGCTCCAGTGACCACATGGCCAAGCTCCTCCTCCTGACACCCTCTTCTCTGCCCTGGGGACCTACCTCGACTTGACCTCCCCTCTGAGCCACACCATCTACCTGTGACTGCCCACTAGACATCTCACCGGGTGCCTAAGTCATCTCGAAATTAACAAGCCCCACATTTGGGGTCTGCCCCACAGACCTGCCCCACGGCCTTGACTCGGTGATGGGGCGGTGGCGCCAGGCTCCTCACCGGCAGGCCAAATCCCCGCCCGCCCGCTGAGCAGCCCCCCGCCTTTCCGGTGCCCTCTCTGCCTGGTCAGGAACTCGCCCAGTCCCACCCTCACTGCCCCTCCCTGCCCTTGCCGGGTGCCCCCAGGCCAGAGCCCAGCTGAGATGAAATGGGTGGGGGTGGGGGTGCAGAGGCGACACTTCCCTCAGCCCTTTCTCTGCTCGGTCCCCAAGTCTGCTGGGAGCCCTGGCCCCTTCCCAGACAGCGACCCTACCATCCTTCCTCCAGGTGATCTTGGGGAAAGGGACACCCCGACATTCGCAGGACAGCCTGGCGGGGTGCCCTTCAGCCACAGTCAGGGTGCGGGGCTCCGTGGAGGGGAACACTGGAGGAACTAAGAGAAGAAAGGGTAAGAGGCGGGCAGCAGGCAGGGGGTGGGTGGATGGAGGGACAGGAGTGGAGAAGGCTGTGCCCTGGGCCCCAGTCAGGGCCGCACATCCCCTGGGCATGCAGGGGCGGGGCCAACACGCGGGGGTGGGGCCAGCATGCGGGGCGCAGCGCAGGCGGAGCCTCAGCCCAGCCCAGCCCAGCAGACCCTCACCCCAGACGTTGAGGTTGTAGTGTTTCTCCGAGCGGCCCGCCTGGTTCAGCGCCTCACAGGTGTAGCGGCCTGCGTCCCACACCTCTGCTCTGTCCACCTGGCCGAGAGCCACATGACCCAGCATCAGTGGGGGCAGCACAGAGACGGGGTCACCCTGGACAGACCCTGTGACTGTGGGCATGTCACTTCACCTCACTGTGTCTCAACCTCTCCATCTGGGACCTGGGGGTGACGATAGCACCTCCAGCACCTCCCGCACCATGAAGTTTCCAGAAGCTGGTGGCAGCCCTACCGGCCTCACCCCACTTCACAGCCTCAGCTCAGAGGAGAAGGTGGAGAACGAAGAGGGTGGGGAGAAGGGACCCTACTGTGGGCGCCAGGTCCTGATGAGGTGGGCGACAGCCACGGCTCTGAAGGGGGGAAGGGAAGGAGAGGCAGGCATTCTGGGCGGTGGGGACCACACAGGGGAGGGAGTTGGAATGATCACTTCAGAAGGTGCGGAGCGGGTGGGGGAGGGAGAAGCAGGCTGGAGCAGCGGGAGGGTCTCCCAACGGCAGGAACAATGCCCGCCCCCCAGGGGACTGGATGCGGACACACTGTTCTCCAGGGCAGCAGGCCAGGACGTCACAGGCCTCCTCACTCCCTGAGAATTCTCCCAGCCACCCCAGAAGAAAGGTACCAGCCTGCTTGCAGGTGAGAAACCTGACAGCCCAGGCCTTGGGGCATTTCCTTAGGCCGCCCAGCGGGGGAAGTGGGGGGCGGGGAGCTAAAATTTAAATCTGGGCTGACTCCTGCTACCCACTGTCTTGCTGGGCCAGAGGCCTGATCTAGGGCCTTAAATACCTAGATGCGAGGTGGCTTTGGAACAAGGAGTGACAAACAGAGGGAGAGCTGAGGGCTCCTTCCTGGGGCTTCACCCTGGTCCCCATTTGGCCAGAAGCTGCTCTGACCAGTTGGCAACATGTGCCCTGGTGTCAGGTCTGGAGGGGCCTGTGGAGCACACACAGCTGAACAGCACCTGGTGGGAGGCCGGGGGGCACCCACAGCCCCTGCCCTGCCCGGGGCCCAGCCCCACTCTTGACCAAGGCCCCTGCCGTCAGCCTTTGTGGCCGCGTACCTCCAGCAAGGCCTTGTCTGCCGAGAGGCGGACTCCGGGTCGTGGCTCCAGGGGGCGGCCGTCCTTCCGCCAGCTCAGCACGGGAGGGGGCACGGCATGGCTGTGGCACTCCAGGGCCACTGACTCGTTGGCCACGACGGACACGTTCAGCTCTTCTCCGAGGATGTGGGGGGGTGCTTTGTGGGGGGCAGGAGAGGGGCCGTCTCAGCTGCTGGGTGGGGCCCGCAGCAGGGAGTAGCCACCGTTAGGATGAGGCTGGCGTCCTGGACTGCAGGCCCCTTATGCCCCCTTAACGTCCCCCAGAGCCGAGGAGCGCGGTGGACAGTGACAGCGGTACCGTCCTGGGTTGAATGCACCTTAGTTGTACCTAATCCAGGATGCCGCCACCAAGGGACAGCGGGTGAAGCGGACACAGGATTTCCCCGTGTTATTTCTTACCACTGCATGTGAACCTACACTTATCTCAAAATAGTTTTAAAATTAGTAAGATTTTTATTTTTAAAAATGTTTTTAAAGCCAGGCCCCCCAGCCACCCTTTGTCTGAGACATAAGCAGCGTGTGTGGCACAGGGTCAGGAAGGCGGGGTCAGGGGTCCCGGCCGAAGTCCCCAGTCCTAGCACTGGGCCACCGCGTGAGGCCTGGGAGACCATACTCGGCCCCTCTGAGCATGATGAAGGCAGCTGCCTGGGGGACACAGGTGGCTGGGCTCTGGGACACTCAGTGACTGTTAACTATGACCTTGACCTCAGCAGCAGGAAAGAGCTGGAACAGAACACTGCCTCCACCCTCCCGCAGGGCTCCCCACTCCCCAGAGTTCCCTCCTGCACCCCCACAAAATCCTGTACGAGGGAATTTTAAAACAAGAGCAATGTGGCTGAGATCTATGTGACTGTGGTGAACCCCGCTGTGACACCCTTCGGGGTGGGTGCCACCTTCACCCACGTGACAAACGAAGTAGTGGGGGCCCAGAGCAGTGAAGTGCCTGGCCCGAGGTCACGGAGCCAGGACGCGGCAGAAGCGGGGTTTGAACCGCAGGTCCACACCCTGCCGACCCCCCCACACTCCCATTCCCAAACGAGCTGCCGCCCCCACTCGACCCAGGGCACTGGCCACGTCCCGCTCCCGACTCTTGCCATGGGCCCCTGCTGCTCCACTGTGCTCCTACCTGTTCCCTGAACTTCGATCTGCCCAGCTACCCCCTGTCCACACTGAGGGGGCTCACACTCCGACAGACCCCGCACAAGGGTCAAGCCGGCCAGTCTCACACCCAACCGCCCCTCCTCCCTGGGGAGGCGTCTGGACACACCCCCGCTGGCCTGGTCCCGGTGGCCTCCAGGACCTGACACTCACTGTGGACCTGCAGGAAGACGTCCCGGCGGTCCTCGCCCACTGCGCTCACGGCCACACACGAGTAGCTGCCCGAGTCGGAGGCCCGGGCACTGGCCAGCGTGAGGACGCGGCCGCCGGGGAAGACCTATGCCCCAGGAGGAAGCGCACGTGAGGTGAGGCCCTGCACCCCAGGGGCCAGCGCCCGCACCCTCCTAAGCTGGCCCTGCTGCTGGGCACACCTGGCAGCCTGCTCCAGCCCCCAGAACCCCCAGCGCAGGGCAACCAGGAGCTACACCGGATCTCAGGACCTCTGCTGGCCAGCGGGCAATTACATCGGCCCTCGGAAGGGTCGTCGGGAGCTTTGCTGTGGCCACTGGGACCTCTACTCAGGGCCGGTCGGTCCCCAGGTGTCACACACACACAGATGTCAGAGTTAGTACAGAAGAAGACTGTATCGGAAAATGTTAGTAATTTTCTATGTTGATCGTGTGATGAAACGGTACTTCCGGGTTACACCGGGTTAACTAACGTGTATTAGTAAAGTTGGTTTCACCTGCTTCCTACTCCTTTTTTAATGCAGCTACTAGGGAAATTTCTTTCTTTATCCTCACTTGAGGACATTTTTTCATTGCTCTCAGAGAGACAGAGAGGGAGGAAGGGAGAGAGGGAAATGCTGGCTGGCTGCCTTCCGTACGTGTCTGGACCTGCCACCTCTCGGGCACAGGATGGCCCGCCACCGACAGAGCTGCACCAGCCAGGGCTCAGCAGCTGGAAGAGTTTACACCACGTGCGTGGCCGGCTCCAGTGCCGCGAGTTGTGTGTCTGGGTCCATGCTCGAGATTCTCCACTTAGCAGCCCGCCTTCCTCCCTCCCTCCAACTGTCCTGGGTGATCACTGCCACCCCCTCTCCTCGCAGCTCCCAGGGCCTGGCCTCTGCTCCTGGAACCTCCTGAGGCAGCAGGGAGGCGAGCTGGGGCCACCCAGCCTGACTGACCTGGAGGCCGAAGGCCCCCGCGGTGGACACGGGGTTTCCATCCTTCAGCCACATCAGAGTGGGGCTGGGTCTCCCGGTGGCATTGCAGGTGAGCCGCACGGGGGCGCCGAGCAGCACGGGGCCTGGCAGGTGGGGTGGCAGCGTGATGCGAGGAGGCACTGCAGGGCGGGCGACACAGGGCACAGGCTGAGCCTCATGGGGGCGTGAGGGGAGGGCCCCCGGAGGGGCGCCCCCACACGCCACACAAGAAAGCAGAGGGGCGGCCACTCTCCATGTGGGCGCACACCACACGGTTCCCAAGGCTGCTCCTCTCATCCTCCCAGAACCAGCAGGAGGCCGCTACGGATGGGACACAGATGCTCGGGGAGGGCAAGGCACCTGCCCAGGGCTGACCAGAGAGGCAGTGGCAGATGCGGCTCCTGAACTGGGGCCCCCGGTCAGCGACCATGGGGATGGTGTGGGCAGGTTTTGTCTTCCAACTCAGAGGCCCTGATCAAACACTGTCCTACACTGCCCCTCATGGACAGAAGACGACACAGGTGTATCTGAGAGACATAAGCCAGGCTGCGCAGAGCTCCTGCCAGCTGTCCACTGGTCTTAGGATAAAGGCCTGGCCCCTCCATCTCCCGTCTGGCCCCTCTCCCCCTTGCTCTGTGAGCTCCAGGCCCCCAGCCTCCTCCTCCTTTCAGTTCCTTGAACTCCCCAGGCCTCTGCAGACTCCGGCCTGGGCAGGAGAGCTCTATCTAGGCACCCAGCTCCCCAACAGGCCTCCTGGCCTCCCCAGGCACAGCTGCACCTTACCTTCGCTAGCTCCGGTCACAATGGCCAGGAAACAGTATTTTAGGTAACTATCTAATTACTGTCTGCTCCACTAGCAGAAAGCTCCTGGGCCTGCCTTTTTTTGGGCTGCAGTACCAGGATTTGTCCCAGAGCATGTTCTTAATAAGTGTGGTTGGACAGAAGATGGAGAGATGGAGGAATGATGGTGGAATGGATGGGTGGGTGGGTGGGTAGGTGGATGGATGGAGAGTCACCTGGGTGGATGAATGGGCAGACAATCAGATGGATGGTTGGATCCATGGGTAGACAGTTGGGTATTTCCATGCATGGACAGAAGGATGGATGGGTGGATGGATAAATGTTGAATGGATGGGAGGATGGATGGGAGGATAGAGGAATGAATGATTGGCAAAGGAAGGAAGGAAGGAAGGGAGGGAGGGAGGGAGGGAGGGAGGGAAAAGGGTGGATGAATAGATGGATAGATGATGGGTGGATGGATGGTGGGTGGAAGGAAGGAAGAGTAATGAATAGATAGATGGGCGGATGGATAGATGAATAAATGGATAGATGGATAAATGGATGGATGGATAAGTGGATGATGGATGGATGATGGATGGATGAGTAGACTGACAGACGAACGATGGAAGACAACTTTTTGGTCAAGGACCCCTTCCGCCCCAGGGCGGCTCACCGTTGACCCGCAGGCTGTACTGCAGTTCCGTGTGACCTGCCACGTTGGATGCCACACAGCGGTAGCTCCCAGCATCAGACAGTTGGGCTCTCTCAATGAGGAGGACTCTGCCGTCGGCTGACACCGTGACTCCCTTCTGGGCCGAGACAGGCTGGCGGCCCTTGAACCAGGAGATGTCTGGGGAGAGAAGAGAGATGCAGGGGGTCCTGCCAGCCCTTCTGTGCCTGTGCGATGGGCAGTGTTGCCTGAGACGGCGCCAAGGGCAGAGAGGAAGCACCATAGGGTGGAGGCTGGGGCAGCCGGAAGCAAGGAGAGTCAAAGCCAGCCTGGTCCCCCTCACATTCTCCTTTAGAAGGGAACCTGGTGTACCCCAAAACAGCAGGCTCATAACTATGGACCAGTTGTGTCTTGCGCTTCCTGACATCTTTCCAAAACTCATTCCAGAACTTAACAGGGCATTTGCCCCCATGGGATGGGGCAATGACCCCCCAGGGCTCACTACACCAGCCAAAGCTGGGTGGGCCCTCCTCGTGGGCCCAGCCTGTCTGCCACACACTCACACCCAACCCCAGGGCAGCCCTGGGAAGTTACACCACCGAACAGAAGCCCTGCAGGTTTGCGCCAGCCACTAACCCAAAGGCCCTGGGCCCTGGTGGTGCCTGGCACGGACTGGGCACTGGGTGAACCGCTGCTGAGAAGTAAGAGAAAGAAATGCAAGAAATAGGGACAAGAGCCTTCTGACTCCCTCCCGTTCTGTCCACAGCCAGAGTGGGCCCTGGAGCACTGGCCAGCCTCGTTAGATGGGGGCCTGGGGCCAGCTGCAGCAGGGGCTTACCTGGAGGGGGGACACCCGAAGCCAGACACTCCAAGGTCACTGAAGCATTTTCCAGCACTGCCTTGCTGGCTGGGCCCGGCTCAATGTTGGGGGGCACTGGGGAAGACGAGGAGAGCCCTCGGTGGGGGCGGGCTCTGGTAGGCCAAATCCCAGCCATCCCCACCCCTCCCCAGGCTTCCTAAAGGGTCCTGGGCAATAAGAGCTCCCAGATGTCTCATGCCCTCTGACCAAGGAACCCCACCCCTGACCCCCTGCACAAGAAGAAAGGTGCTGGGCTGCGACCCTCCCTGCAATTGTACAAGGACCACCCCGGCACCCACCCGGGAGCAGCCGGGCCCCAGCCTAGCAGCGGGGAGGTGGAACCGCAGACGGCCACAAAAAGGGTCTGCCCACATGTGCAAGGGCAGGAAGGAGCCGCAGAAACGAGTCAGACAGCAAAGGTGAGCAGGGTTGCGGCCGAGGGTATCCCTTAAAAGCCCCGCAGGAAACAGCCCAAAGGGGCCACAGAGCACAGGGCTTTCTTTCCACTTCCAAAGTCAAGTGCACACCTGTGATGTTAAAGCCCATGACCCTCTTGACCCCCGCAGCGGCCCCGAGGGTCCTCAGGTGATCCCCTACCACCCGGTGCCCGTGAACTCACCCAAGACCTTGAGTACCACGTCCCTCCTGCTCTCCCCGGCCGGGTTCGTGGCGGCACAGGTGTAGACCCCTTCATCCCTCAGGTCCGCCTTCTCAATCTGGGGCGGGGGCAGGGCAGCAGTGTGTCATGGGGGTGGGGTGGGTGGGGAGGGCCAGGGCCCAGAACCGGAAGTCAGTCATGAGGAAGCTGGGACGTGGCAAGTGGCCTGGCTGCTGCTGACCCCAGGAGCAGAAGTGAGACTCACGTTTGGCTCTGGGGGTGGAGCACTGAGCCACACGCTTAGGTTCTAGGGAATCCCTCTGATCTTGGGGACACTCTCCTTTCCCCCACGTTCTCCCTCTGGCAGTGGAAGTGCCTAGGAGGTGGACTAGGCTAAAGGAGCCCCCCCCCCCCCGCTTCAGGCCCAGCACCCAGGTCCACTGAGCATGCCCGGGGCAGGGTAGGCTCTGGGCTCCTCCTTTTCCCGGGCTGCAGGGCCCTTCTGGGGTCTCCAGAGCCCCTAACAAGTGGCCCCTCCACCTGCGCAAGGCTGCCCCGCAAGCCCTAGGACCCCTGCACATACCTGCAGGGTCCCCCCCAAGGCTGCCAGGGCCACCCCATCCTTCCACCAGCGGAGGCTCGGGGTAGGCACCCCAGTCCCTGTACACCGTAGGGTCACAGGCTGCAGGAAAGGGGCTGTGATGTTGTCATCCCCGATGATGACCACCGATGGGAGCTCTGGGTGGGGGGAGAGGCAGGGAGGACAGGGTCAGGGTCAGGCTCAGGACGGGTGCAGTGGGCACCCAGTGACCCCCTCAATGCCTGGGAAATAAGAAATAATCTTGCAGGGCTGCCCTCCAGCCCTCCCCCACTCAAGCCCCCTGGCTTGGGGGAAGAGTGCCAGACTGGGAGCCAGTAGGTCAAGTTCTCTCCTTTCTTTAAAAATTCTCCCATCCATCCACCCATCCATTAATTGAGCATCTACTCTGTGCCCCAAATGGTACTAGGCACAGGGACCAGCAAAGAATGTCCACGGTGTTGTCCCCTCAGAGCTCCCAGGGCTGGACTGCAGCGATGGACAACCAAACAAGTGCTCTCAACACAGTGGGTGGTGAGCCAGAGCCAAGGGAGGGTGGGCAGTGTGGATCAGCACCACAGTGAAATCAAGGCGGGCTTCCTAAAGGAAGTTTTTTCTTTTTCTTTTTTTTTTGACAGACCTGAAAGATAGGGAATAGCTAACAGGCGAAGAAGGAAAATGTTCCAGGCACAGAATCAGCATTTGCAAGCACGAAGGTGAGAGATCTGATGCATTTAAAGAATTGAAAGAAGTTCATGGTCAGCAGAGGGGGAAGGCTGGGGAGGAAAGGGAGAGCCTGTGGACCGGACTGATAACAAGCGTGTTGAATGGCCAAGATCAGCCACGTCCGGCCCAGAAGCACTGTCCAGAGAAGACAAGCCCCATGTCCCTCCCGGGCCTCTGGGCCTGCTGCAGGCACAGGTGGCCTTGGGCCTCGGGCCCCACCTGCCCTGGCCTCCTGGCCCCCACCCGCCTCACCCTCTCACCATGCACGGACAGCTCCACCTCGGCCCCTGCAGTGCCTGCTTCGTTGGTGGCCTGGCAGGAGAAGAGGCCTGCGTGGCCCGGCTCCACGCGGTCGATGTGCAGTACGGTCCCCTGGGAGGCCACGTGCACTCCCGTCAGCTCCTCGGCTGGGCGGCCATTCTGCAGCCACCTGAGGTGGGTGGGAAGGGGGCTGGGTCAGCCTGAGGCTGGAGAAGACAGGGCCAGCCAGACAAGCCAGGAGGCCAGGCAGCATCTCTGCCTGCTCACACATCTCTGGCTCAGTGGCCTTTTGCCTACACCTGGAAAGATGGGGTGTCTCCTGTCCCCACCTATCCCCAAAGCACGAGCTCTCTGCCCACAGCCCCTAGCCCCGGCCGGGCTTCCACCACCCCATACGCACTGGATGGTGGGCACTGGGGAGCCGGAGGCCTGGCAGGGAAGTTCCAGGGGCTGTCCGACGAGGGTGGTCACCTGGCCCGAGCCTTCAGCCACCAGGAGCTGTGGGGGCACTGCAGACAGGGTCCCCCACCAGGTGTTTAGAGCTGAGCAAACCTGGCCTAAAGCACCGCCCTCCAAATCCCCAGGGTCCCCAGAGCAAGGCTTAAGCCACTGTCTACCATTCAAATCCCCCATAAATGGTCCCTCCTCCATGAGGTCTTCCAGGACCACCCAAGATGAGGTGCATGGTCCCCTTGCTTCCCAGAGGCTTGTCCTGTTTATTGAATGTCTTTCTCCACACCAGACCCAGGGCTCAGGACCCTGCCTGCCTGGTCCCCTGCCTTGTCTCCAAGGCCACATGGGCCAGCCCAGAACTGGTGCCTGAGGAACGTCTGTCACATGGAAGATGACAGAACCACGCCCAGCCTTGGGCCCCAGGGAGTTCTCAATAAGCATCCAGCCTGTTGACCAGCAGCAGCTCCTAGAAGGTGTGCGAGGAGGGGTCCCCAGCCCGCGTGACTCAGGTGGGGCGGCCCCGGCTCACCCTGCACGTCCACGTTGTACTGCAGCACGGCCTCTCCCGACGGGCTGCTGGCCACGCAGCTGTACAGGCCTCCGGACGCCTCCCCCAGGCTCTCCAGGCTCAGCACACCGCCGCCCGCCTCCAGCCAGGTGCCGTTGCTCTCCGCCACCGGCAGCCCCTCATGGTGCCAGGACAGGGTCGGGGGCGGGTGGCCTCTGGCCACACACTCCAGCCCCAAGGGTCTCCCGGCCACCGCCTTCACTAAGTGTGGCCCTTCGTCAGCACCCTGGATGGTGGGCGGGACTAGGGAACAGGCACAGGGGGCTACTCAGGGACCAGAGTTGGAAGCCAGCCCTGGTTAAGCCCCTGGAGATGCCACATCATGGGAGGAGCCTCCTCCCTCACCTGCGCTAGCAGAAACCCTTCCTCCCAGAAGCCTGCCCTGGGCCCCTGGCTGGAAGCACCTCTTCCCCCCTCTGCCCCTTGGCAGTGCCCCTCCCTGACACCCCTGCACCTTTGGTCTGTCGTGCTACCATCATAAGCAGAACAATGACTGCTTTGCGCGTGTCTCCAAGAATGGCACACAGTAGGTATCGGCATCCACTGAACTGAAAGTGATGGGCTCCCAGGCTTAAGATCGAAGCCACTGTTTCCACAAGCCCCCTCCCTGGCCTGCGGTAGCAGACGGGACTAGGGCAGAACCCAGCCCGGACGGCCACACTGGAGGGCTTCTTGCTTCCTCGTGGGGAGGCCCCCACATGGCTCGGCCCACAGAGCCCTCTCGGGGACATGGGACCATAATGGCCTGGGAGGTGCCTCTCCGCCTGGTTTGGGTCACAAGCCCCTTTGGGAATTTAATGAAACACACACACATACATGTACTTCCCACTCAGTTTCCAGCAAGTCTCCAGATCCCTGAGTAAGAGTCCCCACGCTGCTTCTGGGCTCACCCCACAGACACCACACATCCCAACTCCCTTTCCGGTCCTGGGGCTCCAACACCCAAGCCCCTTGCACCTTTGGGGGCAGAGTTCCTGAGCTGACTCCTCACTAGGGGCCAGGATGAGCCCACGGGCCTGCATTCTGCCCTCCATGTCTCACGGGCCCAGCTCAGGCCCCACCCTGACCACCTACACACACCTTTGCCCCGACTGCTCTGCCAGACCTCGGAGCCACGCCCCTCATTGACCATCGTCTCAGACAGGTGGAAGCTGTGGCGGCCCAGAGCCTCACCCAGACGACGCTGGCTCGCTGCAGACCCCGGCCACTCACCGTAAACCTCCAGCCTGGTGGCCTTCTCTGCGACCCCCACGGCGTTGCTGGCCTTGCAGGTATAGACACCTGAGTCTGAACCTTGGGCCCTCCCAAGCTGCAGCTGCCGGCCGCCTCTGGTGTAGGCGACCTCGGGGCTCGGGGGCAGCGGGGCCCCATCCTTGAACCAGGCGATGTCCGGGGCCGGCACTCCTCGGGCCTCGCACAGGAAGCGCACCGGGTGGCCCTCGATGGCGGCCACCTCACTTGTCTCGTTGGAGCCCCAGATGGTGGGAGGTGCTGGGGACAGTGAAGGGGACACTCGTGAGGAACCCTCCCACAGGCAGCTGGTGTCCCACCCCCCAGAGTGGCATGCTCATCACAAGCACTTCACGCATCACAGGCTTTGACTGCAGGAAAGAAGTCGAGTCTGGGGACAGGAGAGGCCGGCTTGGGACATGCTGACGTGAAAAGCAAGCCGGGCCATCACAGCATGTGTGGAGGTTGGCGGGTGCAGGGCACGGCTGGGCTCTGGACCCCACCCTGCCTCTAACTGGCTGTAAGACCCGGGTAGGTCACTTCCACTTGCTGGGCCTCAGTCTCCCCATCTATAAAACGAGGGGTTAAACTCAATTAGCGGCTCCCACAGGGCAGGTCGCAGGCCCCCAGAGGTACCAAGGTGAGCCCCGGGGTGCACGGCCACAGCATGAGTCACAGTGGATCGGCTACGCTCCCAAGTCTCCTTCCAGCTGCATTACAATGGGGAAGGCTGTTTGGTCCAGCTACGGACTCGACCTTTCTAGCACTTTCTCCCTGGCGCCCTGTACCGCAGACAGCAACACAGCTCAGCGCCCTCTGCAGGCAGCTCATGCCTGAGCACTTCCAGGTCTTTTTAAAGATTTTAATTTATTTTTAGAGAGAGGGGAAAGGAGGGAGAAAAAGAGGGTAAGAAACATAAATGTGTGATCAGTTACCTCTCACACGGCCACTACTGGAGACCTGGACACACAACCCAGGCAAGTGCCCTGACCAGGAATTGAACTAGCGACCTCTCAGTTCCCACACCAGCACTCAATCCACTGAGCCACACTAGCCAGGGCTTAGGACCCTTTCTTTCAATGCATTTGACTTTACAGCTTCCTCCCATCAAGGCCAAGTGGACCTGGTTCCCCACTTACAGTGGCAATATTGAATGTCCTTTTAAATAAATGTGCTTCAGTGTAACGAGAGTGACTTGATTTAAAGAAAAAGTTAAAGAAACAATCACCCGGAGTGGTATTGGGATTGATAAAACTTGCGAAGCTGGGTCGGTCCAGACTCCCTCTGTCCCTCCCCAAGCTTCACCGGACTGGGAGCTCCCTGCCCGGGCCCCCGTTCCTGCCCTGTCCCTTCTCCACGCAGCGGGCAGCCAAAGGAGGCTTGGTGAGCAGCCCGGAGAGGGGGCCGGGCGGGGCCTGTGCTCACTGTGGATCCTGAGCTGAAAGTCCTTCGCCTGCTGGCCGGCCGGGCTGAAGGCCACACACTGGTACCGCCCCTCATCCCCCAGGCGGCTGCTGGGGATTCTGAGAACCCGGCCGTCCTCCTGCAGCTGGACGTGCGGGTGTCCGGGAAGGACAGGTCTGGAAAGACAGAGCAGGGCCGGTCGGGCGGAGGCGCTGCGGGGGGCGGGCCGCACGGAGTCTCAGCCGCTGAAAGGTGCGTGTGAATGGGCCAGGAGGCAAAACGGGGCCGATCCCCGTGGGCATTTCGGGAAGTGGAGTTCTGACACCTGCGTGAAGCTTATGTGACATACGGGGGCATCCACTGGGACAGGAAGCAGACGGGTGGTCGCCCGGGAGGAGGGGCGGGGAGGGGCAGGGGAGTGGCTGCTAATGGGTACGGGGTCTCCTTCAGGAAGAGGACACGTTCTGGAACTAAACTGGAGTGATGCTTGTGCTAATGCCACCGAAGTGTGGACTTTAATCCATAAAATATGGATCTTACCTAAACGCCCCACCAAAAAAAAAACAAGGAAAGCTAAGTGATGATGAGAACACCCTGCTGGGATGAGAGGGGCCCACGCTGCCCTCTGCCTGGCCCCTGGGGGCACCTGCAATGCCGGTCAAGCCCCCCATCCACTGGCCCAGGCCTGGGCGCCGCCCCCACACCATCCACTGGACGGGCCACTCACTGACTGTCCTTGGTCCACTCCACCTGGGGCGCAGGGACCCCTGAGGTCCGGCACTCCAACTCCACCTCGGCACCAGCCAGGACCAGCACCTCCTGGGCGGCCCCGGCTCCAAGCACAGAAGGTGGGACTGGGGACAAGAAGCGGTGGGGGTGACACTGCTCAGACTGCAAGCCCCACCCCCGCAGAGTCGCTGCCTGTGGAGTCCCCCGGTGTGGCCCTCCCTTCTCCCACATTCTGCCTGGGAAGCTCCCTGAAGCCCCGGGCTGCAGCGGGCCCCACCCTGGCTCCCTGGGCAGCCTGCACCGCTCTCTTGTGGCACGTGATGTGACAGTCCCTACTAGAATAACCCACCGCGTGACTGTCTAATGTCTGCCTGGACAAGCGTGCCCTCCACCTCAGCCCACAGCGTCCTGCTCCCCCCCGGCCCGCCAGGCCAGACATGTGGGGGCGCAGGCTTCACTCACTGAGCACCAGCAGCTCGAAGTCCCTCTGGGCGGTCCCGGCCTGGTTCTCCGCCCGGCAGGAGTAGAGGCCAGAATGGTCCTCCTGGATCCTGGGAAAGTGGAGGGCCCGGGCCCCGTCCAGGAGGTGGTGGCTGCCCACCGCGGGCATCTGGGCGGAAGAGGCCAGAGGGAGCTGGTGAGCGGTGGCAGCAGTAAGGACACTGAGGCCTGGGGAGCTGGGCAGTGACGGAACCTGAGGCTTCTGACTCCTGGAACAGTGCTCTTTCCCTCCCTCCCCCACCACGCAGACCCCCAGGCTTCATCACGGACCTCAGTCCTCCCCTGCCCTGAGCCCCAATACATCCCCAAAGACACCCACCAGCTGCCCGTCCTTGAACCACACGATCTCGGGGGCTGGGAAGCCATGCGCGTCACACTCCAGCGTCAGGGACTGCCCGGCCATGCCTGACACGTTGGCCCTGCGTCCGTCCTCGCGGATGCTGGGGGGCACTGGGAACAGGGAGAGGCCAAGGAAATCCCCCGCCCTGAGAGCCCCAGATGCCAGGCCTGGACAGGTGGCCCCAGGTTTGGGGGGCCCTGGCTGTGCCCGGGCTCTGCACCCCTCTCTGACACTGAGTTCACAGGAGGATGCTTGATGCCGGATCCATCCAGTTCTACACTCAACCTGTCATCGTGGTCCCTGCGAAGGTCCCAAGTTGGAACCTCTGAAGGTGGGGCCCGGGTATATCTCTGTAACAAACTTCCCAGGCAAGTCGCTGGGGGGCAAGCTGGGGTGGGGGGTGGCAAGGAGAGGGCTCCCCATCCTCTGCACACAGCAGAGGGTGGGGTGGGGAGCTCTGGGGAGCTGAGGGAAGGACATGAGCCCCAGGTCACTTCCAGCAGGTTTCAGTGGAGGCGGGCCATCGGTGCTCACTTTAAAATGACGTCACTACTGGACCATTTTAAAGCCACTAAGAGTTCCAGGTTCTCCCCCTAACACGGTCTCTGTGGGGAGTCTCTCTGGGGCCAGGCGGTGGGGGGGGGTGCCCACTCACCATGCCTCTGTCCCAATGCCCTCAGGCCCTCCCCACCCGCAGGCACCGGGGCAGCCTGCAGCTGCCCCTCTGCTGAGCTCCATACCAGCTAGAGGTGTGTGCTAGCTGCCCGGCTCGGGGACCCTGCTCACCATAGACCACCAGCTTGGCCCTCCTGGACGCAGAGCCGGCCTCGTTGGTGGCCTGGCACTCGTAGTCTCCGCCGTCGGTGGGAGAGACCGAGGCCAGGAACAGAGAGCCTTCGTCCAGCACGGCCAGGCCCGGCCGGCTGAGCAGGGGCTCTGAGGATGGGCCCTTCCGCCACGTGACCTGTGGCTTGGGCGTCCCTGGCCAGGCAAAGGGAGTCATCAGCACGAACACCCAGCCCTCTCCCCTCCACACCCACACTGTCCCCCGGGGGTACATTGCCAACCCTGTCCACCCAAGGCTACAAGTCCACGGCCCAGTGCCCTGGGGACCACGGCACAAAAGCCAAGAGCTCTTGGAGCCCCCGCACCACTGGAATCACAGCCCACCGCACACCCACGCCCCTGGCCCGCCCTGTGTCTTCCTTTCCGCCACCCCCTCCAACTTTCTCACGGACAGAAGTTAGTGCCCTAGCTTAGGTTCCGTCACCTATCATCCCCACGAGGGCCGGTGTCTTCTCTTTGTCCCCTGCTGCCCCCCAGTGGCAAGCCCAGTGCCTGGCACAGAGTAGGTACAGAGGAAGAAGGGGAGCTAGTGGGGGGCCTCCCTCCCAAAGCCACGGGTCAGCATGCTCAGCACCTCCTTCAGCCCCCCAATCATCTCTGCCCCCGCTAGTCATCAGGACTCGACTGATCATTGCTGATACTCATTGTCATCAATGCCCCTCACTTCACCTGCCATCACCCCTGCAGGGCGGCCGCCTTTTGTGGGCACACCCGCTCGGTCCCCATCACTCTTTCAGGGGAAAGGCCATCAGAGGGAGGTTGGGCTCCCCCACTGGGTGGGCTTGGGGGCCAGGGCCCAGATATGACACATTCAAAACACCCTGGGTGTCACCTCCTTCAGGAGGGTCCCCGCCCCACTCTCCTCTGTACCGGCTGCTCCTCCTTCATGTGCTGGGGCCCCGCCTGCTGGCTGGGAGAGAAAGGGGGGTGCCCCTCGGCGCATCTTTGGGCAAGCTAACCCCACCGAGGGGTCTGTTTCCTTGTAGAGCCCCCTTCAGTTTGCTGTCCGAGTGTCCCGCTACTCGGGGCCTGCTCCCCTACAGTGGGGACACATGCACAGCACACACAACACGCCCCTCCTCCCAGCACTCCCGGCCTTTCCCACAGCCCTGCCCACCTTCTCCCATCCAGCCACGGCCCAGGGGACCGGGACTTCAGAGCTGCTGGCCTGGAGGGGCCCTGGGTTTTGAACCCTGGAGCTTTTCCCCCCTGTTAATTATGGTAATAATTTTTAGTTTTTTAATCTGGTCGTACAGAAGATAGAAGACGCAGGGGGCACGTGAGAAAGGCAACCTTCCTGGCTGGTGGTACGGAGGTTAGCAGGTGGGGGTTAGGGTGGGGAGGAAGTGCCCGAACTGGAACTTTTCTTGATGCAAACAGCGCAGACGAAAATCTAGCCTTCAAGGGCTCTAACCACAGGGCTGCACTGCAGGGGGAGATTCCGGGGGACTCAGGGCTGTCCCTGGAAACCCGCACCCACCTCTGCGCTCCCATTTGACAGAGGCCACGACAGGAGCAGCCCCGTGTCAGGCCCCGTCCCTCCCAACGAGGAGGCGGGTGGGGCCCCCGCCGCGGGTACCAGGGCTCCTACGTCCCAGATCCTCCAGGCTCAGCGCTTTCTGCTTTAGCCCTTGGAGCCGTCCAAGGCCACTGTCAGTTGGCTGCTGACTGCCAGTGCCCAACACTGCCCAACGGGCAGCCGCTGGAAAAGGGAGGCGGCCAGGGGGCAGGCGCCGGCCAGGGCAAGGCAGTGTGTATCGGACGGGGCCTCGGTTATGCTGAGGAGGCTGAAGTCCAGGCCAGAGGACTCGCCCTTGAATGTGGGCAGCCCTGAGGTACCAAGGACAGCAGGCCCCTGGCTGGGTGGGTCCCACCTCTGGAGACTGCAAACCAGCTGCTTGCTGTTACCAGGGACCGACACAAGGTGGTGCCGCGGTCAAGGGCCAGGCCACCCGTCCGTCCAGGTGGGTGGCTCTGCAGACAGGACCCTGCAGGCAGGTTCCCACCACTCCCACTGGGTGCCTACCTCCTACCTGCCTCTCCCTCAGTCCCCATCCAGGGACTTTCCTGGGCCCCATGGCCCAATGAAGCACAGCTGGGGCCAGAACCAGCTCCCTACTCCTGCCGGGCGTTTAGGAAGCTGCCACCTGCCCTGCACAGAGGGACTGCCCCCCCCCCCGCCCCCGCCACTACACAGATGTGCAGACGGAGGATCAGGAAGGAGGTGTCGACTGTCCTCAGTCACATGGCCTGGGAAGGCTCAACCCTGTGCAGCTATCTGGGCTCCACACTGAGCTGCCATCCCAAAGGGGGCCTCAGAGGGGCTGGTTTGTCCAGGACACATGAATCCATGCTCTATGAGAAAGACTGGGGCGTGGGGAGAGGCAGGGCCACTGAGCCCCCATCCACAAGGGCCCTCGGGCCTTCCTCATCCTGGCCCTGGCTGCTACCATGCCCAGGTGCAGGGGGACCTTGGGGCTGGGGCCAAATACGTGGCATTTTGTGATCACCTTTGGGCTGTGTGACCTCAGGCAAGATGCATAACCCTTCTGGGTCTGGATTGCCCCTAATGAAAAAGAGCTAATGCTAACACCCATCCAATAGGGTGCCGATGGCATGAAACACCTGGCCTGGCCCTGGCTGGAAGTGAGGACACCATCTCCTGTCGTGCACTGCCCATCGCATGTGACCCAGGGCACAGGGAAGTGGGTGGAGGCTGCTCCCCAGCCCCCCCGCCCGCCCAGCCCAGCCTCACCTCTGGCGGGGCACGGCAGGCTGGCGTTCTCTCCTGCCACTCTCTCCAGCAGCCCGTCGGTGTCGTCAGTCCCCCAGTACGGTGGCTCTGGTGGGAAGTGACATGGTCACACTCACACCCGTGAACCCAAAGACTGGTGCCCCCCGCAGGGCTGTGAGGAAGGCGTCCTCCTCCAGAGCCCCAGCCGGACATAAGAGGGTGCAAGCCCTGTGCTCCAGCCCTCGGCCACAGGGCAAGTGAGTCAGGGCCAGTGGAGCTGGCTGCCCCCCCCCCCCAGTGTGGCCACTCACAGCCACCAGGGCCACACCAGGCCCCAGGGGCTCGAGGCGCCAAGCTCGGGCTGCCACCCGCTCAGGCAAACATCTCTCTTCCCTGCCCTGCCCCTTCAGCTGCGCTTTGCTAGTTTAACTTTATAACAGTGAAAATGGTCCAGACTTTTGTATGTACCGTGCGCTTTGCACACCTATCACTGAACTCACATATCGTGCAACCCACTTTACAGGCGAGAAAGCTGAGGTCAGAGTGCGAATGAATGGCCTGCGGTTGTCCGGCTGGTAAGTGGGGGAGGTGGGCTGGGCGCACGCCCTGCTCTTTGGTCACTTTCCATGGAGCCTTCTGTCCACTGGAACAGGGCACCATGGGGCCAACAAAGGCTGCCCGACACCTTGGTGGCTGGGACCTCAGGGGAGGGCAGGGAACAAGCAGCCCCAGGGCCCTAAGAGCAGACAGGCCCCCTCAGAAGCCCAGGCTGCGGCTGGGAAGGAGGGAGCGATGGGTCCCGAGGCTCAGGGACTCACCCAGCACCCTGAGCTCCAGCTCCCAGGAGGCCACCCCAGCGCCATTGGAGGCCTCACAGCGGTACATGCCGGCATCGGAGGTTCGAATGGCTGCAAAATGGATGGAGCCCTTGGGCCCCCTGCCCCACAGGGCCACCCCGTCCTTGGACCAGTTCAGCCTGGGCGGTGGGGTACCCTCGGCCACGCAGTTCAAGTCCAGTGATTCCCCCGCCAGGGCCTTCAGGACCCGAGGGCCCGGCTGCACCTGCGGAGGGACTGAGAGGGTAACAGGGAGGGGATCAAGGTGGGGCCCTGGGTGAGGGGGTCCCAGAGCCCAGACCTGTGGAGCAGACTCCCCCAACCCCTGCCCACCCCCATCCGCCCTGCAACCCTCTCCACTCCCTACGTCTTACCCCCACGCCAGACCCGAGTTCACCCAACACCATTTGATAGCCACTAGCTGGGAAATCTGTTAGTGCCAGATAGGGAAACTGAGACCCAGGGGCGGCGGGACTGACTCAGGGTAGAGGCCACAGTGGGGAGGCAGCAGGGAGGGAGGAGGACGGTCTGCCCCTGTGGGTCAGGCCACAGGACCCTGCACAGCCAGAGCCTCGGCTTCCCCTCCTCACAGAGTCCCCAGGGAATGGAAACAGGGGCTCCAGCCCGGCTCCCCGGCTGTGCCTTCCCCGGCTGTGCCTGGCGTGTGGTAGCCGGTCACTGCTGTCGCTTGTCCCCACCTCTCTCCGCCTGAGCTCAGGGAGGCTGGTGCTGGTCATTTCTGTCTCCTGAGTGTTTTCAAGTGACAGTCCCACCCTCCTCCTCATTCTCTCCTTCTCAGGGGCAGGTCAGGCCACACCCATTTGCAGGTGAGGAGAGGAGGGTCTCAAAGGTTCTGTGACTTGGCCAGAGTCACCCACTGCCTCGGCCCGAGCGGCCCCAACCCTTGGTCCGTGAGATCCAGAGCCCAGGAAGCCTCCTGGGGGGCTGGACCAGGTGGGCCCAGGAAACCCCACGGGCCGCCCTGTTCTGGGTGCTGCACAGCAGACTGGGACCAGTGTCCTGGACCCTCAGGGGAAGCTAAGGAACACCCGCTTGCTTCCCAGCTTTAGAGGAACAACCCGGAAAAAAAAAATCACAAGGGGTCCTGGCCCCTGGGCAGAGAGCAGCCCAGTGGCCCAGGGCACAAGGCATACGTGTCTTGTCCACGTCTCGTCCACGTCTTGTCCACACCACCCCACGCTCACTGATAACAATCACAGCTTCCACCAGGCTGAGCACCTGACATCATCAATACCCCTTCTGACGGCTGCAGGATGAGCATTTTACAGAGGAGGACATGAAGGCTCAGAGAGGCCGAGCCGTTGGCCCAAGGTCACACAGCTCGTGGGTCGCGGAGCCTGGCTTCGGCCCAGCCCAGCCCTGCCCATCGGCCTGCCCCTGCCGCCTCATCTCTCTCCTGGGCTGGGAAACCTCAGTGGGCCTTGGGGCCCCTCCCCCGCTGAACCTCAGCCCACCTGCCCTGTAAAGGGGGGAGTTCACTTAGATCAGGGGTCGGCTTTCTCTGTCAGGGGTCAGAGAGCAAAAATTTTAGGCTCTGCAGACCAGATGGCCTCTGTGTCAGCTATACAACTCCGCCTTCTGGTGTGAAAGCAGCCACGGAAAAAGGTAAAGGAATGCCTGTAACATGTGTCCTGATGGACGCTGGAATTGCCTATAATTCCCACATGACACAAAACATCGTGCTCTCTCCCATTTACAAACACAGACACCCTTCTCCACCACGGCCACGTGAGTGCAGGAGGTGGGCCAGCGGGGCCCGAGGGCCTTGGACAGCTGACCCTCCGCCCCCACCTGTGATTCCTGGGGCTCCTGGAGAGAGATGACAAGCCCCCTGCCTCTTCGGTGGTACAACCCCACCGCCAGCTTCTGTGAATGGAGCCTAGGCCACCAGATGGGCCGGGAACCTTTGTGGGTCCCTGTCACAACCCCGAGTCCCCACTGCCTTAGGCCCCTGCTGGGCCCCACCCTCTGTGCTCAGGGGGCCTCTGGAACAGCATCTTCAGGCCCCAACCACCAGGGACAGGAGGGGGGGGGAGGAAGGGAGATTTGGCTCCAGACAGACAGGAAGTTGGGGGGGCGGTGCTGGGGGACCCCAGGAAGAAGAGGTGGCAGAGCTGGCAGGTCCGCCTCTGGGGAGGGGCACCGTGAAGGCCTGAAGGACAGGGCGGGGCCCTACCTTGCACCCCGAGGATGTAGTGTCGGGAGGCCGACCCCGCGGGGTTACTGGCTCTGCATTCGTAGAGGCCGCTGTCCCCGGCCTGGGCCTGGGCCAGACGCAGGGAGCCGGATGGGAGAAGGCGATACCTGCAGGGGAGTGGAGCACTGGTGAGGCCCCCACCGACCCCAGGCCTCCAGACCCAACTCAAGCCTGCCACCTCCCCCAGGAAGCCTGCCGGGACTAAAGCAGTGCCACCACCCAGCCTTCACACCTCCTCCTGCCCCACCTCCACTTCCCTGAGCTGCCGGGCCAAGGCCTGGTCCCACCCCAGCCAGCGAAACAGAGAGCACTGAACTAGGAGTCTGACAGTTTCGGTTCAAGTCCAAGCTTTGAGCCTTTCCTAGCTGGATGAGGAAAGTTCCCCCCCCCGCCCACGGAGCCCCCATTTCCTCATCTATAACACGGACACACCAAGGGGCCAGGGCTGGTGAACAGATCCCCCCGCCCCCGTGGGCTCAGCCCAGGGCCCAGCGCCTCCCTCCAGGTGGGGGTGGGGGATGAGGCTCCATTTGGAGGCCTTCCCCGTGGCTTTGGGGGAACCCACCAGCCCAAGCACCCTATGTCTAAGGGCCAAGGCAAGCCAGACCCCAGATCCAGGGTTCTGTGGTGGTCCATCCAGCATGGTGTGGGGCCCCTGAGGGGGAAGCTGTATCCAGCCCACCTTGCTGAGTCACTTAGTCCCACCCCACAGGGGTCCAGGACCCCCAGCCAGGCACATGCAGCTGGGTGGGCCCCTGGGGGCCCCTGCAGACATCACGTCACCACCACATGTGCTGGCTCCTTGAAGCCCCTGATCCCATACACAGAAAGGGCAGCTGCGGCCACTGGCCCCGGCTGGACCCGAGTGCAGGTGGCCTGCTAGGGGGTGGTGACTCTGAGCCCCAACCCCCTGCCTGTGCTCACCAGGCTACAGGCGGGCTCTAGAGCCCAGCAGGCCTAGGCTCCAGGCCTGGTACCCACTCCCCCTTCTGCTGCTGTTGAGCCTCAGTTTCCTCCTCTGCAAAATGGGAGTGACAGTAATCCCCATCTCCTAGGCAGCTGCAAGCAAAGTGTGGGACGTGTGTTCCTCGGACAGGTCACTCATGCTGGCAGTTCACACTGTGTGCTCATGGGTCACTCACTTTGCCCCATGGCCCCATGGCTCATCTGTAAAGTGGGGGAATAACCCCTTGTCCAGCCACCCCCATTCCAGGTTGCCTGGAGCAGCCAGCAGGGGCAAGTTCTCCGAGGTCAGCTGTGAGTGACGCGCTGGGCAGTGGTCTCCAGGGCCCCGCCAGTGGACTGAACCACCTAGGGGCTGGTGTTTGCTGTGCAGGGCTGGGCCAGCACATAACCTCTCTGTGCCCCCGTGGTCTCCTGTGGAACGCAGAGGCAGCAGCCGGGCTCACGCCCCTCAAAGGGCTGTGCAGACGGCTGAATGACCTCACTCACAGCCCCGCGCCCAGAGCAGGGGAGTGTTCAGCCGAGGTCAGCTGTTACCACAGTGACAACAGTGCATCCATAAACAATACGCGATTCAGTTTTGTCTGGTTTAAAACACATAGATGGCATCGTGCGTACGTGTGTAGGTCTAACTAATCCATTTCCACTGCTTAGAGTAACCCCTCGCGTGACCACACCACAACTGATTCACCTCGCCCTGACTTAGCAGACATTCAAACATGTAGATGTTTTTCTTTCCTTCTTTCCACCCCTCCTTCATTCTCCTCTTTCTCGTGCCCCCATGCGCAGCAGCCAGAGCCCTGGGCCCCAGACGGAACGCCATCAGCTCTGGCAGGGAGAGGCCTCTCCTGTCTGTGTGTGAACACGCAGACCCCCAGCCCTGCCCAGAACCTGATGGGGGGCAGGAACTGGGTCCTGCCAAGGCCCCAGGTGGCTCTGAGACAGGTGGTCAGGGGACCACCCCTTGGAAGCACGGCTCAGGGATATAGGGAGTGTCCCCACCCTGAGAAGCAGCCCAGCACAGCGGACCTCAGGGAAGTTGGGCTGGGATAGCAGGGGCCCCAGCATGACCCACCCTCTGCCCCTCACGGGCTGACCTGGGGCCAAGGGCTGCATCTCCCTGAGCCACCGAGTCCTCGTCGGGAGTCACAGGACATGGCGAGCACCGAGTGAAGTGGCACACGCAGAGCCTACGGTGCCTGGGACATAGTAAGTGCTCGATAAACTGACGGCCCTGCTCTTGGTGAGAAGCCCTGCCCATCGCATCCGGGCCCTTGGCCCCAGTCTCCCAAGAGCCCAGCAGCCCTGAGCAGGTCCGAAGTGGAGGAGAAAGGCTGCAAGTTCCCGTGTCTGTCCCAGGGACGGGTGAGCACCTTCCCTGCATGGATCTACTCCCTCGACGTGGCATTTCTCTTTATGTTTTAAGCTGAATAACACAGACATCCCCCTGACAAGGGCCAAATCCGTTAGCAGCTGGAGCACACAGTCTCGCTCTGGGAAGGGACACAGTTCGCTCTAGCAAACCTCAGCTGCAAAGCAGGTGGGTCCTGAAAAGAGGACCGGGCTGCCAAACGGAGCTCTGGATGTACAGTGCAATGTCTGTTCCAGCCATGCTATGCAGCTCCGAACCTAGTTACTTCGTATTCAGAAAGGCAGCTCTGGACTCCTTTGTCTCAGAGGTTGCCTTCTGCGACTTTGAAGACCACAGAACCCCTTGCTTCCTCCCTCACCAAGCCTCTGAAAGGAACAGGAACAGCCTGTTCACCTGGATATCGCCTGCTCATACCTCAGTACTTAGATATCACCTCCTCCAAGAAGGCTGCCATGATGCCCCAAGGCTGGTAGGTGCAGCCTATAATTCCCACAGCTCCCGCTCTACTTTCCCAGAAACTCTGGCAGCTGTGGGGGCTGCAGCCAGGGGTGGGGCTCGGGGCCAGAGAGAAGTGGAAAGAAGCGGGGAGCCCAGTGCTGCCGTGTGCGTGTGGCGTAATTAGCAGCAGCTGTCCACTGTGGCGGCACGAGTGTCCAGATGGCTCAGTGTGGCGCCCAGATTCCCGGGGAATTTCCTGTTTATGACAGCCACTGGGCCTCGGCCTTCGCTGGCTGTCAGCTCCAACGTTCACACAGCCACGCAGATGTGGGGTGGTCCCTCTGGGCCTGCGAGACCTGCGGGGGACCCACCTGCTCAGAGGGACCAAAAGGCACCTGATCCAAAGCGCTCAGAGTGACTCAGACCCCAGGCCACACCGTCCGCCTGGCTCCCAGCACCGCCTTCTCCTTCGGGCCCCCATTCCCACGCCTTCTTGTCCTTTGTGGCTCAGGTAAGCCGGCCCGCCCCCAGCTGCAGGCCCCTACAGCCGTTATGGCACTTATGGCACCTGCAGCCACCTGTCACGGCCAGGCGGCTTGGTGAGGGCAGCGGCCAGGTGTGCCCAGGTCCCTGCCGCGTCCCAGCCCAGAAGTGCAGGTCCTGACCCACAGCAGGTGCTCAGTAGTATCTGGCAGAAATCCCAGCCCCCCAGACCCCATCAAGGCAGCAAGGCCCCGGCTTTTCCACGGAGCCCTGCTGGCTCCGAGCTGCACAGGGCCCAACTCAGCCGACAGCTCCTCCATTCCTCCATTCCTCAGGTACAGAGGGGGTTGAGGTGGGCCGGCCGCCACAGGCGGGGGTTGAGGAAATGCTCCTGTCCTTGGACCGCCCCAGCCCGCTGGCTTTTCTGAGCCTAGTGCCTCTGGCTGTGTTCCATATTTCTTGCCTCACTGTCCCCATTTCCCAAGGACCCACTGTCAACCTCACCCCCAGAGCACAGATGCTTCCAGAAGGAGGATCGGTGGCTGAGGATGCACAGCTGTCCCCACAGTTACCCAGCCCACCAGAGACACCCACCCTGTGCCCATGTCTGCTGGGGCGGCATCTGAGCCTGCACCGGGCAAGGGCCCACCCACCTGCACCAGCGGGGGCAAGGGGGACCCGCACCCGTCCATGGCCACCTTGACCCTCCTCTCCTTCTTGGGGCCTCGCCTGCACCAGACCCCTGTGAGGAAGCCCCACTGGGAAAGTCAAGCTGGAGAATTCAGGGAGCAGGGCAGATAGCCACCAAATGACAACACAAGAGAGGGAGGGCGAAGGTGCCGTCCCTGTGAGCTCATGAAACACATGCCAAGCCGTGCCAACTGGAGTGGCTGTCAGCTGGGGGGCGCACCCTGTGTGCCACCTACTGCAGGGCACCCTCCACACACATGCTCGCCCGGAGCTCCCACCAGCCACGCCTGCACGGCCCATGGGTCCCACAGGCGTCACCCCCTTTGCAGAAGCTTCCCGGCCACCCAGCTGGTCAGGGCTGGCCTGGGACTCGCCCTGTGCTCTGCTCCCACCCTGCCAACCACTGTGGTGACCTAAATGGTTTGCTCAGAAGCTTCATTCACTGCAGATCCTTCCAGAAAGAGAGCCACTGGCCGAAGGCTGACAAGACCAAGACCTCAGAGCCACCAGGCCAGCAAGCAGCAAGGAGCTGCGAGGACCCACCGAGGTGAAGAACCCCGAGGGGCCCCTGGGCTGTCCCTGCCAAGCAGTGAGCAGGCAGCTTTCTTTCCGAGCCACCGGAACCCCAGCTGCAGCCCCACCGCTGTGCCCTAGGGTAACTGGGACAGAGAGGGGTTGGGGTGCCGACTGTCCATTCCTCAGCTGTCCTCTCTCCTCCTCTCCAATGCAGCTGAATCTGGCCCCCGTGTGGGACCCTGGCCGGCTGCCGCCGGGAGCCTGATCCGGGCCAGAAGCACTAGCAGCTGTCCCAGCTACACATCAGAGCCACAAACAAACACTGTTGCCTAGAAACACCGCCGCGCCCCAGCCTCCCCGGGTGGGATCGTGGACCGGGGCCTCGAGGCGCTGTCTGGCCACCACCCCTGTCCAGCCGCTCATTCCTCAGACGGGAAGACCGAGGCTCAGAGAGGGGCAGAGTCTCGCTTGGGTTCACTCCGTGCATGGGAGCAAGGCTGAGAGGGGACCTCAGGTCTTCGACCCTGACCTCTCGCGGTCTCTCTCTGCGATGCGGGTCCCGCACAGTCCTGGGCACACGAGTAGCTCGAGAAACCCTGCTGCCTTCAGTTCTGAATTCACAGCTCACACGGGCTTTCCACAAACAGCCGTTCCAACGGGTCAAGAGGACTCAGTGACCATTCCCACCCTTGACTTGGCCGTTTGCTATGGGACTGTCCCCCAGGGAAATGACCAGGAGAGAGAGAGAAGCATTTGCACAGAGACATGCCCACAGCCCCATTCAGGACCCCAGAAAACTGGCCCTGGCACTCATGCCTCAGAGGAGCCACTTAGCAACGACGAGAGACAAACGCACAGGAACGTTACGCTGTCCTTTCAATGAAAAGCCAGGCACAGGGCTGGGATGAATTGAGGAAATGGGTCAAGGGAGGAAAGCATCCGTGACGAGTGCAGAGCAGAAGGTGCACCAAGTTGAGTTCCACAGAAGCGTTTACAGGAAAAAGCTGCGGAGGGCCGTGCACACTGCCTGTGTCATGGCCACTCAGACCTCACGGGGCCTTCTTTCCACCAGGACCTTCTAGACCCTCCAGAGACTGCAGTGGCCACCTGGCGTGGGCTGCACACCTGCTGTGTGTGTGTCTGTGGGTATCTGTGCATGTGTGTGTATGTGTGTGTGAGTGTGTGGCGGGCCCAGCCCCAGGAGTAGAAGGCCAGGGCCCCAGCTCTCCCCACCCCACGGGCTTCTTTGTCACCCTCAGCGCACCTCCAGGCCCGCTGGCATCGGAGGGCCAGCCCTGCCCGCCCACAGGGACACGGAGGGCCCCTCAGAGGCTCGGCCACATGGGGATTCTCAGTCTGACACTCCGCAGAGTTAGCGAGCACAGCAGAAAGGAGCCGCCACAGAAGAGGGGGCAACTCGACCAGCTGGGGAGAGCACGGCCCAGCCGAGAGGAAAGAAGGGTGAGCAGCTGGCACCTCCCATCGAGAGGGGGTGCGCTGGAGCCCTCCCGCTCCCCAGAGCAAGTTCTCCAGCTTCCAGAATGCAGCTCCACAGCGGGGGGAGTCTGGGACGCCCTCGGGGAAGAGGAAGGAGAGGGAGGACCGGAAGAGCAGGCCGACCCCCCGCCCCACTACGCCTGCGCTCTGCCCCCCATCGGTGTGTGTTTTCCTGGGGTTCCTACTGTCCGTTTTCTGGGCAAATGGCCCAGAGACCACAGGGAGCCGCGTCGGTGGGAAGGCTGCGTGCGCTGGGCTTGTGTGGGGAAGCTGCCCGACAGCTGCTGGGCGCTTGACACAGTCAAGACGGGAACCAGGGGCCCAGAGTCTGTGGAGGGCACTTACGTGCAGTTTAAATGCAACCCAAGTCGGCAATGTTACCCACCAGCAACTGGGAACCAAAACCCCCGCCACTGGTGGCTGGATCGGCAAAGGCGGTCTGCCCACACGGTGGGGTACGACCGGCCACAAGAGGGAACAGAGTGCCGACACACGCTGCCACGTGGGCCACCCTAAGACCACAATGCCAAGTGAACCGGGCCACCTGCAGTGTGAGCCCGATTACCTGAAACGTCCAGAAGAGACAAATCCAAAGACAGAAAGCAGACTGGTGGCTGCCAGGGCCTGGGCTGGGCTTGGGGGTGGGGGCGGGAATGGGAAGAAGCTGCCGATTAATATGGAGGCTCACAGCAGGGGAGGGGCGCTGGAAGTGTTCTGAAGTTGATCCTGGTGATGAACGCACAACTCCGAATATACCGAAAACTTAGAATTGTTCAGCACGTGCATCTTAAAAAAGTGGATGAGAACGAAACAGGATAACAGATGGGTTCATTTTCAAAAGCTGCAGACGATGCTCCAGTTTGTGAACAGCAGCAGACAGATGTGCTCCAGAGGAGCGATTTACGACGCACCGAGGCTCCAGCATCCGTCACAGCGTCGCACGAACACCACTTACACAGAGTCCACCTTGCAGATGGAGACCTGAGGCCACATACCCGCGACGGACCCAGCTGGGCTCAGAGCTCCTCAGCCCAGCTCCGCCCCCAGGCCTCTTTCCCTTCTCATCATGATAAAGCCCCGGAATCTCATAAATCTCGGGAGAAGGCTGGAAGCCAGCGAGAAGTGCAGAGGGCAGGGGAGAGGGAACAGAGCAAAACTCAAGGATTGCAAAAGCAGCTCACACAGATTTACGACTCCCCGAGGACCTGTCTCCATGCATCACAACAAGAAGGGGTGAACAAAGGGGACCTGCAGGCCCCTGTTTCAGCAAGAGTCCTAAACAAATAAGCACCTGGCCACTGGCCACCCTCTCCCAGCCATCCCCCCACCCCCAGCCAAGGGACTAGGACTGGGCTTTCTGGGAACAAATGTGGGCTCCCCCGGTTCCCACCCCCACCCCATGCAGGACGTGGAGCTGCAGGGACACCCACAGAGCCTGAGGTGGGCGTGCCACAGACCCAGCCAGGCCACGGGCCCCCACTGCATTCAGAGGCGCAGGCTCCAAGGACTAGAAGGGCCCACCAAACAGATGTTCTGGGAGGCAAGACCGAGTGTGGGTGCCGGGGGTGGGGGCTGCAGAGAACTCCCCATTCTGGAACTTTTCAAAGGCCGCGCCAGCACTGATGTCACCAGCCAGAGCTGCAGCCGTCCTCCCCCACCCCCATGGGTCCAGGGCCCCTGGAACTCTCAGGCTCTCTTGTCTGGAACCACCCCCACCCCCTGTCTGCCGGGTGCGGCCTGGCTTTGAAGGACACCCCAGCCAGCCGCCTTTCACTCCCAGGACACGTGACCATTTGGGAGAAGCTGAGTCAGAAAGCCCAGCCGCCAGACTCATGGGCCACAGAGGGGGCGAGGATGGAGCTCGCGTCACGGTCAGGATGCAGACCAGCCACAGCTTTGCTCTTCGCAGCTGGGGGTCAGTGAGCGGCTCACCCCAGCTCTCTGAGCCTCACTTGGTTCAGCTCAGGCAACACGGGCTGCCTTGCAGGTAGCCGGAGCCCATGTGCGACTCCCAGCAGCAGGGCGGGAAATGCCAGGGGATGGTTGTCCCCAAAGGGTCTCACCCTGTGTGTCTGTGGACGCTCTAAAGGTCCGTGCAGAGGCTTCAGGGGACCCAGGGACAAAGGCACTGCGCGCAGAAGTGAATGCACGCCCCCTGGGAGCGTCCACAGGGTCCTCACGCCTCCTGGTTCACCAGCCACCGGAGGCTGGTTTTCCCCTAAACTCCAAGCTCTTCCCCTTCTCCAGGCCGAGGCCATGCAATTGGGGTCACCTGTCCGTGACGGCTGGCACAGGGTGGAAGTCCTTGGTCCAGGTGACCAATGGGGGTGGGGAGCCTTGGGCCTCACAGTCCAAGGTCACCTCATCACCGGCCTTAGCTGTGACTCTCAGTGGCTGGTCTGTATCATGTGAGAAATTCGCGTGGATCCTGGGCTTGGCTGTTGGTGGAAACAGGCAGAGACTATGAGCAGGTCAGGGAGCCAGGGGACGGGGCCCCCAGGAAGCTGAGGTGGCACCGCCACCCGGGAGGTGCGGAGGTGGGTGCGGCTCCATCGTGACAGGAGGGTGCTGGCTCGGGCGGGCTCAGATCCGCTGGTTTCCCCAGCGCCCCCGTGTGGTGGCCGCACTGATGCAGCCGCTCCTGTCCCCACATACGCCCCTCTGGCTCCTCCTCACCTGCCGTCCCTTCCCTGAGGACATGGGGGCAGGTTCCCTCCTCCTCCTCCTCCTCTCTACACCCTGTCCCCTGTGATCACCCCACTTAGTCCCAGGACTTCAGCCACCAGGCAACGCCCAGTCTCCCTCTGGCCTCCCCCAACCCTATCAGGGGGCTGTGCTAATCTGTGCCCACCTCCTCCCCCTCCTGTCGAGCAGAAGGCTCCCGGTGGGGGAGACTACCCGAACCCCTCCTTCCTTACGCCCCCCCACATTTCCAGCTGGGCGCTCCTACACTGAAGGCACCCGGTATGAGTCCAAGCACCAACAACTGAACAAGCCAGCCAGCTGGGGACAGTGAGACCCACAGGGCCCACACGTGTGTCCCTATATGTCCTGTGACAGAGGGGGACGAGAGTAGAGGCCGTGGGTGCATATGATGGAAGACAGGATTATGTTTGCTCACTCGTCCACGCGGCTCTGAGTGCCCGCTCTGGGGTGACCGCTGGACAGGGCAGCGAGGATGGGTCCCACCCCTGTGCTCAGCAGGGAGGGCCCACAGGGAACCCGGGTGGCAAACCGCTCACACGCATTTATTTGATCCGAGTCATGATGGGCATCCCAAAGGGGGCGTCCCACCCTCCACAGAAAGGCGACTGGACCCAGCCTGGGGCGTCGGGGGGAGCTGGCATCTGACGGATGGGAGGGATGCGAGACACCGGCTGGGCCCAGAGGTGAGGGCAGGGCATGCTAACCAGCAGCAACTACACTGCAAGGCCCTGAGGCTGTGGCCTTGAAACAGGCTGAAAGGAAGTCAGAGTGTCTGGGGCACAAAGAGTCAGGGGGAGGGGCTGGTGAGGGGCCCACTGAGGTGGCAGGGGTGGGGGTCCAGTGTAGGGCTGTGCGTCGCCAGCCTGTTGGTGCGATGCCTCCCCACCCCCGCAGTTGCACGGGGCTGAGACAGGGAGAGACCACTTGACTGCGCTTGCACGTGAATGGGAACTGCTCTCAGGGCACGTCCACTCCACCAGGGACCCTGCTCTGACCTTTGTCTCACGTGCCCTTCACATGGGAAGAATTTAGAGGTGGGTCGACCAGGGTACAGGGGGGCGGGGCAGGTAAGGTCTGAGGGTCCAGGCAGGCCCCTGCGGCTGCCCCGCCAAGCCCCGAGCCCCCAGAACCGGGGCAGCCAGCACTCACTGTTGACAGAAAGCCGCATCTCCTGGCTCGAGAAGCCCACGGTGTTGGTGGCGGTGCAGATATAGGCCCCCGCATCCTGGGTGGACGGCCGGGCGATGACCAAGGTACCGTCCCTGCTCACGTTGTAGTGGGGGCCGCCGGAGGTGAGGGCATTGCTCTCCTGTGGCACAGTCACAGACACATGGGCAGAGCCCACCCCCCGGGGCAGTGTGGCATCACGCCCCTCCCCACGAGGCGCTGGGCCTGCCCGTGACACTCAGTGGTGACAAGCTCCGCTTACCTTGGTCCAGGTGATGGTGGGGGTGGGAACTCCAGAGGCGACACAGGGGAGAGAGGCTGGAACCCCTTCATTGGTGACGTGGTGGGTGGCGGGGGACTGGATTCTAGGTGGCACTTTGAAAAACAACCAAAGTTCATAGTGACATTATTCACGATGGCAAAAAGGTGGAAACAATTTAAACTTCCGACAATGGATGATGGACGGGCATTATGTGGTGTGTGTGTGTGGGGAACTGCGTTCAGCCTTAACAGGGAGTGAAAATCAGGCACCACAGCACAGATGGACCTTGAAAGCGTGATGCCAAGTGCAATGAGCCAGCACAGGACGAATACTGCACGACGCCCCCTATCTGCAGTGCCTGGAACAGGCAAATCCAGAGACAGCGTGCAGTGTGCTGGCCCAGGCGCCGGGGAAGGGTGGGAGTCGGGGTTTCACAGGGACAGAGTGTAGTTTGGGAAAGTTAGAAAGTTCTGGAGACAGATAGGGGATGGTTATGCAACCATGTGAAGATCCTCAATGCCCCTGGATTGTACCCTTAAAAATAAATACAATGGTAAACCCTCTGTTCTGAATATTGCACCACAAGTGGAAAAAACCCCACAAACATTTCAACAGTAGAGGAAAAAGCACAGAGCACCCCCAGCTGCCATCGCTCAAGTTCAGAGGGCAGCCACACCTGGGCCCCCGCCCTGCCCCCGCCCCCCCCCCCCGGGACTCGAAGAAAAACCACTCCATCCTTTGGCACCCATATTCCTTGATCGGCAAAAAAGCTACATGACCCCAATCTGTCTCCCACTCGCTGGAGATGGCCAGATAAGAAATGGCAGAAAACAGTCACAGCGCAAGTCCACTTGGCAACAAATGCCACATCCCTCCCGGGCACCACCCAGCACTGCAGGCACCGAGACGGGTCTCTGAGGAGCGTGGAGAGTCGGGAGGGAAGCCAGAACAGCGGTGTGGTTCACGCCGCCCTGCCGAAGAGGCTGGGCCATCGCAGTGGGCCCTCGGGTGACGCACCCTGCATGGGCAGCATGGTTTGCTGACCTGTGACCCGGAGCAGCCCCTCCCCCTCGGAGCCTCAGCTTCCCGAACTCCAGAACGAGTCTCTCAAAGCCCACGCCCCGGAGCAGTTACAGAGTGAGGTCTTCATGGGGCCTACGCCCAGCCTCCGACCACCACTGCGGTCGGTCACGGGGAGACGAGACCCCAGGCTCTACACCCAGCCTCCTCCTGCACTTCCCCTAAAAAATGGGGAAGAGTGTGTACTCCTGCTCCGCCCTTGGGGGTTTTAGGAAATGAAAGTTTTTAAAAAGAGAGCATTAACAAACTTGGTCAAGGATGAACTATAATCGAACTTCCTTTAAACTCCTCATCTTCCTTTAAAAGGACAGTGGGACCTGGGTGGAGGGGTGCTGTGAGTAGGAGAGTAACCGGGCAAAACACACGAAAAGCCCTAAAAACGGGCAATCCTCGAGACTCGAGGCTCCGTTCCACGGTGAGGGGTTTCTCCGGAGGAAGGACCGGTCACATGGGCGGAGGCGGGGTCCCCAGGCCTCTCTCCCCAGGGCGTCCCTGGGAGCAGACAGGTTAGGTACTCGAGGCTCATCCGAGCAGGGTGCGCAGCCTTAAACCGATGCTTCTGGGAATTTACTGACAGAAAAGGGTCACGGACGCAGCACAACAGGAAACTCTCGGGCTGCAGACGGGGTGTAACGCTGCGGTCCCCGCCTGATTTTAAAACATGCTCCAGCATGTGCCTACAAAGAACTCGCAGACCAACGGACAGAATGCCCGTATAATTGGTATGAAAATGCATAATTTATATGATACACAATTTATTATAGATGAGAGTGTGTGTGCAAGCTTACAGGTGTGCACAGTATGAAGTACGCACCCACAGGTAAGTGTTTTTTACTTACCTCTCCAATCTCTAAATTTCCTGCAGTCATTAGGATTCATGCAAGTTTCTCTTCAAACAAATTCATTCAAGGTCAAGTCCCCGCACACGTCTTCCCCAGTCCCGGCCACCCACGGCGCCACCCCACAGCCTCGGGGGCCTCGGGACTCACCGTGGACCACCAGCTCCACATCCCTGCGCTGGGAGCCAGCCGAGTTAGCGACCACGCAGCTGTACTTCCCAGCATCCTCCTGCAGCACCTGGTCCAAGTGGAGGCTGCCATCAGCTCGAACGGAATGTCGACTGCCAGGCGGGAGCTGGGGAGAGCGAGGAAGTGCCAGCTTGGCCCCTTGGCCCCTTTCGGAGCCAGCTAAGAGAGAGCCTTCAGAGACACCCACCCGGGAGGGTGCAGGCCGGACTGGCAGAAGGTGGGGGAGCTGGTGGGGAGGGGTGAGGCCAGCCCCCACCCCCTCCCTGAGACTCCTCACCTCCACGGACCCTCACGGCTAGGTGGGCCTGACTCCCAGCACGCCCCCACCCCACTCGCCATGCCAACTGGACAGGGCAAGACGCCTGACCCCAGCCAGCTTGGAGGAACCTCTGCTGGGAGCACAGGGCCGGCCGGGGCCTCCTGAGGAGGAGGGCTGGAGCCCTGAGGCCCTGCCTCCCCGAGGCCCCAGGGAGAGAAGAGAGGCACACGGAGCAGAGGTGTGACCACTTCAGATGGGGTCCCAGTGCGAGAAGCAGGGGAAGCAGCTCCTGGTGGCCGCCTAGGGCCCCATGAGCATCAGGGTGGCAGGTGACGCTGATCCAGAACAGGCCTTGGGCAGCCTCCAGCAAGCCAGGCCGGGCCCCTCCTGTGGCCTCCCTGTCCCCGTCCCCGTCCCATGAGCCTGGCTGCACACTCGGCTCCTGGACGTTGCAGCACCAGGCCCTTCGGGGCCGAGCCAGTTGGAGGACCTTTTGACTTGTTGCACTCGGGAGCCGCACAGGCAGGGGACCCAGCGTGCCCACTGAGCGCAAACAGGCCAGTCCCGGCACTGGTGAGGCCCAGGGCCACCCCCTCCCACGTGCCCCCGACTCAGGAAGGGTGCTCACCACCCAGCTCCACTCCCGCGTGTGGCCTGCCACAGGTCATGTCTAACTACACAGGCTGACTGTGAGTCACGGACACAGTGAGCCTCCACAACGCACGCACGCTGGGCGGCACCACTGCTGGGACAACAGCACCCAGACCAGGCAGCAGGGACAGAAAGACGGCCACACAGTCACTGCCTCCCTAGCTGTCTCTAGTGCTTCGAAGTATAATGGGGTGAGGGCACCTCTTTCTGGCCTCAAGGGCACGAGGACTCCCCGCATGTCTGCCGACAGGGCAGAAGGGCCAAGGGGCAGGTGGTGAAGGAGTGGGCAGGAGAGGAGAAGAGAATAGAGGGGAGCAACCCCGTGTGCAGGGACCAAGTGGCCGCGGTGTGCCGGCGCTGCGCTAGGCCGCCGGGCAGCTGTCACAGTGCCCGGGCCAGGACAGGGTGACCGGCGCACAGCGTCCAAGCCCCCAGCACACCCCTGCTCCCAGACCTCAGCACTGACAGAGGCCAGATCCTCCCACTGGGTTCCAGGGGGACAGGCTGCCCCACCGGACTTGGCTGACCTTAGAGGGTGACTGATGCTCTTAGCACGTCATCAGAGAATGTTCTCAGAAGAGGCAGGAAACAGAGCGAGGACGGAAGATGGTATTCCAAATCAGGGGCACAGCAAAGTGGGGGCCAAGGTGTGAATGAGACAGCCCCTCTGTCACCCAGCACCAACGCCCGCCTCACCGGGAGGAGCCCGTGCTCACCGGCCGGCCGGCCTTCAGCCAGCGCCTCTCCGGGAAGGGCCTTCCAGCCAGGACGATGCAGGGCAGGGACACGGGCTGCCTCTCCAGCACCCGGACAGTGGAGGCGCTGCTGGCAATCTGGGGGGGCGCTGTGGGGAGAGGACAAAGTGTCGGTCCCTCTAGATTGCTGCGGGTGGTCTTCTGGGGAAAGAGGCCCCGCCCTCCCCTCCCCGGGGACCTGCCCAGGAGGCAGGGCTGCAGGTGCTCCCCTCGGAATACCCAGCCCTGGACACACCTGTCCCAAAGGATGGGTGGCCATGGGGTGCCCCCTGGGGTGTCCCCACCTCCCACCTGCCCCACCCCTCTAGATCCCCCAACGAACCATGTCCAGTCACCACCAGCCGGGTCTCCGCCTGGACCTTCCCAAAAACATTTTGAGCTTCACAGATGTACGAGGCCTGGTCTTCAGGGACCACACCTGAGGGCAGAGAGAGGCGGGCCTGACTGCTGGGGGCACGCCACGGCTCCGACCCCCACGGGCTCCTCGCCCAGGCACAGAGGGAGCCCTGGGCACAGCCTGGCCCTGCAGAGGTTAGGTGGGAGGGTTAGGGGTGGCAGAGAGCAGGGCAATGGGGCACAGAGCCAGGCTGTGGAGGGACAGAAGGCCTCGGCTTGCTCATCTGTAGAATGGGGACAATTCGTTAATACCTGGCAGTGTGACTGGGAGGGGTCAGCAAGAGGACATGAATATGGTGCCCAGCAGCCAGCCTGGCACATGGTAAACAGTGGCTCTAGTGGAGAGGTGGTGGTAGTGGCTAAGACCTACGACATGCGTCAGGGACTATGCTAATGTCACACAGGTGTCACCCACACCACGGCCCCATAGGGTGGCCTGCCCTCAAACCCAGGTGGCAGCCTGGCCATTATCGTTATTATGACCATTCAGAGCAGGGAGATGACTGGACCAGAGTCACCCAGGTGAACGTAACCCTGTGCCGCCCACGGGCAGCGCTGGGGCTCAGGGTCCTGCCCTGGCCACCCAGACTCCCTGCTGCCCACCCACCCCTGCTCCGATCTCTTACTGTCAAAGAACAGCACTCCCGAGTCTGGCTGCCTGGTCCGGCTGCCCCGCCTGGGCTCCAGCGGCCGGTCGTCTGCCCGGCGCCAGGCGACCACTGGGGGCGGGCGGCCTGTGGCGCGACAGGCAAGGAAGGCGCTCCTGCCCAGCTCCACGGTGACATTCCGGGGCGGCTCCGTCAGCTGGGGCGCATCTGCAGGGAGGTGACCAGTCATGGCGGCTGGACCCACCCAGCCCCAGGGGACTGTCCCCAGTTACTGGGAGGTCCCCCCACCTCCAGCCTGACCCTCATGAACCTGGGGCTGACTCATACCCGAAGCTCCATGGCCAGCCTGAACTTGGGGGGCCCACCCCTGGAGAGCTCTCAGGAGCAGGAAGCCCCCGACCCACCTTGTAGGCCTGTGTGGGGTCTTGGGGACAACTCTCCCGCTCCTGGTAGTGACACCGCCTGGGAAGCCCACCCCTGAGGGGCCACAGGGGCCTCTGAGACCACGTCACCCCATCCTGGGCCACAAGGCGTTTCCTTTAGCAAATGTCCTAGACTTGAGTGACCATTTCCAGGGTCCCTTGTGTGTCCGCCACCCCCAAGGGCCGACTTCGTGGGGCACTGGTGGCAGTCTCTGATCTCTTCCCTGCCTCTCTGTCTGCTGCAGTTTCTGCAATGAAACTGCAAGACGCTGCCCCAAAAATCAAAACACACTTTGTACGAACAACATAACCATCCGCTTTCTGATCCAAATGGCGACACTGGAGAGTGGAAATACCACACTAGCAATTACCCCGGACAACACCTCTGAATGAGGCTTCCCCGCTCGGCTGAGCGAGGATACATTTAGACACACACATGAGTATTTCCTCTCCTTTCTGCTCCACACATCCCCAAATCCCACACTAACCACTGCTAATAGACCTCAGGGCTTCTTCCAGATGCTTTTCCCGGAGCTTGGGCTTATTTTATAGTCCGGGAGGAGAGACAAGTTATTCCCCAGAACAGACTCTCACGTCCTTTTGGCCCTCAGCAGGCCAGAAGCAGGTCCAACTCCAGGCGGGTCCAGGCCCTGTCCCCTGCCGCCTCTGGACACTGGCCTCAGGCCCCTGTCCCTAGACCCGTGGCCAGGAAGTTCCCCAGGCTTTTGTTAAGGCTTCAAACGTCCAACACCATGGAAAACCCTCCACCTCCTCGTTCTTCCCATCTCTTTCCAGAAACCTCCCCTGCCCATCCAAACCGTGACATCAAATTTCCCTCCCGGCCTCAGGGGTGAGGGATGTTCCAGGGAGACGTAAACACAGCTAGGAAAACTACAACAAGGAGGAAGACAGTTTTGGACCTAACCCCAGAAGCCACCCTCGCGCGCCTTTCTCATCGGGGCCTGGCGGCCCGGCGCAGAATCCCAGAAAGCCACTGCCCCGGGCTCGCCTCAGGTGGGGTCGCTGGCCCTGCAGGGCCCTGGCCCTGGGGCACAGCTATGCCGTCCCCGCCACCCTGGGCAGAGCTGAGGTTCAACCCCAGGGACAGTACCCCTAAAGCCGCCTTCTCCACTCCGCCCGACCAGCCTCCAGGGCCCAGCTCAAGCCTCCCTCCTCCAGGCAGGCCTCCCACCAGCAGTCCCTCCTCACACCCCACTCAGCCTGGCTTTGTCTCCTGAATCTGCAGGGGCACTCTCTTCCTCGTTCTCCTCCCAGACCTGAACTTCCCCCTGAGAAGGGACAGACCCTTATCATAACAAGCAAATAAGAGGTATAAAGGGTAGTGTTTTGAACTACCAAGTGACATGCACGGGGACAGTGTCAGGAAGATGATCTCATGAATGGCTCCAACACACTCAGAAGTGGTGTCACCACAGCCCCCGCCACACAGACTCAGACACCAGGGGGAGGAGGTTCAAGAGCCTGCCCAAGGGCCCAGCCTGAAGCCAGTGTCCCCCGTGCGTTCCCCAGCCAGGGCCACACCCCCTCTCGCGTCCTCTCTCAGGGTGAATCCCAAAGCCGCCAGATCCCAGGCTCTGACCCTGCCCGGGAAACTGTGACTCACCCCCCTCTATGGCCATGCCCCCACACGTCACTGGAGCCCCCAAACAGGCGGAACCCCACAACCCTCAGATGCCAGAGCCGAGGGTCTTCTGATCCCCTTGTGGGCCAGAGGAGGGGATTACATGGGGGGTCAGAGGCGAGGTGCCCACCCAGTGTTCTTCCCGGAGCCTCTTACTCAAGGTTCAGCCACTTGGTTTTCAGGCTCCAAGCTCCCTCCTCCAGTGTCCCCGGTGTGACCCTCGGTAACCCAGGGAGGGACAGTGAGCTGGCTCCCCTGCCGTGTGCCCTTTCCTGTGGCCTTGGGCGGGTTTCCGGGGCAGGAGCTGGGCAGGCCCAGGTCTCCCCGGCCGAGGCTGCAGCCACATGTCCATAAGGAGGCGGTTCTGCGCGGGGACCGGAGACCCAGGCAGAGAAAGTGGCCTCAGTGAAGGACGCCGGACGCCAGCCACCGGCCGGGAGGGGTGCCGGGCACAAGGGTCTGGCCACCACAGGGGCTGCCCTGGACCTCCCGTGGGGCCTCCCAGGGCTCCCTCTGCCTCCCCACCCACCACCGCCTCTTCGGAAGAGTGGAGGGTGCTGGAGACTAGAACCAGCTGGGGGGCCACACCCCCTTCAGGAAGACCCCCATGGATTCTAACAGATGCTGAGGAGTGACCGCGACAGAAATGCCGACTTCCATTTCTCCCACTCAGTCCTCAGCACCAGGGACACCGGCCTGCAGGTCCATGGCCCGGGCAGGGCCCCCGCACCGCCCCAGCCCCACTGGGTACTTCTGGGCAAACCCCTTTACCACTCAGGGCCTCGGTTTCCCCATCCATACAGAGGGAGCTCTATTTTTACCCTGGTTCGAGCATCTGCAAGTCCCAGGACCCTTTCTCATCGCCCGAGACCCTGCAGCCCCCCATCCCCTCTGCTGCCTACCCCGGGTTCCGAGGCTCAGAGGCCTGGAGCAGAGCCGGCGGGAAAGAGAGAGCCCGTCAGCCTCCACTCGGCTGGCCAGCAGGACAGCACAGAGGGCCAAGGTGGACCCCGGAGGAGGTTGGGACTAAGAATCAGGGAGTGAAATGACAGGCAGAGAGAGGGACAGGCGCACATGCATTTAGAGAGAAGCCCAGCAAGGCAGAGATGATGTATTTCAGGACAGTTCTTCAACAGAAAGGGCCCTGGGTGTGGGGAGGGGGTGGCCACCACAGAGCCCAGCCACCTGCCGTGGCACAAGTCGGCGCACCTCTCTCTGCCCCAGCAGGCCCTTGTCAGCCGGCCTGCCGACTACCAGCGTGCTGTACGTCCCCCCATGTGAGCCCCGGACAAGACACGTGGTCTCACTCAACTTCTCAGGGACCCAACGCGCAGACTCTGTTCCTATTGTGCCCATTTCACAGCTGAGGACAGCGGGGCTCAGGGAGGTAAATCACTTGGCCAAAGGAGCAGCAGGACCTGGACACAGACCCAGGACTCGGGGGCCACATGCCAGGTCCAGAGCCGATTCGAAAGCCCCCCCGCAGGCTGGTCCACACACACAGCGATTTGCTGTCCTGCAGGAGGCGGCTGCCCTCCTTGAGGTGACCCCAAATGCCACCAGGGAGGCAGTTTCCAATTCAGCAGCAGGAAATGGGCCTGGTGCCCACCTGCTCTTGGCTGGGAGGCCTCTGCCAGCCTGGCCGCAAAGGCTGGACCGCAGCTGCCACCCAGATGGGCAGGAAATTCAATTTCCCACCACTGCCGCCAGGCCGTGGTGCCAGGGCCCCGTCCACCATCCCCTGGCCTGAAAGCCAGAGGCACAGTGGCCCGGCACCCACAGCACTGCCTGTAGGATGCCAGCTGCCTCCTCCCTCTGACGTGGGGGAGACGGTCCCCGAGGGCAACGGCTGGCAGGGGAACAATAGGGCCCCAAAGAAATAAGGCCTTGCTAAAAAGAAAGCAGATGTGGAGCAACAGGGGGCTGCCCAGGGGAATGCCAAGGGCAGCCCACCCTGGAGCACCCTCCCCGCTCACCCAGATCCCACTGACTGATAACTAGGACCGTGGCACTGACCAGCACCCACCGAGTTCCAGACCATTCTCATCACTCACTCACATGACACCTGAGACATCCTGCAGATGAGGAGCCCGCAGCTCCGAGAGGGAAGCAACGTCTGAGCTCTCCCTGCTGGTGGGCATTAGGGTCAAGTCCCAGGACTAAAGGCTAGGACCCTGGGTTCAGCTCTCAGCTGTGCCACTTTCCGGCTGTGTGACCATGGACAAGTTACTGAACCTCTCTGTGCCTCGTTTTCCCCATCTATAAAGGGGATAACGGTAGCCTTCGCCCTAAAGGGGTGAGCAGATTACAGGTTGGTACATGACCCTGCTCAGAGCTGGCCCTGGCACTAGGCAAATTTGTAGAAGCGTCAGCTTATGCCTGTATTATTATAACCAAGCTCTAAGTCCTCATCTTCACACACCCACCCTGCCCCACCGGTGAGCCCTGCTGTGCGGGGAAAGTCTGAGTGCGCATCTCGCCTCCTTAAAACCTCTCACTGCCCCCGTGGGACAAAGCCTGGGCTCTGGCCGGCTCCCGAGGCCAGGCCAGGAGTGACCGCAGCAGGTAGCCACCGCCTCGCAGCCCCTCTCCCCACCCTCTCGATGTTGCCTCACTTTCTGCCTGGCTTCTCCTGTGGCAGGGCGATCTGCACACACTGCTCCCTTGGTCTGGAACGCTGTTCCGCAGCTCGTCACCCAACTGACTGCTCTGGGCTCAGCTGGGACATTGTCTCCTCCAAAAAGCCTTCCCAAGTCACCAGAGCTGGGGCAGCCCCCTTCCCAGACTCCAGGGATGCCACCCCCAAACACTCAGTGCTCTACGTATTCTCAGTGACCCACCAGCAACACAAAGGCAGATGCTGTTGTGTCCCCAACACAGGGCCTGGTCACCTGGCAACCATGTGTTGGAGGAATGAATGAAGGAACAAATGAATGAAGGCTAAGGGCACCCCAAACCTAGGAGGATCCCTGAGACGGCACTGTCACCCCCAGGGCCAGACCCAGCTCACTGGGCCTGCTCCACCCGGGGCTCTATCCCCTCCGGAGCACCTTGCCCAGCCCAGCCCGCCCGGCCTGGCCCCGCCTGGCCATCCAGTCCAGAAAAGCACATTCTCGATTCCCTGCACTTCCTGGACCTCCCAGCACCTGTCTCTCCCATTGCAGCTGCAGCAAACCCTCCGAGCCTGATCCGCCCCACTCAGCATGCCAAGGAACGGTGCCCACAACCTCTGAGCAACTCCGGGCACCTGGACCCAGGCCTGGGGCTCAGACATCACGGTTCCCACCACCAAGGCCGTGCGTGGGCCACAGAAGACTCTGGACTCCCCGCCTGTGAAACCGGGGTGCTGGCCTCTCATTTATGAAGCAGGCGCAATGGGCCAAACCCTGCGCTGAGCATTCTGTGCCCGACGTCACTGAGCCCTCACGGTCAGGCAGGATAGAAAGTGGTACGGTCAGCTGGGGGAAACCAAGAGTGGAAGACGACTTGACCAAAACCCACAGATGGTGAGGGATGGCGAGGAGCCTAGAGCTCGGTCTCATGGCCCAAGCCTGTCTCTGTGGGAGGTGGCCTGCAGGACAGCCCCAGGGAGGCCTGCCCCCGGGGTCCGCACCCTGTGCAGCCTCCCACCTCTCTGTGTCCCGAGGCCAGTCTGTGCCACCAACAGACTGCAACCGGCAGAAGTGATGGCAGGTCACTTCCAAGACTGCAGCTGGCTCCGAGGACTCAGATTCATTCCCTCTCTCCCACCTCCCTGCTCCCAGGATGCCAGGTCCCAACACGCCTCTGCACAAGCCCTTGTGGTGAGAACCCAGACAGACCCACCAGCGGCCACGTGAGCAGGTAGAGGCCTTCCCCTTGGCGCCCCCACCAGGGCAGCACAGGAACTGCAGCGCTGGGAGGCCCAGCACCAGAAGCACCCAGCTAAGAGGCTCCCAGAACCCTGACCCTCCAGAGCTGAGAGATAAGAAATGTTTATTGTTTTAAGCCACAGAGCACTGGGGCAACTGTGACCCAGCAAGAGGTAATGCACTGGGGGCAGGCGGTAGGGGGAGGTGGAGAAGGGTGTAAGGGGGACAGATGGTGATGGCTGGAGACTTGACTTGGGGTGGCAGACACACAATACAGTGTACAGGTGACATGCTGTGGAACTGTGCACCTGAAACCTGTACAATTTCATTAATCAGCATCACCCCGATACACTCAACACGGAGGAAAGAGGAAAAAGGTACCGCGTGCTTTGTCTCCCTCGGACCTCCCTGGTCCCCAAGTGCTTGGGAGCTACATGGTGCAAACTCCACACTGGCCAGGGACCTGGAGGGGTTCTGTCCTACCTGCTCAGAAGCAGGTGGACGGGGCGGGCAGGTGGGGACAGGTGTGCACTCACGTCCAACCTCCAGCCGGATTTCCGCAGAGGCGTCGCCCAGCTCGCTGGCAGCCTGGCAGATGTAGACGCCAGCATCCCTCTCCTGGGCCACAGGGATCCGAAGCGTCCCAGAGCTGGAGTCCCCGGGGGCCAGAATCACTTCAAGGCCCCCTGGAGCGGAGATGAGACAGCATCAGGCAAGGGCCCACAGTCACCATGGGCAACTTCCTGACCCTGGGCCCCTACAGCTCACAAGGCTGGGGCCTGGGGACAGTGGGAGGGTTCCCGCCAAAAGTCAGTGGGGCAGAGTTTCAGTTTGGCCAGATGCAAAAAGTTCTGGAGACAGATGGTGGTGATGCTTATGCAACAGTGTGAACGTAGCTAATACCACCGGGCTGTGCACCCAGAAACGGTGAAGAAGGGATACTGTCTGTTATGCGTGTTCTGCCACAATTTGAAAAAACTAAGCCAGCACTGCGAGGTCCAGTTCCCCGAGTCCCTTGGTTGACCAGGAGTGAGACCCAGACTTCCTGTACATGTGACAGCCCGTCAGCGAAGAACTCCCTGCCTGGGCCTCCCTCGGGGGTCCCCACCCTCTGCCCTCGGTTCCAGACTGAGGTTTGGACGGGCTCCGGCATGGTCCTGGGGCCACCCTGAGGTGGGCGCCCCATGCCTGCCCCTCTGAGGCCCTCCCCCAGGCTCCTGAGGCCTGACAGACTCCGGGGTTCTGAACCCCCTTTTAAAACCTAATTTAACTTTTCATTTGTGGTAAAGTATACATAACACAAATTTTTACCATCTTAAGCACTTTCAGTGTCCAATTCAGTGGCACTGGGCACATTCTGGTTGTCGGGCACCTATGGCCACATCCGCCCATGGAACTCCATCCTCTTCCTGAACAGAACCTCCCCACCTCCCCTCCCCCGGCCCCTGGCGGCCACTACTACTCCCTGTCCCTGTGGTTGGTGTCTCTAGGGATCTCAGGAGAGTGGGATCCTGTAATACTTGCCCTTCTGTGTCTGGTTTATTTCCCTTAGCATAACATTTTCAAGGTCCATCCATGTTTTATCAGAATGGCATTCCTTTTTTCAAACAAAACAGTTAACGGTGGCCCAAGAATCACATGACACAAAATGTACCATCTCAACCATCTTTAAGTGTACGGTTCAGTGGAGTTGACTATATTCACATTGTCCCGCAACTTGAATCTCATTCCCTTATAAGGCAAAATGACATCCCATTGAGAGCTTCCCCTTTAAAAGGAGGTCCCAGGACTGGCAGGGCTCTCAGCCAGAAATGCGGTGACGTGACCCCTGACCAAGGAGTCCCCAAGGCCTCTGCCACCCACTGGCTGCTGACCTGGGAGAAAATGCTCCAGCTGGAAGCTAACCCTGCCCGCTGGAACTCTGAGATAATCCCTGCCTTTCTCAAAGTCAAGGTGAGGCTGTGACAAGATGGCAGACAGGTGCTGCCAAGGAGGGAGAGCATCCGGTGGGGAGGGGCGGCACGGGACCGGCTGACAGCTGAGCAGGAGCCCAGTTTCTGCTCCGAGAAAGGCCAAGGTGGCAGCCCAGCACCCACACCCACTGGTGGGGGTGTAAGAACAGAGCCCATCAATCAGACATCAGCTCGGCACCCGGCACCAAGAAAACGCTCTGTACCCACGAACTCAAGAGCCTCAGAGCAGCCCTGTTGCTATCTCTCCCATCACTCAGATAATCCCACGTCACCGCCGCTGTCTGCACCATGAACACTGAGCACGGCCTGCGTGCCGGGCGCCTTCTAGACACTTACTCGGACTCCTTTCATCCTCACACAAACCACCCTGGACTCTCCCCACCTCCCACAACAGGAAGCCAGCTCAGAGACGTCAGCTCACCTGTCCAAGGTCACGCAGGGCTCCTAACTCCTGAGCCGTCCTACACCGGGGCTCTGGTGGGGGGCGGGGCACTGCAGAAATAGGCCCCTATCCCCAGGCACCCCATTCAAAGTGCTCCCCCCGTGACTGTTCTGGAAAGCTGATTCTCCGTGACCCTGACAGGCCCCCCTCCCCACACCACGTACCTCGATACCAGACAACCCGGGGTGGTGGCACCCCGGACACTTCGCACGCCAGCACGGCCTCCTGGCCGACCGCGGTGAGGACCACCGCACTCACGGCAGAGATGGACGGCATGTCTGTGTGGGGCGCAGAGGCAGGGTTGGGGACGGACCAACAACACCCCCAGAATGAGAATGTGGCTTCCCACAGCTGGGGAGGGGCTGCTGGCAGGAGGACCTGAGCACCCTGCCTCCTCCCCATCCCCTGCCACTCAGGACAGTCAGTCACCCCAGAAAAATTCAGCCACAGCTGGTGTTTCTCGAGCTTCCCACCCAGGACCCCAAGTCGAAGCCAGTCGCCCCTGGGCTAAATGCCCCGTTGTCCCTCACCAAAGCAGCCCTGGGAGCCAAAACCCTACAAGGTCCTCAAACGCTCTCCATGGGGTGCCAGCCCCTCCCCTGCCCCCCACCTCCCCCTACTCCACACCAGCTGCCTGGCAGCCCCAGGAGTACCCAGGACTCATTCCGGCTGCTGGGCCAGTACCCTGCTGGTCCCTCTGGTGGCAGCACTGTCCCATTCATTCCTGTCTGTCACGGAGGCCTCAACGGGTCCTGTGTGTGAAGCCTCGTCCCCTCTACCCACCTGGCACGTCGCCCCCCCCCCGCCCTGCTCTATGCACCCTCCTCCCCAAAGTGCCTTGTTTATCTGTGCAGTGCCTCCCCACCAGGCAGGGACCATGTGTATGTCCCCACCGCCTGGCACACAGCAGATGCTCGGTGTTTGTGGGTGGGATGGAGGCCCCTCCCCTGAGATGCCCAGGCCCGGGTACCTGTGTAGTAGAGGGTGACCGTCTCCTCGTCCGTGCCGACCTCGTTGGCAGCCTGGCAGCTGTAATTCCCAGCATCCTCTGGGGCCACTCCTCGAATGATGAGGGTCCCCTGGTCATCCACGTGGATTCTGGAGTCACAAAGTTAAATGTGTTCGGCAACAAGGGGCTGATTAGGGTGGATCATGTGAGGGCGCTCCAGACATCATTAACAACAGACTAATTAACATCTCCAGTGACCACACTCCACACCATTGCTCTGTGCCGAGCTGTGTGCTCAGCACTTTCCATACATGGCTTTTTCTCATTCAGGAGGCTCAGAGAGGTGAGGTGACTTGCCCAAGGTCACACAGCCTGACTGGCAGGGGCAAGATCCAGGCTCAGGGCTCCTGGATTCCATGGCTGCAGCTCCTGACCCCGGAGCCCATGTGAGGCTTTGTTCACGGTTCCAAAGTGATCACCCTCCTGAGTCTCAAACGACCCCTGGAGACTGAGGCTGGGACAGGTCCCCTGGGAGTCCCTGGAGGCCCTGGGCCCCTCACCTGCTGTCCTCTTGCAGGGTGTGACCGTCTCGGCTCCAGGAGATATGAGGCGCAGGGGACCCAGAGGCCAAACAGTGGACCCTCACCTCCATGCCCTGGGAGAAGCGCTGGGACCTGGTATCAATGCTGACTTTCGGAGCCTCTGCAGTTCAAGGAAAAGAACTGTTGGGGCAACTGGGCCATCCCAGGCCCCCACCCCACCCCCACCCCACCACAGCCACTGATGGCAGAGATGCGGGAAACAAAGGCCCTGAAGAACCTGAACCACCCTCGCCCAGGAGTGGCTTCCTCAGGGACTGGGGCTGACCAGGCAGCCACCCAGGCACATCCCTGGGGTGGGGATGGTGGGGGATACCCGGGGGCTGACTTGCCAGTGCTGCCTGGGAAGCCTCGAGCTCCCTGGAGCTACCCCCAGACAGAGCACCTCAGGGAGGCTTCAGGAGGTGCCTGGGCTGGGGGGGCCCACCTCCGGTGACCTCGAGTGGCAGCCAGGCCTGCACAGTGTCGGCCCCAAACGCAGGTTCCGTCCCGGCCAACAGAATGCTCAAAGCCAGCGGACTTGTTGGGCTTGAACAGACCTCGGGGCCCCAGGCCACTCCCACCTAGAAATGGCCCCTCCTGCACCAGTGGCCTGGATACAGCCTCAGAACCCTTCTCGGCCCACCCAGCGGCCAATGCAGCACCACCAGCACCCTTGATTGACCACGCTGCTCCCCTTACACTTGGAGAAAGAGCACCTGGGAAGGAGGAGCTGTCTGAACCCTGACAGACAGAGGCTGCGTCCAGGCCCTGAGACTCCCAGGCAGGTGCTCCGGCAACAGCCTCCTCCATCTCTACCCGTCAGTGCTACCCAACCCCGCCAAGCAAGTCTGATCTCTGGGCTTTCAGAAGTTTCTAGCATTCCCTCCATGTCCCACATATTGGGTGGGGTGGACAAAGAGGCACTCAAAGACACGGGAAAAGGTCAGGACACAATGACACTGGCTTGGCCTACAGCAGTAGAAATTCAGGTTAGATGAGAGGGTGAACTTCCCAAAAGAGAGACACCCCAGACACCGGCTAGGTCTCTGTCTCTCAGGAGGCTCAGAAAACACTGAAATTGCTGACATTGCCTGCCAAAGGTGGCGTCTGCGCAGAGGGGCGGATCGATGGGCTTTGGGGGTAAGGTAGTGTGGGGAACTGGAAGGACAGCCCCGGCGGGAAGAGCCTCACCTCGCACCAGGAGCCAGACGGATGCCCTTGTGACCCCATTGGCGTTGCTGGCTATGCACTGGTACCGCCCGCCATCACTGGGGATGGCGGCGCTGACCTCCAGGGACAGGTCGGCTAGCTGCGTGACTCTGCCCGTCGAGGCCGACAGGACTCGCCAGTCCCGCACCCACGTCAGGTTGTAGGGGGCCTCTCCCAGGACACTGCAGGACAAAATGGCAGTCTCCCCCGGCGACACGGTCACATTGGGTGCAGGGACCAGCTGCGGCGGAGGGTCTGTGGGGACGGGAAGACAGGAGGCTCTGGGGGGGGCTGATGGGGGGAGGGCGCCAACCTGCAGGCCCAGCGCTGCATCCCTCAGGGCACGTGGGCCAGCAGAGCGGTTAACCCACCGAGGCCGGGACCACCCCGGGCCGGGCACATTTCCCGGCGGCCGTCAAACCCCCACCGAGGGCACCAACACCCACTGCAGCACGCAAGGAAAGCTACACACACCCCTCCTCACACCCTTTGAGGCAAAGTTTGTGCCCTCGGGAATAAAGCTCAGGTTTAGAAATACCCCTCAAGAGGGAAAGAACAATGAGCACAAAGCCATTCTCCACGCAAACTGCAGGGCCACTGTGACACCCAAGTGCAGAACCACGGCCTCCGCCCGAGGCAGAGGAGGGCCAAGGAAAGCGCTGTCTCTGTAAGAAAAAGCCACGGAAGTGACAAGGTTAGGGACCATCTAACCAGGGGCGTGGGCCTGAGGACCTGCAGGGGGAAAGCTGGATCCACACAGGCCACAGGAGCCCATGACCTTGACATCCAGGCCAGAAGAGCTTTTGACCTCCACAGCCACTAAAAACCGCAGAAACGAACTGGAGGTCGACATGCTGGGGCAGGTGGGAAAGTGACCATGGCCAAAGTTCAATGGTATTAAGGCCTTACTGTTCACTTTACTAGCTGCTATCATAGAATATTACACAAGAAAGCCTACTTTTTAAAAAAGAGATAGATACTGAAGTGTGTTTCTCTCTTAACTATATTTACACCAACGCACCCCAATACACCAGCAAGTATATTGGGGTACAGGTGTGTTGGGGAGACCTGTGGCAGAAGCTGATCACAGTACATTAGCCAATGACAGGGACTTGCGTTGAAAGCCCTGAGTTCAAGTTTAAAAGAGTTTCGCCACAAAGAGAAGAGGCAGCTACAGCGAACGGTTAGCAAGCGTAGGTGCCGGGGGACAAGTCTCCTGACACCATTCTGCCTCTCCGTGCTCATCACCGGTGAGAAGGGCATCTCCGTTACTGCACACCATGCCCACGTTGGCCACCGCCGTGCCACCCAGCGGGATGGAGCACACCCATGGTGCAAGAACTGCTCTCCCCCCGTTTTCAGGGAAACCCACACACAGGCAGAGGTCTGAGAGGAAGGGGACCGGGCAAGGGGCCACGGGGGAGGGAGCCCAGGCTGCTCAGTCTCCTTCATCTGTCTGGGCCCCGGCTGCCCCAGAAGCGCTGCGGTGTGTGTGCACCTCAGGGTGCATGGGCCTGACCTGCTCCCCTCCAGACAATCGGGGGTCACGGGTCAAAAAACACAGCCAATTTCATTTCCAGATGGCCCAGCATTTCCAACCCTCCTGAGCTGGGGGCACATGGAGGCATAAGGGGTGGGGACCGCAAGATGGACAGTAGCCCCTGAAATGGCCTGTGGGCTGGCCAAGCCCCAAAGGCCACACCAGGAGGCAGGGGTGGAAGGAAGACTGGTGGGGGAGCATGGCCTGAGCAGGGCAAGGTTCCCAACCTTTCTCCAGCTGAGACCCGTGGGCCACCCCAGCGCGACAGCCCAGACAGGGAGCCAGCAGGCAGGTGGCGGCATGGGCAGCCGGGCTCTAGGGGACAGACAGTCCCAGCAGATGGGGACACGCCAGGAGGAGACTCTAGAGGGGAAAGTCAGAAAGGGGGTGAAGAGGGGCCCTCAGAGGGACAGACCTGTGACAACAACCTGGGCCTCGGCGCGCCCGGTCCCGGCCCTGCTGGCCGCTTCGCACTCGTATGTGCCTTCCTCGGCCTTGGAGGCCCGCGGGATCTCCCAGCTGCTGTTGCCCGACTCCCTGCAAACACACAACAGCTGGGGACACACAACCACACTGACCCCAGGCAGAGTCCCGCCCTCGGGGGCCCCGTTCCCCTGAACCCTGCCCAGCGGGGAGACCCCAAGTCCTCCTGGAGGCTGGGTGAGAACAGGCTGGCAGCTGAGGACGTGCACATTCCACATTATGCTGTGTGACTCTGAGCAAGTCCCTTCCCCCTCTGAGCCCTGGACTTCCATCCATAAAGGGGAGGGTCTCAGAGGCCTTTCCTGCCCTGAGCCCTGGGGAGCCAGACCCTACGTGGGGTGAGTTTCCTGGAAGCTGAGGAAGGCCTGTGACTCCGTCCTGGGGCGATGGCCCAGCAGTGGTGGGTCCTCAGGGACCACCCTCCACCCCCCTGGCCACACTGGGAGGTGCCCAGGCTGGGTCACCCTGGAGGGCACACGACCGAGACCAAGGTCCCCCTCCTGCCACCCACTGCCCTCAGATCCCTGCAGGGCACCAGGCCCCCAGGAGCCCTGTGACTGAGGACAACCGCCGGCCAGCGGCCACTTACAGCAAGTGCCTTTCTTGGCCCAGAGGGGCTCCGCGCCGCCGCAGCTGCAGCCGGAAGGGGAGGGCGCTGTGCACGGAGCAGGAGATCAGCAGTGGCTGGTGCAGGTAGCCGTGGATTCGCAGGGGCATGCTGACCAGGGGGGCACCTGGGGACAGGGCCCGGCACTCAGGAGTCCGCCCCACCGCCCCACGGCCTGCCCCCACCACACCCGGTGACAGAGACCCACAGGCACCAGCCAGGAGCCAGAGGGCCGGGCTGTGCCCCCTGCTCCCCCACTGGGCGGTCACCTAGTGTGGGCTGCTGCACCCCCCAAGCCTCAGCTTCCCCCTCTGTGAAGGCAGGCTCATCGCAGCACTGACCTCATCGTGCCGCCCGTGTGGCTGCGAGGAGTGGGTGGGGGTGGCGCATGGAAAGCACCGGGCTTGCTTTCAGAGAGTAGTGAGCTCTGTCAGTGAGAGCCGGGGTTGTTTTGTGGTTTGTGCCCAGACTGGCCAAGGTGGGCCGGGCTGCGCCACCACCTCCTCAGCCACGTCAGGCACGGAAGTGAGACCCAAATCGGATGACCTGCTGCCCAGGCTGGGCTCCCCTAGGGCGACGGTAGGGGCAGGGGCGGGGCAGGGGCAGGGCGACCAACTGCACGTCTGCTCCGAGGGTCAGTTCTGCCCAAAAGTGTTGGAGCAAAGCCTTTCTTCTTAAAAATGAGCATAGTTGGAGCATGGCTGCAGACGGGGAACACACATACATTTTTGAGATAAAATAAGAGACTTCGATGAAATCTCACAGCTCGTGATGAGCCTCGTGGGGCCCCCAGCAGACAGCACCACCCCCTCGCCTGACCCTGGTCTTGAGCATGACACATTCTGTCCTTGGCTATTGGAGTTGAATGGAAAAGTCTGAGAGGCACCCCGCAGGGTCAGTGGCGGTGGGTCAGTGCCTGGAGGAGTGATGGCAGGCATGGGCTCAGCCCTGTCCTGTCCTCTCCCCGTCCCCACCAGACCTGCTGTGATGGCCGGACAATGTGCCAGATGTCCTCTGAGCACAGAGCAGGGGGTGGGAGGGTGGCGGATAACATCATGCTACAGGCTCCCTCCCAGGGGACAGGGGTGGTGGCCTGTCCAGCCACGTCCTTAGCTGTGTGCAAAGCAGCCTGGTCACCACCCTGCCCCACCCCCCGCACACACACTGGAAGCCTCTCCAAGGCCAGCTCGGGCTTCCTCCTCCACCAGCTACACAGGCCCGGAGACCGCAGGCCCAGCCGGGCCTCACCACCCCCATGTCTCCAAACCTGGAGCCTCCTGCTCTCAGCCAGACTCCCAGCCGCCCAAACCTGGAACGTAGTGAAGGAAGCAAGAGGCCAACCCACAGCCCTCCCGCCTGCAGACACCCTTTATCTAGAGCTGAGGTGGGGACCAAAAGCCAGAGCCAAACTCCAAACTCTTAGCCCCAACTCAAAGAACAGGGGAGAGAGACACAGAGGCCGTTATTCTCCTGCTGAAATTCCTTTCTGAAAACTCTCAAAGCTGAAAAGGCCAAGGGAGGGGGTGGCCGGGAACCAGTGCGAGGGAGTGGAGGCCAAGAAGTTGGAAAGAAGTGTCAACTCCTCCCCCACCACGGCACCCTGGTGGCCCCTGCAGCCCACTGCTGTAGGCAGAGGAGTCTGCCCGTCACTGAGATCCCCAGCCAGGAAGACACTGGAATATCGGCGGCATCCACCTCTGTGAGCTCCTCCCAGGCCGCCACCATGGGAATGGGGGAGCGGGCAGGAGCAGGGAATGGAGCCCAGTAGGAAGCCAAAGCCTGTGACTCAGACGCCCCTGCTAGGACCAGAGGCCAAGCTGGAAAGCCAGGCTCCGCCCTGCCCTCTGCTGGCTTCCAATCTGGACGCGAGACCTCGGGGACATACAGAAAACCAGCAGAAAGCCCGCACATGCAGGGACCAACACGGCATGACGTCAGATGAGACCACAAAAGGGCCTGTGCCTACAAGGCACAACTCGACAGCAGCTGCCCTGGTGGGGGTCCTGGCACAGGCTCCCAGCACCCCAAGAGCTGCGTCATTGTGGGTGCATCAGCCTACAGAACCCTCAAAGCAACCCTGTGAGGTGGGTGGCCTCGGTTCCTCGGCTATGAAGTGGGGACACATCTCAGAAATGTTGCAAGCATTTAATGACTCGGTGAGCTAAGGCGTGGCAAGTGCTTAGCCCAGGACTGTCCCATGGAAAGTGCCTGAAAGGAAGGTTAGAACCGTATTGCCACCGCTGCAGTTATGACAGGGACCGTAACACTGAAAGACCAAACCCCCACCCACTGCCCTGCCCACTGCCGTGTCTACAGTGCCCCGCACTAGGTATGTTGAGTGGACAGATAATGGATATTTGAATGGATGGACGGATGGATGAATATTTGGATGGATGAATGATGAGTGGGATGGTGGCTGTTTGGATGAGTGGCTGGGTGGGTAGATGCCTGGATGGACAAATGGGTGGGTGGGTGGGTAGGTGTCTGGACAGAGAGATAAATGGATGGATGGATGGATGGATGGATGGATGGATGGAAGGAAGGAAGGAAGGAAGGAAGGAAGGAAGGAAGGAAGGATGAGTGGGTTCGGGTGGGAAGGTGGGGAGACGGATCAACAGATGGGCAGCTGGATAGGAGAGGTGGGAAGGTGGATGCGTGGGGAGATAAGTGGGGGGATGTGTGGGGAGATGGATGTTTGGATGCAGAAATGCGTGGGTGCGTGGGTGTGTGGATGTTTGGATGGGTGGGTGAGTGGGGGGTGGATGTTTGGGTGGATGGGTGGGTCAGGATGGACAGATGCATACATGGGCTCCTAGCTGAACGCATGGACGGATGGATGACTCTGTACTAAGTCCGTGAGCCAGGGCTACAGCTGAAGCATCTCCGCACTCAGCACCATGCCTCTCGGAGCTCGCTGCCCACAGAAGTTTACGAACAAACACTCCCTAATCTAATCCGATCTAATCAAGGCAGGCTTCCAAGAAGAAGCCGGTGGACAAGTGAGACAGAAATCTGGGGCTGGTAAGAGCCGTCACTCACCTGGGGCCCCCCCGCTGTAGGCAACTCCAGAGACGCGAAGGAGGGGGTTCCCCTCGTGGTCCTTGCCCTTCACCTTGAGGTAGAAGCGCTCCTTTGGGGCACGGAAGGGCGGCCCACCCCACAGCTGATGGGCGGATCCGTTGGCGAGCGGCTGCACGGGCAGAGTCAGGAGGGCCCGCCCCGAACCCTGTGAGAGCTCCACGGAGTCCACGCGGCCAGGGGCCTGCAGGCCAGTGGCGTTGATCACCAGGGAGATGGGCACCCCTGCAGAGGGCGGGGCGCGGAAGGAGGGCTGGCGTCTGCGCTGGGCTCCAGGGTCCTCCCCAAGCAGGGGCCCTAGGTCTGTCGGTCAGGGACCAGCCTGCCTGGACCCCCCTCGCCAAGCTCCAGCACCCTCCCCTCTCTTCCCTGTGCCCGTTCGTGTGGGGGTGGGACAAGGAACCAGGGGCCTTGCTACTGTCCGTGGTCCTGAAATGCCACCTTCCGTCCAGCCACTGCTGTCCCACGGCTGCATCCCCTTCGCTCCGAGTCCTTAGCCTCCCATGGAGTGTAAGTGGGAAGAGGTGTTTTTATCACCCCCCCATCTGCGAACTCCAGTGGGGGCCGGCCTCTGGCAGGCCCCGGGACCGTCCTCAACGAGAACTGGCCCCAGCTGGGGAACTCCGACTCTCTGACTCTTGCCCCTTCTCTCCCTGTGCTTGGCGTTGCTTCAGTTTTCTAGACGTCTTTTCTATGTTGTTGGAAACGTACTTTCACACTCTCCCAGAGAACAGAGAACTGGACTTGGGGTTCGCGATTTTGTTAGATAATTTGGGAACGTCTGTCTGGTCTCCTTCTTTTCAGATGTTTTTTATTTTTTTCCTCAGACACCATCATCCAGGAACCAGTGGCTTTAGTTGGTCTGGTCCAGGAAACGTGGCCCTGACATTTCTTTTAAGAAACATCACACAATCTGGGAAAGGCAGACGCAAGTCCAGAATCCAGACTCCTCTGAAAACCCGAGCACGTCAGTGCCGCACCCTGACGACCAGCCACCAGGCCACGGGGGCTGCTCCCCGGGGCCCCGGCACCAGGGCCAAGTGCCAACCACTACTTATCGTTTGCAATTGCTCTGATATTTCTCTCCTAAAAAAGTATCTTGGACCCACATCTTTATCAAAAGCAGAAACCCAGTGGGTCGGTCACGCGTGACCCCCCAGCCCCCATTACACTGGGGTCTGTTCCTGGTGGGTGTTCGGTTCTCAGGCCCTACTCTCGCAGTCCACTAAAGAGTTCTCGCTAAGGGTTCCTTTGCTCTCCTGGCTTTAGGGTAGAAACTGCCCCGCCCCCTCCTGTCAGGGGCAACAAAACACAAAAGGGAGCAGCCCCTGTTCACTGTGAAGGTGCCGCTGCCGGCCCTGGCAGGGACCCGGCAGGGACACAGACAGGGCCTGGTAAGAACGACAAACTGCAGAGGAGACATGAGAGGAGGGCCGACTGCCTGGCACGCACCATTTTTGGTCACTGTTCCGTGGGCCAGAGTTCTCCTGACCTGGTCTAGGTCCCTCCCCATCTCTCTTCTGAGCTGCTCCCAGCAAAATCCTCCCCACGGGCCCCATGACAAGGGACTGTATTTCCAAAGTCTAAGTCGGGGCCCCTGATCTGGCCAGCAGACGGTGTTTTCTGGCCTGGAGCTCTGGCTACCTGGGCCAGACACCCCTGCCTGTGCCACCGTGAGCCTCCTCTACGAGGGGCAGTGACGGGGCACCCGGTGGCCTCCGATCTGAAACTGGCCCTGCGCCTCCACCTCACCGAGCCCTGGGCTACCTGTCGGCCCCCAGGGCATCGACATGTCCATCAGGACACTCACTCCCTGAAGCAAGACACCAGTGTCCTGTTTGGGGAAGCTGGCACCTCCCCGGCACCTGTTAGCTTGTTGGCCCTGCTGGACGTTCCTTGGAAAAGTGGGGAGGGGAGGCTCTTGATGAACGAGCCTGAAGGAAGAGAAAGGGGGAGGTGGGAACTTGGTAGCAAGGATGGCAGCTGAGGCCCTGGTGGCCCTCAGGGGCAGGGAGCATGTTCTAAAGGAAGACGGTCCCTGTGTCCCCTGGGCCGGGGCGTGGCCTGGGGCTCAGTTCCCTGTGGCGTGGGAACCCAGCCTGGGCCCCCCAACACGTGGGCGCACACTCGTAGATGCCCCCAGAGCGCCCACCGTCTCCCAAAGGCAGGCCCACATCTTCCGGAGGCAGCCCCGGCAGCAGGTACCTTGCAGCGGCCACTCGATGGTGCGGTTGAGGTCCAGGGAGGGCTGCGTGGAGAAGCCAGCTCGGAAGTTGATGTTGCTGATGCCCGTGACCCTCACCGAATGGCGGCCACTGCTGTAGACCTAGCGCAAGACCAGGCCCATGTCACCGAGGTGCTTGATGCCAGCAGCCAGCTCCAGGGCCCAGGTGCCAGCCCAGCCTGACCCGGAGTCAGTACTTGGAATTCTCCCACCTTGGCAGACATGTGAGTAACCTACCTGCTCCCTGGGGGCCCAGCACGACGTGGAAGAAGCCCCAGCTACACCACTGTCCCAAGCAGGCTCCACCCCCAACGCCCGCAACCTGTCTGTGCCCCCACACCTCCAACCCCAGCCTTGCCTTCCCCGTGGGCATCAGAGACCTTGGCTCGAGGAGGCTCAGCATCTGCAGGGCAGGAGCCGAGGCAGCACCCAGCCCAGAGCCTGGTACCCAGCAGGCGCTCCACAAACCTGCGCCCGTCAGCAGGAGCTCACGTGCCCCGGAGGCAGCAGCCAGCCGCACCCCAGAATACTCCCTCGGGGCTCCAGCCTGCCCCAGCCCCCGGCTCCCAGCACCCTGCAGACCAGAGCAGGCCCAGCTTCCCCTGCCAGACCGGTTCCTCCGAGCCTTCCCCCGAGGTCACCTTTGCTTCTTGTGTGCCTTCTTCACTGGACAGCGCAGAACCAGCTGGCTCCGACACCCACTTCAGGACATTACAAGTGGTTCCTCCAAGTCCTTCTTAAACATTCCCTAACTAACCCAGACACTGCAGTTCCTCTTACAGATTCGAAACAGAATACTCCCCTCTGTTCTTGACCCCTTACTGCTATTGCTATGCCACCACCCACGCTCCAGCCCTCAGCTTCCCAGGCCCCCGGACAGTGTCTCAGCTCCGTGCAGCCAGGCTCCCCACAGCCTGGGGCCCGCTGGTCCCTACCTTGATGGACCACAGCCCCGGATGCTCAGGCTTAAAGGCCACGACCTTGGCCGAGTCAGGGATGTTGAGAAGCACGTTGAGGCCCTCGTCCTTCTGCAGAATCCTCCCTGTGGAAGCCCCAACGGCTGCTCAGTCCCTGGCACTTTCCTGGGGGTGACAGAGGCCCCACCCTGCCCTAGGGACCCATGGCTCTCCACACACCAGCCTCAGGCTCCCCAGAGTAACTGAAAGGGGGCCTTAGGTGGTGCTCGGGCCCCCACCTCCCTCTGCCCGCCGCCCTCCTCACTCCCTAGGGGGCGGGGTGAGCCCCTGGCCTCCAGACCGGGTGCCCATGGCGTCTCAGAGCATCAAGCAGCCAGGCAGCCAGGCCCAAAGCACACCGAGCCTGGGTGGTCCCAACAAGTCACCCCACCCCCCGTGACCCCAGCTCCCCTTCTGTACACCGGGCTGCCAATGTCTTCCCTGACTGACCGGCCAGGCCACCGTAGGGACCACTGAGAGAGTGTCCAGGAAGACCCCTGGGAGCCTTCTGTCCCGGGAGTTTCCTGATCTTAATCCCCTCATTTGGCTTCTACCAGCCTCCCGGCTTCCTTGCCCACCACGGGGACCCTCTCTGCCCTCCACCTGGTGTCTCCCTTCCCAGAGCCGTGTGTCCAAACCCCCTGCCACCCCAGGTCTCTGTCTGTGTCATTCCAACTCCCAGCTCACTCTCGGGGCCAAAGAGGAGACCAGCCCCGGGGCGCACGTACCCAGAGGGTCTCGGACTTCGATCTCGGGCCCCGGGCCACTCAGGGAGACGGTGACCTCCTTGAGGCTGGGGTCGAAGGGGATCTTCCATGTGTGCTCACCCTCCTCCTCGTGGTTCGTGGACAGCAGGTGCACCTTCGAGGCCTGGATCGCTGACTCCACCCACTTCAGCACCTGGGAGGCAGGTGTGAGAAGCTGAGGACAGCATGCAACCTGGACTTCTTGCTTGTGTCTGGCCCACCCACGACAGGTCCCTAACAGACTGCCGTCTGTGTGCAGAATCTGGTTCCACGCCCGCCCACCCACCTTGGGTTTCAAGCAACATGCAGGCTTTCCAGGTTACTGGGGAAGCAGCCCCATGCCCCCTGAGCCCCACCAGGCCCAAGTCACATGTCATTACCCTCCTGGCCTGGGGACTCAGAGCTGTGACACCTGAATCAAGGCATCTGGAGGACTCAGCTCAAAGGGAAGGAGCAGGAAGTGCCCTTCTGCTGGGAAGACTCTTCCCTTCTTCTTCACCTGGCCAAGTTCTACGGCACCCATCGCTTCCTCCAGGAAGCCTTCCTGATGCCTCCCACACACGGATGAACCCTGGGCACCTGGAATCTTGCCCCAGACCAGTGTAGTTCACCATCGCCCACCAAGGGGCCTCAGACTGCCCCCCACCAAGGAGCCACGCTCTCTCTAAGCAGGTCCGAGACGACCTGCTGCACAAGGACCTCTTGGTCCTTTTACCATATTGAGAAACCACAAGTCCTTATTTTCTATAATTGCCTATTCATTCTAAAATCTTACATGGTTTGGCCCTGGCTGGTGTGGCTCAGTGGACTGAGCGCTGGCCTGTGGACTGAAAATTTGCTGGTTCAATTCCCAGTCAGGGCACATGCCTGGGTTGAGGGCCAGGTCCCCAGTTGGGGGTGTGTGAGAGGCAACCCATCTGTTGCTCTCTCTCTCCCTTCTTTCCCTCCTCTCTAAAATGAATGAATGAATGAATGAATGAATGAATGAATAAATAAAATCTTTTAAAAGAAGGGTGTTACAAAAAATAAAAATAAGGCCCTGGCTGGTGTAGCTCAGTGGATTGAGCTCGGGCCTGCGAACCAGACAATCGCGGTTCGATTCCCAGTCAGGGCACATGCCTGGGTTGCAGGCCGGTTCCCTGCAGGCCAGTTCCCAGCAGGGAACACACAAAAGGCAACCATACATTGATGTTTCTCTCCCTCTCTCCTTCCCTTCCCTTCTAAAGATAAATAAATAAAATCTTTAAAAAAAAATAAAAATAAAAATAAAATCTCACATGGTTTGGAGAGGTCCCACTGAAAATCGGGTCGCAGGCAAGCACTCTCTGCAGAACCCTACACCACCTAACATACATTTAGACGATGATTTTAGGGGGTCATCACCTGCCTTCAAGGCCACTCCCTGAGCGCATGGACCCCTGTTAACAACCCCAGACCCCGTCTATGATGGCATCTCATGGAGCACAGAATTATTCTGTTCCTCCAACCCCCCGCCTTGGCCTCCATGACCCCACGTTCTGTGGTTCACCTGCCCGGCCTGACCCACGGTGCTTACTGGGCCTGACCCCAGGGCTCCCTGGGCCGCCCCCTCACGCCTGTGAGCCCTCTCCAGCAACCATCCCCGGTCGTTCACGCCCCTCCGCCTGGAGAGGTTTGGTTCCCTAGTACACGCTCCGCGGCAGCGGTCTGCACGCCAGTTATTCACACTCAGGAGAGTCAGGCCTGTGTCCCCGATACGCAGGGAGCTCACTGAAGGCACAGACGCTCTGCGGGGCCCGAGCTCAGTGGGTGGCGTGAAGTGGGCGTTCAGGGGGTGAGTGTCCCCGAGTGTGACTGAGCGAGGACACGACTCCTGAGTGGGGCCTTTGGTTCGCATCAGGTTCAGCTGCGGACACAGACGGCTCACTCAGCTCCAGGAGCCCTCGCCCCGGCTCACACCCGCACCTTTCCAGCAGCCATCCCAGATTCCAACAACAACAGAAACCAGCCCTGACAACTACGGCTCCGTGGGTTGGGTGTCATCCCACAAAGCAAAAGGTCGCTGGTTCGATTCCCTACTGGGGCACATACCTGGATCCCATCCCGGTCTAGGTGCGTACGAAAGGCAACACCGATCCATGTTTCTCTCTCACACTGATGTGTCTCTCCCTTTCTTTTTCCCTCCCTTCCCCTCTCTCTAAAAATAAATAAATAAATATTTTTTTTAAAAAAAAGAGAGAGAACCAGGAAGGAGAGAGAGGAGGGGCTCCCGCGGTCACAGCCTGTCTTTCCAGACAAGTCACTGCAAGAAGCTCCCTGTGCGAACCCGGAAACGGAAACGCGAAGCACCGGGCACCCAACTGAATGACAGACTGGCACCTCCTCGACTGCCGAGAGAACAAGACCACGTCGAGTGCGTGGAAAACCCGGGGTGCGACCCCACTTTCTCCGTGGGAGGCACGCGGAGGAACAGCACGGACACCTGCACGTGGTCGTCTGCAGTTGGCAGAACTATCCGCACTGTGACTGTGAAACTGTTTTGTGTTATCTTGTAGGATAAAACAAAGAAGTAAGGATGCTGACGTTTTCCGAAACAAGGTCTTCTCTTATGGCTAAGTGTGAACAAGAACCACAGGTATTTCATTTCCATATAAATTTGCTCTGAGTGCTTTTATTTTTTTTAATATTTTATTTTTAGAGAGAGGGGAAGGGAAGGAGAAAGAGAGGGAGAGAAACATTAATGTGTGGTTGCCTTTCGAGCGCCCTCGCACTGGGGACCTGGCCCACAACCCAGGCCTGTGCCCTGACTGGGAATCGAACTGCAGACCCTTCAGTTCGCAGGCCGGCGCTCAATCCACTGAGCCACACCAGCCAGTGCTCTCCGGGTGTTTTTAGAACCCAGTGGCTCCTGAGTACCACTCCCCACTAGGGTTTTTTGGAGAAAGGGCTGATCCCAAGTCCAAGGCAGGGAGTTTACAAGTAAGGCCGGGAGAGCTGGTGATTCTATCAAGCAAGGGACGTTCTCAAAGGCTGATGGGGACGTGTCCAAAGGGCACAGGAACCGCTTGCAGGAGCTGCCACCAGCTAAATGTGGAGCAACTGGAGCCCCAAACAGAACAGCTGCAGTTGACCAAGACTCACTCAGTTCTGTCATTCACGTCCCCACAGTAATACTGCAGAAAGAAATGCGAAATTCAAAACAACACGGCCTCACTTGTCACCAACGCGGGCGACTTCTCCATTAAAGAGAAAGGACCAAGCGCGACCCCGGCCCTTCTGATGGGACTGTGCTTCAGAGAAGCCCAGTCCCGCCTGTCGCTGAGCAAAAGCTCTTCTTCGTGGAAGGGCGGCCACTGAGAAACATGGAGGGGGCGACGCAGTCAGGGAATCGGCGTCTGCAGCCTTAATGAAAGGAGCGCTTCAGGCGAGGGTCCTCCTCGGATGCTGCAACCGTCAGGTGGAAGTGGACGGGGGACTGGACGTCCATGTGGAGACCCCGCCTCCGCCCACAGACCGCCCGAGTCATGGAGGGGAAACACGCCACGCCATGCAGAGAGCGGGCTGTCATCGCCCTCACCCACCGATCAAACTTGTCATCGGTCACAGCGGGACAATCAGGCATCACTTGCCTGCTGGTGTGAGGTAAGAGAAAACACACACGGCCCCAGCCATGAGGTGCTCCTGCCAGAAACCTCGGCCTCCAACTAATCAGTCATTTAGACCTAAGTCCCCGTTTAGGGGAAATAGCTGGAGACAAAGGAACAACTTAGCACCATAAGGAAGCAATCAGACAAATCCGGAACGTGGGACATCGTAAAATCAGTGCCTCTGCAACCAGTTAGGGGCACACAGGAGGGGGACGCGGCTGCAGATGCGAGAGACTCTGCAGACAAAACCGCCCCGTGAGACGCGCCATCCTCGATTCAATCCCCTGGGAAGAAGCGGTCAGAGGAGACGTTCTGCGGAAAATCTGAATATGCACTCAACAGCCACGGACGCTAGCGCTCTTAATTAGATGGTTTTGTAGGTTGTATTGGAGACTACTTTTTTCAATGCACACTGCATTATTTATGGGAAAGGTATCGTGATTTTGCAAAAAGTATAGAGAGAGATGAAGCAGGTGGAGCAAAAATGTTAAAGGCTGAATTTAGCTGGTACATATATATATATTTTTTACTTTTCTATATCTTTGACATTTTTCATAGGACTTTTTTTAAGTAAAAGTCACTTGAAAAGAACACGCATTGCTTTATTTTCCATACGAACAACGGTAAACCTACTTCTGTCCCAACCTTACAGGTATCCTCTTGCTTGGCAACTCTTATCAACAGGAAGTGGCTTCCTGGAACACTGTTTGAAGAAATGAGAAGCCACATCCTGTTGCAATTTTCTGAAGTTCTGTGATTGATTAGCAATGTCTGCCATGGGTATAGCATTAGAAAGTGGTGTCTTGTGTGCTATATATTAACCATCTCTGCTCTAAATCATTATCCTTTAACTCTGCCTACCACGTAATCTTGCATGGAAAGGAAAGGAATTGGGAGAACTGCCCAAGATTTAGAAAACGTGTGTGTTTTGTTCAGGCTGAGCTAAAGCACATGTGCCTAGATTTTATAGCTAGATTTAAGTCATTACAGGATAAGAATCCCACCTTCTGAAAAACGCATCTGTTCTTATGCTTGGAACGACTTGGTTCTTCTGTTTTGCCTAGCTTTCTAAGTGATGTTTCTGTTGAAAAGGTCCCACCTGTCTTCACCAAGGAGTGGGAGCAGGATTCTTCAACCATGACAGGGAGGCCTGGAGGGGAGCCACAGCCAAGGCTCCCAGCTGGACAGAAGCTGGCAAAGGGAGTGAGGCAGCTCCTCCAGCTCAAAGCAACAGCTCCGTGACCACTGTCCCGCCCCAGGACAGGCCCTGTCAGGGGTCAGGAGGAAACCTCAGCTGAGCAAAGCTGGCAGGAGCGGGTGGCAGTACCAGCTGACAATTACCCAGATAAGTCACACCGCTACTGTGTTGCAATGGTCATTATAAGCTCATTCTAGAATGTTCTGAGGGAGGGAAGAGGCCCAGGAGTTTAGACTACTAAACCATGGGGAGGGCTGAGATGGGCCGGAATGCCAGCGACCCCACCAGGAGGTAGCCTGCCCATGGGGCCTGCCCTGTAATCACAGAACTGCACAGGAGCTGGGGTCGGGGGGCTGGCCGTCCTGCTCATGGCAAGGCCAGACCCCTTGTGGGCCCAGGCCTGGGGTGAGGCCTTCTGGCCCCTGTGATGCCCCCAGGGCTCCAAGTGGAATCCAGGGAGCCTTCCCAGAAGAGAGCCTTCAGCAAGCAAAGTTAGTGTTTATTTGGTGACAGCGATGGCTTCCAGATGTTAGCGAAACTGGGGGGTGGGGGTGAGCCTGGGAGCCAGCGATGCACTGGGGCTTGTCTCTGTCACTGATGGGGGAGAAATGAAAGAATCTGGGAATGCTGCCCCGGCCAGCTGGCCGAGGCTCCGCCGCACAAGGCAGATAAATCATCCCCCCGAGGCTCCTCCGACACTCACCCGCCAAGGCGGCCGAGGAAGCAGAGAGTAGGAGCCAGGGCCCGAATGGGCCTCCGGGCCACAGATGGAAAAACTGAGGGCCTCACCCCGGGCCCGGTAGCACCAGGAAGTCCGTGGGCATTGGTGGAGAGAGGGCTCCAGCCTCTGCCAACAGGGTACCCGAGGCACTTGTCCCAGGCTCTACCTGCCTGAGAACCTTGTCCAGAGAGAGTGCACGCCCTTTGGGGGCTTCCCTGGCTCCTGGGGGTGGATTCTGGGCCCCATACCAAAGTGCAGGGGCTGGAGCCCCAGCTGTCACCCGCCCTCCCCAGGGCTTCCCACGCAGTGACCTCCCTGCCAGCTCACTGGGCAGGGCTTCTCCTAACCCAGCTGGGCACACGGGGAAACAGAGGCCCAGAGACGCTAACACCCTGCCTCGAGTCACACTGCAGGCAGGTGGCAGGGCGGGATCCTGAAACCAGCGTGTGGCCCTAACCTCTCGCTGTCCCTCTGCCTCTGGATAGGGTCCAGGATGAAGTCATCTCCGGGGCCTGTGACTCCTGGGCTGTTAATCAGAACCACCTGGCCAGACCTCCCTCCGCCCCTCACTGTCTCCGCAAGCCGGTCACCTTTCCCCTAGTCCATGCGCAGAATCTGGGCAATTGACCACATTGGTGTCTTCGGGTGCTAGACAAGGGCAGGGTCTGAGTCTCCGGAACGCAACTTCCCAGGACCCGCGAAGCCTGCAGGCTGATGGGGTTTGCCCAGAAACTCTGACCGTCTGCTGGGGGTGGGGGGCAGTACGTATGCTGAGTTGGGAGGAAGCCTGGGGGACAGCTGTGCTGGGGCAGGTGGCTTCTTGGATTAAGCTAAGTCTCCATCAAAACTGCACACCTCAGGGACAGGCCCCAAGGCCGTGTGTCCGGCCTGCCCGGTGTGCTGCAGGAAGGACGGTAAAGCCTCCAAACTACCCCTGCCAGGGGCACGGAGTCTTCACCTTCCTTTAGTTACCCCTGAGCCCCAAAGGGGTCCCCTGGTACCAATGAGGCCAAGCCCACGACTGGAGAAGCGCATTGCTCGCAATACCGAGACCCCAGCTTGATGGGGGACGCCCTGCATGCCCGGCACCTGAGGCCACCCTGGCATGTAGCAGATGCTCGATAAACTCAGGACGGCCAGAGTGGGGCATGTGTCACTCCTGCCACACCGGACCTACTGTGGAAGGTAAAAGGACTGACTACACACACATGGTTTGGGGGTTCTGCAGCTTCTGAGAACTCCTCCTCCCAGTGCAGGCACCCCTGGCTGGGGCGAAGGCGCCATTCCTTCTCCCGAAGGGTGACCACAGCCCTGACTGCCCCGGCCGCTTTCCCAGGCTTGCCGAATGTCTGGGAGCATCTGGCAGGGACCAGGCCCAAGGCATTAAGCTAACAAACCACAGAGCTGTGCGTCCAGGAAGGAGAGGGATCCAGGCCCCTGCCCAGAGACAGTTTGTTCTGACCATCGGAGGTCCCTCTGAGCACCACCCAGCCAGGGCAGAAGCCTGGCACCGAGGCCAAGAGCAGGTGGACTCACCCCCATTTTCCTGCCTCGAGGGAGAGACCAGGGCATCCGAGCCCCCCGTCTGGGCAAGCCGTCCTCCACCTGCCCGCCAGCGGCCATGCTGTCTGATTTGCCGCTGGCAGGAACCCAGTTCCCATGCAATTGCCCAAACAGGTCTCCCCCAAAACAAGGACTGGGCCGAGCAGTCCCTGGACTGGGAAATGCCTTCCACCCGTCCTCGGCCGGCTCCCTGACAGAACGGACGGACATGCCAAAAAATAAAGCCTACCATGTCGCAGAGAACCATAAACGCCATCCATCAGCGGGGAGGTAAGGCTCACTAATCTAAACACGGCCCGGACGGCTCTCTTTAGTCCATAAATACATGACGCACAAAACCTGCTCCAGGAGGGGAACACAGGACGGCCTCCAGGCTGGGGCCTCCCTCCCAGGCCTCAGGCACAAGGGACCCTTCCCCTGTCCACCTACCAGCTACTTACCAAGCACCTGCTATGAGCTGGAGGCCAGGCAGGGCCTGCTGATACAGTAGCAAACAGGACCCATAACGGCTCTGCCCTCAGGGAGTTCACAGCCATAAAATTACAGCCATGCAAAGCAGCAGGGGGCGGGACTCGAGAGGGTACGAAAGGAGACTTCATCTTGATCGAAAATCAAAAAAGGTCGCCCAGAGGAGGCGCATTTACTTCACCTAACACTGGGAAGACGAGAAGGAGCCGGAGAGGCAGAGCGGACACAGCGGAGAGACCAGGCTTCGTGAGCAAAGGCCCCGGGGTCGGGAAGGCACGGGCCACTGAAGAAACAGCAGACAGGCCGGCAGGGCAGGGGCGGTGGGCGAGGGGACGGGCACAGGCCACGGGGTTGGAGGGGCGGAGGTCAGAGAAGGGTCTGGACCTTCCCGGGAGACAATAGGAGGGACCTGCGGGCCAGACTTATTTTTAGAAGAATCCGGCGGGATGCTGGAGCCAGCTCACATGAGCCCGAGAAAGTCTGCTCTGAGCACCACTTTCCAACTCTGCTCCGCAGGCGCAGGACGGCAGCTTGAAGTCGTCCAGGACAGGAGTATTTACACTACAGAAATGAGTGTTCTCGCTCTTTCCAGGGAGGTAGCTGTGAAACATCGACCAGCACGCCCCTGGATCGCTCTGGCTCCAGGGAAGGAATGGACACGCAGGGCGGAGGGAGTGGGGAGAGTCCTGCGTGGCCCTGGAGCCTGGAGGACGGGAAGGGCAGGCACCCGGTCCGAAGAAAGGACGCCGACACCTGGTCCATGGACGCAGACCATTGCTGCCCCCCCCCACCGGGTCAGGCCACAGGGACCAGCGAGCCCCTCCTGGCCAAGTCCTCCAGCAGGGCATCCTGTCCCGGCAACGCAGCCTGACTCTGGCGGCTGCCTGCAGCCCTCCAGCGCTCCCAGTCTCCGGGGAGAAGCTTGCTGCAGACCCTGGTTCTGCCAAACTCTGCAAGTCTGTCCAGCCCACAGTGACCAGCTGCAACACCCAGGCTGAAGCCCTGGGTGCTTCTTTAAGCCCCAGTCTCTTTACCTGCAAAACTGGGAAACCCGTGGCACCTGCCTTCGGGTGGATAGGAGGGTAGGAGGGTTCGGCCAGATAGCATCGTAAAGCCCTAAGCACCTGCCACAGGTGAATGCTCAGCACTGCTCACCTGGGAGGCCGACACAACCACCGGCGGAGCCACCCACAGACACAGGACGGTTGGGGAAGGCTCACCTCTGTCACCTGCTGCTTATCCAGGTGGAACACCTGCCCGGAGCTGGTGGCAGCGATCTCCTCGTAGGCCAGGTAGCCAGGATGCGTGCGGTCACCACAGTCCCCCGTCAGCACAAAGACCACCTGGGGAAGGGACATGCAGCCTGGCTCATGGCTTCCCCGCCCGCCTGCATCAGGTGTGAGTGGCAGGGACAGACCGGGGAGGAGCGAGCGGGGCCAGCCCTTTCCTCTCTGGGCTCAGGTGATGCTTCTGTGAAATGGGAATGATGAGTGTGCCCACCCCCATGTGGGTTGGGGGCTCAGCACAGGGCCAGGAATATATAAGGTGCTCGGGACATGGGGCTGCCAGGAGGAAGACGGATTGCGTGGACGCTGGCAGGGTGCGAACGGCAAGGGTGGGGTGGTCTCTACCAAGAGCAGGCCTGCCTCACCAGGGAGGCGCGAGCCCCGGTGGGCGGGGACCCTGGGGCATGAGAACACACTTGGAGTTCACCAGACCGGCCGGGGCTGGCGGGCGCTGCTGGTGGAGGCTGGACCCCGGTGGTGGGTGAGAAGCACTCGGACTCTGCCCTCGCTGGGGCTCAGGGCTGCCTACGCGAAGAGCCCAGCTCCCTCGGGACCTTCCCGCACTGGAGCCCCACGAGGCGCTCCGCTCACCTGTGACTGCTTGATCTGCAGCAGCTGCAGCACCTCGTCCTTCCGGTGGTGGTCCTTCGCCCGGGCGTCCGAGAAGACGTAGATGAAGGAGCCAGGGTGGGAGACCTCCACCGCCGCCTTGATGGCCCCCACACTCATCTCAGGGCAGTCGCCGCCACCCTGGGGGACAGGGCCATGTCAGCAGCTGCTGCCCAACAGGGACTCCTCCGAAACCAACAGGGAGGTGGGGGGAATCCCTGGAGCTGCCTCTGTCCTGCCCGTCCAGGGGTCAGGCCAGGTCCCCTGTCCCTCCCCTTCCTGAGACAGACCCAGCAGCCAGCCTGCCTTCACTTGAGACAAGGGGCGTCCTTCATTCACTCACCCATGCAGGAGTGGCCGCCCCTCCCACGGGCTCTGTTGTGGGAGGCAGGCACTACATTAATAAGTACAACACGATGATTTAATTACCACTGTGATGAGTGTTGCAAGTTGGAGAAGAGGGATGGGAGCCACGGGGACATCCAACAGATGCCCCAAGGCAGCCACGCGTCAGCCAAGGCTTGGAGGACTGAGGGATGGGGACAGCATCCAAGCTGCCACCTCAAAGCCGCTGTGCAGCCTGCTCCGGGGTGGATCCCAAACACCGCCCCCCCGCCGTGCCTCCCCCCGCCTGCCCCCAGATGGGCGCTCTCTGGGGAAGGGAGCCCGCCCTGTGTCGCCCAGGCTCGGGCACACCCAGAACCAGCAGCAGGTCTGCACCTGGTTCCTTTGTAGTAAACGCCTCTCTCCCTGGTTCAGTCACTCACCACACACTTACCCTCTCTGTGCAGACCCTGCTCTGGGCCTGGGGGGACCTGCCCTCAGGAAGCCGCCGTCTCAGGGGCAGGGCAGGCACAGATGCTGAACCAGTGTTGCCAAGAAGCCCAGGCAGCCACAGGGCGTCTGGCCCAGTCTCAGGCCTGGGTTTGGGCTGGACCCTCTGGGATCCTCTCAGCTACCACGCCCTCCTCCCACCCCTTCATCCGTTCACTAAATCATAAGCACCTACTATGTGCCAGGCACAGGTACCTGCCTCCTGCAGGTACTTGGTTCACTGAATAAGGAAAAAAGCCCAAGATACAGAACCTTCAGGACCCTCGAGCCACACAGTGCAGGCCATGGACAGAACTGGGCAGCCAGGATCAGTGGGTGCCAGAAGCCGCCCTGGTGGCCCCTGGGTGGCAGGAGGACCTTGGCCTTCGGCACAGACTTGGAAGGCCCAGGGAGCCCGCAGCCAGGGGCGGGACAGCCCACCTGCACGTAGAGTTCTCTCAGCTCCCTCTGAAACACCTCTGGGTCCGCTGTGAGGGTCACGGGGCCAACATCTGCAGGGGAGAGAGAGAGGAGCCCAGGTGGGCGCGGACCCCAGCTGTGTGGCAGTTACACAATGTGCCACCAGAGGCGAGAGGAGTGGGGGTTGGTGTCTCAGAGACCCCCACAAAACAGAAAGTGCCAAGGGAGCAGCTCCCGGGCCTGCCAGTGCCCAACCTGTAGGAGGGGTCAGGCCCCTCGGTCCCTTGCTCCAAACAGGCCCAGAGCTCCGGGGGAGGGCAGAGACAGCTCCCCCCTCAGAACCACAGTTCCCGGTCGTCCGTGACCCGACTCCCCTCTGCCAGCCCATCATCCCCATCGGTGGTGGGACAAAGGAACAGAGAAGGGAGCAAATAACCTTTTGGACCTCACAGCGACCACGCGACACCAGGCTGGTCAACCAGAGTGGAATCTCCCAGAAACTCCACCCACACAGTAGCTCCCTTAAAAAGTGCAAAATTAAATGACAGAGAGGGGCACAGAGCCACTGGAACCTTCGTCCACTGCCGGCAACGGGGAGAAACGGTCCAGCCACTTTGGAAGACAGATGGAAACTTCCAGAAAGTTAAACATGCACCTGCCAAACATGGTCCAGCCCTTCCCATGAGAAATGAAAACCCGTGTCCATGGCAAGACCTGTGCTCGCAGGCGCCCAGAACCGGAAAGAGGCCAACAGCCCGTCCCTGGCGGGTGGATGAGCAGATCCCGGCGTGTTCACACCGTCAAACACTCCTCCCGAGGAGCACAAACCGGCTCCCAGCACAGGCGACCGCACGCATGGAGGGCTCCACGGACACCACGGCGCCAGAGGGGAGCCGGACCCGGGCGCACGTGCTGTGCAGTTCCACTCACAGAAAGTTCTGGAACAGGCAGAATTCGCCTAAGGTGCAGTCGATCGAGCAGAGGTCGTCTGGGGGACAGAAAGACTCGAGGAACTAACTCTGAGCCAAAGAGACTTCCGTACTGGGACAGGAGGGGGGCTCCGCGGGGCGCGTCCCCTTGTGAGAGCGGCTCAGTGTGAGCTGCTCGGCTAAATCTCAGCTCTGGAAAGGGCGGTGGGTGGGAGGAGGTGCAGGCGAGTGAGGCTGGGCGGCGGGCACGTGGGAATTCGTTCCACTCTCCTGCTTACTTTGTATATATGTTTGAAATGTTTCCTAGTAAAAGTTTATGTTTTGTTTTGTTTTTTCATGACAGTCATTGAAAGCCACCACTGAAACAGGGACTAGAATTTCAACTTGCCGTTGCCGAGTCGCCGTGTAATGGGGGTTTGTGAGTTTGTGTGAACACCCACTTTCTTTGGAAAACTGTTCATTTGCATCTCTGGTGGACGCCAGTAAGGGACTATTTTTAGTTCAAGAATTCTAAATTCCAGTCGCCCTAAAAAAATTCCCATCCCAGGCAACTAGTCAGCAGGCCTCGACCCTTCTGAGAAAGGAAGCCCGCGGGACCATCCAGCGTCCATGCCCAGTTATCGAGGAAGAGTCTAGACTTCGGCTTCCCTGCCACGCACCGGAACAGTCTCCCCGAGTGGCCCCATCTGCACTTACTCATCCAGTCCAGCGCCCCTTCCTCGCCTGCTCTCCGTTCACCGAGCCTCCCCCAGCGCCCCCCTCTCCCGGAACTCTGCAGCCAAACTCTCGGCCTTTGACCTCACACAGATCCGTTTGGAATCCTGGCTCCGTCCTGCACCAGCCATGGGCCTCCCGGAGCTGACTTCACTGTCCCGGGATTCAGAATCCCCATCTGTAACACGGGGTGTGTAATAGCATCTCCCCTCACTGAGACCTGGCCCTGAGAATTCAGCGAAGCCCGGCGCGGAAGCTCCTGGCAGGGAGCGGGTTGCGGGGCGAAGGCTCGGTGAATGGGAGCCCTACTCATGGGAACGTGGTATTGTCTGCGCTCCAGCCTCTCACGAGGCACCGAGGTCCTCAAATTCTGGTTTGACTGAGAAGAGCAGTCAATTTACTCAACGTTGGTTCTTTCCTGTTTACATATTAATGCACGTTCATTGTAAATACCTAACACGGGTGATACATTTACTAAGCGCCTATTGAGTCCTGGGCCATGTGCTGAGATGCTTCCTCTGTGTTAGTTCACTGAATCCTCCCTGGCACCCATGGGGCCAAGTCTTAGGCACAATTTACAGAGGAGAAAATGGAGGCCCAGAGAGGTTAAGTCACTTGACTGAAGTCACACAGCCCACAACCTGCAGAGCCGGGACAGGCATCCAGGTCAACGCAACTCCTGGGTCTGAGCTTGACAACCGCTCCCTGTGAGCTGTGCACAGGAACCCCCGACAGGCAGAAATGGCAGGGAGTTCTACCAGCCAGAAATCGTCAACTTTATGTTCACACACAACCTTCAAAACTCTGACGCATACCTGCGAGCGTGTCTCTCACATAAGCACACACCATCATAAGCAGGACTTCTATTAAAGCATAAATAACAGACCCTTTTCAACTCGGTTCTTTTCACTGCATGTGTTGTGAGCCTCTTTCCAGAGGGCCAAATGCTCAGTTCAAAATCATTTTTAATGGGTGCAAAGGATTTCCTTTGTACTAACGTGTACCGGTGGCCTTGCCCATCCCATGCTGCTTTGATCCCTGTTTTCAGCATGAACAATGTTACTAAGAACACCCTTTATCTCATGGCACTGGCTCGTCTCCTTGGAGATGCCCCACAAGCAGAACGACAGGGTCCATGACAAGACCGTTCATAAAAACTCTGGATGTAAATTCAGTAACCTCATAACTGTCTTCCTGTCCCCAGATGTTCCCGCCTCTGGTCCATCCACCTGCCAAGGTACAGCCACCAGCCTGGTGCCCAGTTTTGCTCACATGGCCCTGCTCAAGCAGCTACTTGTGGCCTGCAAATGAGTGACATGTGCACGGGTGTCACCGCAGTGGGCCCTGTCCCCCACATCACGATCTGTCTGCAATGGCAGCCGGCCCCGACGGCGCCCATGCTGGGCCTGTGCTGGGTGGGCCACGCTCTCCCCCATCCGCTGCAGTGTGAGGAGCGGAGTTGGGAGTGTGGGCCACCATAAATGAAATGCCCTGCAGTCAGGAGGGCCCCCCTTTTCCTGCGGTCGGGGGGCCAAGGGTTGAGGGTGGCCCTTTCTTTCGTGGAAGGTCACGAAGAGTCGGAGGGAACTGATTCAGGTCAAGGTTCTACTTGGCAAGGTGGGCCGCTCTGACGTGTGGACACATCCTCACCCAGGTCCTGCCAGCGGTCGCAGCGCCTTCTCCCTGCGTCTGCAGCCATCTCTCCTCTTCTTACGAGGACACCGGTCCTGTTGGCCTACCCTCCTCCCGCATGACCTCGTTTGAATGAATTACATCTTCCATGGCCCTATTTCCAAACGACGCCACATTGTGAGGTTACAGGATGGACGTGGATTTTGTGGAGACGCTATTCGACTCAGAGCGATGTCCAAACCCACATGTCTGGCTCCAAGGCCTGTGCCCTCTGCCCCAAGCTGTACTGCCTCCAAACGCCGTGGCGGTGGTGGTAGTGACGTGATGACGATGACGACGACGGCAGCCACCGTCGTTTTAATCATTACTCAGCACCAGGTCTTCTTCCAGGCATCTGACACACATTCACTCAGAAAGAACTTGCAGCCCCTGTGAGGCCTTCTGTGCATTACCCCCATTTCACAGATGCAAATCCGTGTCCCCGGGAGGTGCAACGGCCTGGCCCGGGTCCTACCACCAGGAAGCAGCCGCAATGGGATTCACACCTGGGTTCGTCTGACCCCAGACGCGAGCTCTTCAACCACCCATGAAGCTGCAGATGCTCGGAACCTGCTCCCCAGCCTCTCATTCCTGATCCTGCAGTGTGGGGGGTGGGGGCAGGTTCGTGAGTTAAGATAGGCACGTGCCAAACAGCTGGGCAGACGTGGCGTGCGGTCCCTCGGAGCACAGCCTGCTGGCCACAGGATGATCAGACCCGTGACCTGATTCCCCTGCGCTGAGCCTTGAGCATCTGAGCCCCAGAAGCCTGGCCTGGAATTGTCTCTGCACAGGCAGATTCTTTCCACTCGACATGAGGAGGGTGTGGAGCCTCTGGGACATGTGAGGAGCACACGTGGGTGGGAGGACCCAGCCCTGCACCCGGCGGGGGGGGGGGTGCTCCAGCCCCTCGCCCAGCCTCATCCATAAGTCCCAGTAGATTAGGCCAAGGCCCCAGCAGGCACTCGGGGGCCAGTCCAGAAAGACCTCACGTCAAGGACTCTCCCTGGGGCCTCCCTTCTCCACTCCTTCTCAATAATGGGGCTGGCTGGTGTGGCTCAGTGGATGGAGCACTGGCCTGTGAACCAGAGGGTTGCTGGTTCGATTCCCAGTCAGGGAGCATGCCTGGGTTGCAGGCCACATACCCAGCGGGAAGTGTGTGAAAAGCAAACGCACCTTGATGTTTCTCTCCCTCTCTTTCTCCCTCCCTTTCTCTAAAAATAAATAAAATATTTTTTGAAAAGAGAAGAAAAAGATAAGGTTAAGATAACTTGAGGTCCCTTCTATAGCATCTTCTGTAGTCACTAAAAACAGTGAGTGGGCCTCTGTTTCCTAGTGGACAAGGAAAGAGCTTATGATACATCGTGTGGGGGGGCTACATGGGGGGGGCTGCCAAGAGTGTGCTGGTCGATCCATTCTCTAGACACTGAGAACGTAAGTGTGTGTATACATGCACATAAGTGAAGTACACACACGGTCTGGAAGGCCGCAAAATTAGTGACAGCGTCTGGGAGTAGAATTATCAGCATATTTCACAAGCACGGAATAATTTTGTGAGTTTAGGAGGACACATACTAATTTAAGGTATTAACTGAAAGAGCTAAACACTGTGATACTAAATCAACAAAGAACACAAAGAAAGAATGTCACCGACTGACCATACATACCGAAATAAAACGTAAAACTCCTAGACAAAACACTGGCAAACAGAAGCCAGCTGTATCTTAAAGAAGTAGCCCTGACCGGTGTGGCTGAGCGGGTGGGGCGTCGTCCCGCCAAAT